TATTTTTAAAAATTAATTGTATTTTTTAAAATAATTATTTTATTTTTTAAATGTATTGTTAAATGTATTTTTAAAAAATTGTATTCTTAAATGTATTTTTAAAAATAATTGTATTTTTAAATGTATTTTTAAAAATTAATTGTATTTTTAAATGTATTTTTAAAAATTAATTGTATTTTTTAAAATAATTATTTTATTTTTTAAATGTATTGTTAAATGTATTTTTAAAAAATTGTATTCTTAAATGTATTTTTAAAAATAATTGTATTTTTAAATGTATTTTTAAAAATTAATTGTATTTTTAAATGTATTTTTAAAAATTAATTGTATTTTTTAAAATAATTATTTTATTTTTTAAATGTATTGTTAAATGTATTTTTAAAAAATTGTATTCTTAAATGTATTTTTAAAAATAATTGTATTTTTAAATGTATTTTTAAAAATTAATTGTATTTTTAAATGTATTTTTAAAAATTAATTGTATTTTTTAAAATAATTATTTTATTTTTTAAATGTATTGTTAAATGTATTTTTAAAAAATTGTATTCTTAAATGTATTTTTAAAAATAATTGTATTTTTAAATGTATTTTTAAAAATTAATTGTATTTTTAAATGTATTTTTAAAAATTAATTGTATTTTTTAAAATAATTATTTTATTTTTTAAATGTATTGTTAAATGTATTTTTAAAAAATTGTATTCTTAAATGTATTTTTAAAAATAATTGTATTTTTAAATGTATTTTTAAAAATTAATTGTATTTTTAAATGTATTTTTAAAAATTAATTGTATTTTTTAAAATAATTATTTTATTTTTTAAATGTATTGTTAAATGTATTTTTAAAAAATTGTATTCTTAAATGTATTTTTAAAAATAATTGTATTTTTAAATGTATTTTTAAAAATTAATTGTATTTTTTAAAATAATTATTTTATTTTTTAAATGTATTGTTAAATGTATTTTTAAAAAATTGTATTCTTAAATGTATTTTTAAAAATAATTGTATTTTTAAATGTATTTTTAAAAATTAATTGTATTTTTAAATGTATTTTTAAAAATTAATTGTATTTTTTAAAATAATTATTTTATTTTTTAAATGTATTGTTAAATGTATTTTTAAAAAATTGTATTCTTAAATGTATTTTTAAAAATAATTGTATTTTTAAATGTATTTTTAAAAATTAATTGTATTTTTAAATGTATTTTTAAAAATTAATTGTATTTTTTAAAATAATTATTTTATTTTTTAAATGTATTGTTAAATGTATTTTTAAAAAATTGTATTCTTAAATGTATTTTTAAAAATAATTGTATTTTTAAATGTATTTTTAAAAATTAATTGTATTTTTAAATGTATTTTTAAAAATTAATTGTATTTTTTAAAATAATTATTTTATTTTTTAAATGTATTGTTAAATGTATTTTTAAAAAATTGTATTCTTAAATGTATTTTTAAAAATAATTGTATTTTTAAATGTATTTTTAAAAATTAATTGTATTTTTTAAAATAATTATTTTATTTTTTAAATGTATTGTTAAATGTATTTTTAAAAAATTGTATTCTTAAATGTATTTTTAAATATAATTGTATTTTTAAATGTATTTTTAAAAATTAATTGTATTTTTAAATGTATTTTTAAAAATTAATTGTATTTTTTAAAATAATTATTTTATTTTTTAAATGTATTGTTAAATGTATTTTTAAAAAATTGTATTCTTAAATGTATTTTTAAAAATAATTGTATTTTTAAATGTATTTTTAAAAATTAATTGTATTTTTAAATGTATTTTTAAAAATTAATTGTATTTTTTAAAATAATTATTTTATTTTTTAAATGTATTGTTAAATGTATTTTTAAAAAATTGTATTCTTAAATGTATTTTTAAAAATAATTGTATTTTTAAATGTATTTTTAAAAATTAATTGTATTTTTTAAAATAATTATTTTATTTTTTAAATGTATTGTTAAATGTATTTTTAAAAAATTGTATTCTTAAATGTATTTTTAAAAATAATTGTATTTTTAAATGTATTTTTAAAAATTAATTGTATTTTTAAATGTATTTTTAAAAAAATAATATTTGTATTTTTTAAAAACAATTGAATTTAAAAAAAATTACTGTATTTTTTAATAATGTTTTGTTAAAAAGTTATTTTTTATTAAAAAAATCGAAAAATAATTGTGTGTTAAAAAATAATTGTATTTTTATAAATAATTGTAATTTTTAATAATAAAATCATTGCTGTTTAATTATTTTGATTAAAATTTTGTATGTTTAAAAATAATTGTGTTTTTTAAAAAGAATACATAATTGTATTTTGTAAAACAATAATTGCATTTTAATTGTATTTTTGATTAAAAAATAATTATATTATTTTTAAAATACATGTATTTTGCAAAATAAAAATTGTATTTTTTTAAAGAAGAAAAATTGTATTTTCAAAAATGTATTTTTTAAAAAGATTTAAAAAAAGTATTTTTTAAAACAATAATTGTATTTTTTAAATAAATAAATGCATTTTTTAAATGAAGTGATTTTATTTATTAAAATAATTGTGTTTTTTACAATTAAAATAATTGTAATTTGTTAAAATAAGTGTAGTTTATGGATTAGTAATTTTTTAAATAAAACAATACAGTTAAATAATAAGAAAAAAGGTTATTTTTGAAAAAAAATTGTAGTAGAATTAAAAAATTTAATTTATGTTCATTTTGGATGTTTTTAAATTTAGCAGTCTTCATCATCATCAATCTCGCTGTTTGATGCTTTTCAGGAGGCTGGCCGTCGGGAAAGGGCCCAGAGAAGGAGCCGGGAGGTCTCTCCGCGGCTCAGAGGGAGGATAGGCAGGACCACTCCTCTTGGCACTTTGCTTGGCCCGGACGATGGTAAGGGAGTATATTTGTTTTGAAAACAGGGGAGGGCAGGGCTGTGCGCCAAAATTTTTGTTTTTGAATTCTTAAAACCCTCCAAACGCCAAAATCTTCCAAAAATTCTAACGCTAAAAGCCATGGCGCACAGCCCTGACGAGGGAGGGAGGGAATGGGGGGGGGGGTTACTGATCGTATTAAGTTAAGTTTTTTAAGTTCGTTTGGATGAGGAAGAGAGGCCAGAAGAGGACGATGTTATTCTGGTTGAAGAGGTGGCCGGGACAGTTTTTGAACCGCTTCCATTTCAATCAGGAGCTGGTCTGAGCGAGGAAGAAATTGGAAAATTTGTCGCTTCTGCTGGCACCTTGGCGCCAGGTTTTATAGAGAATTCAGAGGTTGGTTCGTGTGCTCTTTGTTTAGAAACATTTGAAGTTGATACATTTGTTGTGATCCCAGTTTGTCTCCATAAAGTATGCTGGGATTGTTTTGAGAAGCTGTCACGGACCTACCGTGACTGTCCTACTTGTCGCCGTGATTTAATTCACGGCACAATAAGGCAGACGCGGTAGATGCCCCAGGGATCCCCCCCCCCCCTAAAATATTTTTTTTTATTTTAAATTCTTATTAAATTGTGGGGTCTCTGGGGGAGGGATGGAAGATTTGTTGTAGGGAAGAGGGTCTTTTATTTGTAATTGGAGGGTGTCAATTAAAAAATTTTATTATTACAATTTAGATTTAAAACATTACGTTTAAAAAAAAATCTATTTTTTAAAATGACATCCTCCAAAAAATCTTGTTGCCTTAAATCTTGTTGCCTTAAAATATTTTTTTTGCCTTAAATATTTTTTTGCCTTATATTTTTTAATATTTATTTGGCGAATAAATTATTAAAAAAAATTTTTTTTATTTCGTTAGTCAATAAACTTATAAAAATATTTAAATGGAAAATTTTTAATTCTATAAAAGTCTTTAGGGTTTTTTTCACTTATGCTTTGTAAGAATACTTCTGCTTGTTATATAAATAATACAAGCTCGTTACTAATAAATATATTTTCAGTTAATTAATCACCCCCAACAACAACATACACCAATGAATAATTCTCTTTTTAATATTGAATCTGTTCAACAAATTAATTCACGTTCGCGAAACACGCGTGGTGAAATTTGTAACGTGAGGTTCAGTCCTTTTGAAGAGCAAAGCCGACCTGACTTAACTTTAACAACACTTATTGCTAGCCTTCTGGACAGGGTAATGGCGAATCGCCCTGAGCCGCGTCTTGTTGGCCTTCAACTCCATCCTCCTGCGTTCCACAACCCATTTACAGTTCCTCTTCGGCCTCCCGCCCAAAATAATGCCGCGGCCTTGGCGGCAGCTATTGAGAGGCTGAATGAGATGAGCCAGGCAGGCATTGATCTCCTACAGGGGACGACTATTACAAAAGTAATTGCTGTATGGCCGCTTGATTCCCATCGCACAGCAAATCCCGAGGATAATTCTGGTGAGTAACAGTCTTGTTTTTTACATTTTTTAAAAAAATATGTAAGGCAAATCTGTTATTCAAGGTGCTTGTATCATTGATCAGGAACATGCTATAGCCCATCCCTGTCGATCAATTATCAAGATTATTAATCCAAATGACCGTTATTGCCTTGCTCGAGCAGTGTATATTGGCCTTAAAAAAGTTAATCTGATTGATCTGAATATAAGAAGACTTACACCTGAACAACAAAAACAGCAATTTCGAGCTTTTTGCCGCCAACAGGAGCATCATTTAAATCCTATAATTGAATTAATGCAAAATTCTGGCCTCCCTCTTGATTTAGAGGAGTATTCTCTAAATCATGTTGCAATGTTACAACGTTATGTCAATGAAAATGCTGGTGTGGAGGACCAAATAAGAATTGTTGTTTTTAAAAAAGAACAGCAATACCAAATTGTTTTTAAAGGTACTAGTGAATAGTTATTTTTTATTTATTCCTTATTATTTAGGTGAACCCCGTGCTGCTAGGTTTAACATTTGTCTTTTGCTGGAAAAAGGACATTATAGCTATTTGGCAAGGCCTGAACAGCTTTTCCGAGCCCATCGTTTCTGCATTGATTGTGAAAAAGGCGTTACAAGGACCCGGCATTGGGCTGGTTGTACAGTAGTTTGCCGACTTTGTATGCGTTATGGAGCAAATTTTCCGTGTCAATTTATTGAAAGAATTCCATGCAATGAGTGCGGCTTTGTTTTTCCGCAGCGCGCATGTTACGAACATCATTTAAATAATCAAGTCCCTGCAGAAATGGCTGGTCCAAGAACAACTAATTTTGCTTCAATTTGTCAATCTCGACGAATTTGTTTCCAGTGTAATCGCATTATTTTTGGGCGCCAGGAACAACAACTTCATGACTGTATTGCAGAGCAACAGCAACAACAGCAGCAGCACCAACAACAGTTAAATGGGGAATTAACTAATTGTGCTAAATGTAATGGCCCCCATCTACCTGAAAATCCATGTTTTATTCAGCCGCTCAAATCTGCTGAAAATACTATTACTTCTGAAGAAGTAAATTGTAGTGGATCTTCTATTGGTATTTTTTTTCAGTTTTTAATAAAAATAAATTGTAATTTTCTGAATAGATAATGAACAAAATCCGCCACAACAACAACAAAGACGTAGGAAGAAAAGATTACCTGTGAGATTTTGCTTTTTCGACGCAGAGACATCCCAAGAACATCCCATGGCTGTTGGAGCAAATAATTTTGGATATAAACATGTCCCGCTGCTGATAATTGCTGAAATCATTTGCGAAAAATGTATTGCTGCTGGGATAGGAATTGGCGATATTGGTCAACATGCAAATGGATGTTTCTGTGGTAAACCAAGAGGTGAAAGATGGCAAAGATGGTGCTCTACACCGTTTAAAAATGGCCCTGGCGACAACACCCCATTGCCTGAGACTCTTGGCTATAATCCTCGTCGCATGTATTTCCATAGCTTTGATAACGAGGAAGAAAATCCCGTGGATCAATTTTTGGACTATCTTCTATCTGTAAGTTTTTAAAATAATTATTTTTATTAAAATTTTTTTTATTTAGTACGGGTCTCAACAAATTCTAACAGTTTGCATAGCCCACAATGGAGGCAAATACGACTTCCATTTAATTCTTGAGGCCCTCCACAGGCGAAATATCCCTCCAACAAGTCTTTGTACAACAGGGCTAAAGATCTACTCTATGAGAATTGGAGGAAACAACCAAAGAAAAATACTTTTCAAGGATTCTCTCAACTTCTTCATTTGTGAACTAGATGCTCTTACAAAAGTTTTTTCTTTGCCGGAGGAAGTTGCCATATCAAAACCATTCTTCCCATATCTCTACATTATGCGACAACATTTGCATTTGAGAATTCAAGGGTTACCTGCACTTGACTACTATCAACCAGATTTTAAAAAACCTGAAAAAAGAGCCAAGTTGCTTGAATGGCACCAAGAACAAATGAATACACCAACAACAAATTTTCAACTACGAGAACAACTTCTACTCTATTGCGCAAACGACGTTGCCATTCTTCGTGAAAGTGTTCTACGATTTCGGCGACTCATTGGCGAAAACACAGCAGGCCTTGATCCATTCTTGACTGCTTCCACAGGAGCAGGCCTCGCTCTGTCTACAATGCGCCGTTGCTTTCTTCCTGAAAATTGGCTTGTACACTCTCCAGAAGGAGGATTTCTACGAGGAAGAAGAGCCTCAGCAGAGTCGCAGCGCTATATTAAATTATTTGAAGTTGAAAATAAAGAAGCTGAAGGAAAAGTTCAGTGCGCCCAATGGGCTATTGGGGAAGCTAATGTTGAAGATTCTGGCTACCGATTGGATGGTCTTTGGTATAGATCCCCGCCTCTCAAACCACTAGCCATCGAATACAACGGGTGCTACTACCATGGTAATATCTAAATAAAAATGTTTTTATCGAATCTTTCGTAGGTTGTCCAAAATGTTTCCCAATTCGCGACCAGCGTCTTGCTGGAGGGCGTACTGCTGAAGAACTTTATGAGCGCACACAATCGCGCCTTTATGAACTTGAACAACACGGTTATGCTTTGCATGTCATCTGGGGACATGATATGAAAGAAAGGCTACGCTCTAATCAACAACTAAGGCGAATATGGAATGAAATTGATGTTGTATGGCCTATGGACCCTAGGAAGGACTGTCTCAGAGGAGGAAGGACCGAACCTTTCAAACTTCATCACATTTGTACATCTGATGAAGAAATTATTTACATTGATATAGTATTTTATTGATATTAATTTTTTAAAAAAATTTTATTTTTCAAGGTCAGCCTATATCCATATGTGATGAAGGCGATGGAATTCCCAGTTGGATATCCTATTGTCCTGACAAGAGAAACACTTACACAACCGCCTAATGCGCCGCTACCATGGACTCACCCCCAACATAACATCTATAAGGGGCTGTTATTAGTACGCGTGCTTCCACCAACATCAATGAATGGACTTCCTCCCCTACTTGGTTATAGAACACATGATGGGCGTCTAACTTTTCCTCTTTGCTCTTTATGTGCAGACAACAAACAACAGAATGAATGCCATCATTCAATGGGGAAAAGATCCTGGATAAGTGGGTATACACATGTGGAGCTCAATAAAGCGCTAGAACTTGGTTATAAAATTTTGGATGTTTACGAGGTTCTACTATAAGTTTAATTTGTAACTTGTTAATATTAGGTATGGCATTATGATCGATGGGACCCGCAGCTCTTTAAAGGATATGTCAATACTTTTGTGGGACTTAAACAACAGGCGAGTGGTTGGCCCCAAAATTGCGATTCCCAAGAGGCACGTGAACATTACATTGCTGAATTTGAGCGCATTGAGGGAATTAGAATGGATCCAGAAAAGGTCGAAGTCAATCCTGGGCTACGAATGATTGCGGTGTGTTCTTTATAAAAAATTTAAATGAAAAATTTATTTCGTAAACATAAAAAAAATTTTTGCTTTTTTTAAATAAAATTTTAATCTAAAAAAATTAAAAAATTTGTTTTAATTGTTAATTTTTTCAACTTTTAGAAAATTTTGGCAAATTCCTTGTGGGGAAAAATGGCTCAGCGTGTTGGAGGTATTGAAGTCAAGTATGCAAAAACACCTGAAGAATTTCACCAGCTGTTAGAGGACCCAACTCTTGAGACTCTAGATTTTGAACATGTGAGCGAATTTATGGATCGGTGTGTTGTCCGAAAGAAAGAATTCGCAGAGCCTCCAGACACAAATTGCCTTCACGTAGCAGCTTTTGTAACATCATATGCTCGGCTTCATTTATATAAATATATGGAGGAAGTTAGACGTATTAATGGCCAGCTACTTTACTGTGACACAGATTCAATCTTCTATGTCACAAAACGTGGGGGAAATTATGTGGACGAGGGTGAGGCTCTGGGTCAAATGAAACGTGAACATCCTACTAGGCGCATACTAGAATTTATTGCTGGAGGGCCTAAAAACTATGGTTACCGCCACGTTGACAAGGGAACTGGCTTCGATGAAAGAGCTGAACTAAAAATAAGATCTTTCCCCCTTTCTTATGCGACACACCAATTGCTTAATTTTGAAACAATGAGACAACTTGTTATTAGTCAATTTAACATTGACGGAGAAATGTAAGTCATAAAAAAAATTTTTTTAATAGAAAAATAAACTTAAGGGACGAAATGTTTTCCGAAAATTTTATGTTTGAACCTGCCAACATGATTAGGGTTGAATTTCCCCAAATTGGCCGGACCCAGCGTTCTGATTTATATACAATGATGACTAGAAGAGACTATAGAGCATGTTTTGAAAAAGGAAGGATACGCCCAAATATGGAAACACTTCCCTTTGGGCATGTAAATTATAATGAACAACAACGACATGAGGTCTTTTTCTAATTAATTTAAAAAAATATTTTAAAAATAAAATTTTTTTAAAGTTTGTTCCAAATACATTCTCTGATCAAATTGAATACCAAAATATTGTTCCAAGAAATCACCATCTAAATTTACAAGATATTCCTGGCTCTTCAAATTGGACTGATGTAGATTATTTGCACAGATATAGATAACATTTATTTATTTTTTAACAATATTTTCATTTATGATTTTTTTATAATAATAATAAATTTTTCGTTACAATCTTGGAAATTTTAAAAGTAGAGGTAAAATAATATTGTCAAATAAATATTTAATTTGTTCAATATAAACTAATCCTGTTAATATAACACGTCCAGAAATATAGATAAGGCATGAAGCTTCTCTAAGTTCATCTTTAATTTTTAATCGAAGGGCCGGAAATATTGTTGGATCATATGAAGCCTTAACAATTTTTTCAAATAATTTTTCTCGTTGCTGTTTTTCTTGGGACTGTTGTCTAATCTTCCTATAGATTAATTCAATGGCAACTGGATTCATATTTCGATATGAGCCAACTATATTTGTAACTTTGAGGTTTGTAATTCGTAATTCACATAATGCTGTTATATTTGCTGCTCTAGTAGAAGCATTCATTCTTTTAACCACTATAGAAGCCATTTTTCTAGCCATCTTAACGTTAGGCACCCCTGTTAATACCACTTTACTCGACTGAAAAATTAATGCAGCGGTTGTTCTATTATGGTCATGACGAATTCGCATTATTATTGAGTGGAATCGTTTAGGATTATATTCAGTATTTATTCCATTTCTAGCTATTTTTTGAAAATTTTCTGATGAAAATCTTTGAATACCAGGCAAAAGTTTAAAAACACATGTACAGTTTTCAATATTCATATTTACTTTCTAAAATAATAAATGAAATAAGAAATACAATAAAAACAATTCAATACTTTAAAATAAAATTTGTATAAAAATAGGAATATTAATATTTAGCATTTTTTCATTTGTTTACTCTTCATAGAAACACTAATAACTTCAAGCGGGTAGTAAGAGCGATGGTGTCCTCCTCCAAATTCAATTATGCATGGCAAGTATGGGTGACGTAATTTGAAGCCGTGCTTTACGTAATAGTACCCTCGTACCTTAATTGAAAATTTTATTTTTTCTTTTAATTTTTAAAATCTTACCGTTATACCCAAATATCCTCTCATAGCAGGAACAATACTTGCTGGCTGAACAGTGAAATCATTGCAACGAATTATAAAATTTTTAGAAGGATGTAAGTGGGTTGTACGAAGTTGAACTTGATTTTGTAAATGTAGAATTATTTCTCGCCGTTTTTCGATGTTATAAAAGAGTACATGAAGCTCTTTAAATGCACAGTTGTGCAACTGACATAGATAATCAATTAATGGCACGGATCGACGTTTAAAAATTGACAATGGTAAGGGGTCTTCTATTGCCTCAGATTTTGGCTCAATAAAAGGATTTTCAGGCTCCTTGACGTCCTTTTCCTCTTCTTCCTTTTTTTCAGTCAAATTTTTCGGATCAATAGTTTCTTTGTCATCATCATCTTCATCGCTCTCAAGGACTATTTCGAGTATTTTGTCTCCATTATCTTTCAAAACATCCTCCTTATTTTTATCTTCAACAATTTCATTTACCAGAGAACTTAATCCAAGTGAGGTGACCAAAAGATCGATTTCATCCTTAATAAAAATTTTATTAAAAAAATATATGTATAATAAATTACTTTTTCTATTTTTTCATTTTTTGAATTGATTTCATGCAATTCCTTTTCTTGTTGCCGTTTTTCACGTTGTTGTCGTTCTTCCTCCTCACGTTGTTCGCGTTCTTGCTTCTCTTCTTGGGTTTCGATTACACCCCAAAGACCGAATGCATTGAAGGAATTAAAATTCATTTTTGTTAGAAAAATAAAGTACGAAGAAAAAATATGTTATATATATATATATGTATATATATAATGCTGAAAATAATAATTTAAGTTTTTCATTTCGAAATAAAATGGAAGGATTTGAAAAAATCGATTATTTACATACACAATTCAAGCACCCATTTACAATGATAGTTTCAGGAAGTACTGGCTCTGGGAAATCAGAATGGGTTAAAAAATTTTTAGAAAATTTAACAGAGATGATTCATTCTGATAATAAAATCTCTCTTGTATTTTATTGTTATGGAGAATTAAATAAAAATATTTTACTTATGCAAAGAAAAGGATTTGTTGATAAAGGAAAAACAAGTGTCATTGTTCATAATGGAATACCAACTGGGGGAGAGGACTTTATTCATAAGCAAGCAATTCAATCAAAGGGGTCTATGTTATTGGTATTAGATGATTTAATGGTGGGTATAGATCAACGCCTTATTGAAACAATATTTACAAGGGGGTCCCATAATTGGAAAATCAGTGTAATTCTTATTAGTCAACACTTATTTAATAAAGAGCTTAAAATACCTCGTAATAATTCTCACTATTTATTATTAATGAGAAACCCCGCAGGAGCTTTACAAATTAGAACCCTTGCCATGCAGCTTTTTCCTTCTCGCTCAAAATATTTTTTAGAAGCTTATTGGGATGCAACAAAAGATAATTTTGGTTATTTATTGGTTGATATTCATCCAAGCACTCCTGAAGTTCTAAGACTGAGAACACATATATACCCAAAAGAGAATGCAATTATTTATCTTCCAAAATGAAAAATAATAATTTTACAACTAGTTTTTTAATAGAAAAAAACGCAGGCTTTCTAAATAATTTATTATCTTGCTCAAAATCGAAAATGGCAGTTAATAAAATTATTTCTAATGCTTCTGATGAACAATTATTATGTCTTGTTGAAATTTGCTTGAATTTGTTAAAAGGGAGATTACCATTTCATAAAAATAGAATACAGAATCTACAAAATCAAGCATCGTTATTACGTAAAATTAGTCGATCGAGAAGCGCTTCTTCGGCCAAGCGCCTGCTACTAAGTGATAAAATTCAAAATGGACGTGGTTTCCCACCCGTCGCGGGTCTTCTTGCTAGTATTATTGTTCCCTTGATTGCAGAGAATTTTATTAAATAAAAATATAAATAGCATGATTTTCTAAATTTATTTAATATAAAAAAAATGCGCCATGCATCTCGAATGCTTTTAATTCCTGAGGATTTTTTCAAAAGTTTAATTGATTCAGCGAGACCAGAGGAAAAAATTACTAATAATAACAGCGATGGAACATCAATAGGGTTAATTAGAGAACGCCTACAAAACACTAGAGACAATCCTACATTAGATTCTGACACAAAAGCCATAAATTATGAGCAAGATTTTAAAAGATATAATAAACTTGTTAGAGACAAAGAAGAAAAACCTATTGATGTTAAGATTAAAAATATTACAGAAATTTCTGACAATATATTAAATAATAATGATGAAAAAAATTTAGAACCTTTGAAAAATATTGTCGATAAAAGAATAAGGAAAAAGGTTCCAATTAAAAAATTTAATAGAAACCCTATAAAAAGGGGCTCCCGTAAGAGATTCAATATTTTAGGTGATAAAAACATTGAATTAGAAGAAAATGAATATTTTTCAGCAGACAATGCCGAGAAACTTACATAACAAAGTCCTTAAATATGTTCGAGAAAATGCTGAATCATTAGGTATAACAAACGACTTTAGATTGCGCAAAGAAGTAGGTAGTAAATCTCCTCTTGTTACAAGTAATGTTGAAGAAATTATAAATCATATAATTAGAAATAATGGCGTTCGCAAAAGACCATTACCTACAGGTTACGACCATTTTCTTCGTAGAATTGATAAACATACATTTTTAAAAAATTTACTTTTTCCTCCATCTACATCAACTCAAACTGGGACTGGAGTTTTTTCATTTAAACCTTCGTTATGGAGAAATTAAAAATAAAACAAATAAAAATTTTAGATCGTTTATATAAAGATGTAAATTCATCAACATGTTTTACATCTCTTGAACCCCTCTTAAGGGAAGCAAGGCGGTTAGACAAAAGTATATCTCGTGATGATGTCAAGAAATATCTTTCGACTCAGGATACTTATACCTTACATAGGAGAGCCGTTAGAAAATATAAGCGAATGCGTACGCTCGCGGCTGGCTTACATACTGAATGGCAAGCTGATTTGAGTATTTTTGATCGTTTAGGCATTCAAAATAATGGTTTTAAGTATCTTCTCGTCTGTATAGACACGCTTAGCAGGATGATTTTTGTTGAACCAGTTAAAAGTAAACATAGTGAAAAAATGATTGAAGCCTTTAAAAGATTATTTGCCAGAATAAAAATCGTTCCTTGGAAATTATTAACCGATCAAGGATTAGAATTTACCGCAAAAGAAGTCCAAAAATATTTTAAATCCATAGATATGGAACATTTTTCAATGGTTACTTCCCCTCAATGGCATGCTGGTATGGCAGAAAGAGCTAATCGAAGCATAAAAGAAAGACTTTATCGTTATTTTACTGAAAAACGTACGTTAAAGTGGGTAGATGTTATTCAAGATATAGTTAACGCAATAAATAATTCTTTTAATTCATCTATTGATATGCGACCGGTAGACGTTACTTATAAGAACGCGGAGAAGTTAAGATTAAAATTAAAAGATAAGGCACGGGTGGAACTTGGTCCAAAACGTTGGAAAAATACAAACTTTTCAGTTGGCGATAAGGTTAGAATAGAGAAATATAAACATATATTTCAAAAAGGATACTTACCAAATTTTACAGATGAAATTTTTGTTATAAACCAGGTACGCCTTGTTCCACACCAGCGCCCCACATATAGACTAAACGATCAAAAGGGCGAATTAATTAGGGGTTGGTTTTATGCAAATGATTTGTGTTTGGTAAGAGACCGTAAAAAGGAAGATGTACTGTATGATATAGAAAAGGTTTTGAAAAAGAGAAAATTTGATGGGGAAGATCAATGCTTCGTAAAATGGAAAGGATATAGCGCGAAATATAATATTTGGATTCCCGCTAGCTCAGTTAGTTGGAGATAATATAAATAATAAAGTCGATTAAATTTTTTTATTAAAAAATGACTTCATTTTATATCGTTCTTCCTTCTAACACTAATGTTGAAGGTAATAAGACAAATTCATTCAGAGTTCGCTTGCCCCAGAAATTAAAATTTAACTCTGAATGGGCAGTAGGCTTGGCTGTAATGGTTTATCCATATTCTTGGCCCTCGCTTGGTACCACATCAGAACAATTTTTCACTGTAACATGGCAAACTAATGAGAGCGTCCGCGTAAATGTAACATCTTCTAGCTTTATGAATCCTTTGCATTTGAAAGAAAATTTAAATAGATCCCTTAATGAAAGCTGCAAAGAATTATCTGATAAAATGATAGAATATAAAAGTAAAATAAAAGAACTCAAAAATCAGGCTAAGAACGAGTATAAACGACTTTATGAATTAAAAGCGAATGAAAATACGACTAAATCAGAACATGCTGTTACCGAGCATTCTTATGACGATGATATTCCCTTAAAGACTGAATCTGAAATTTATGCAGATTTATTATCAAAGACGATTGAAGATTCAGACAACGTAGTAAAATTTTTATTAACTAGTGGAAGCGATTTTGATTCTTGGGTAAATGCTTATCTTATGCCAAGTTCCGTATGTAACTTTGAGTTTTACGAAAAGAAAAATCGGTTCTCATTATTCTTGGATAAAAACTATATAAAAAGTATAACCCTTACAGAGCAGCTAGCATATATTTTAGGGTTTGATAAACATGATATTTTTGAGACATCTATTGCGAAATTTATGCCTGATATGAAGGGGGGAGTGTCGTCTTTTCATGTATATGCTCCGGGGTTAATTGAACCAATGATAATAGGGGATGTAACCGCTCCCGTACTAAGAATTGTAAATATTAGAGGAAAACAAGATGAAATTATAGAAGAACAATTTCTCCTCATTCAATATCACAAATTGTTAATAAAAGAAATTAATGAAATTTTTATTGAGATAAGAACTTCAAGCGGGACTTTAATGCCCTTCCAATATGGAACATGTACATTAACCTTGCATTTTAAGAAGTCAACCTATTTTTAAATTATTATGAATACTCTTCAGATAAATAAAATTTTGCATAGAAATGATATTACAAAAGATTATTATATTGGCTGTTTTGCATCTGATTCAATTCCTGTTTCAATTAATTTTACACCTTTTTGTATGGTTGTAAATTTAGATCCAAGTAGTGGAGCAGGTAGCCATTGGATTGGAATATTTTGTGAAAATCTTAGTAATATAGATTATTATGATTCTTTGGGTATATGGCCTCCAATTAGTCCATATATTCAAAATTATCTGAGTAACTTTGAACGTGTCCGTTTCAATACAATTCAGGTACAAAACTCATTAAAACCTACTTGTGGAAAACACGTGATGTTTTTCTTATTTCAAAGGTGTAAGGGCTTCTCTATGAATAAAATAATTCAATTTTTAAAAACAGTAAAATCTGATGATTTCGTTTCTGAGTTTATAAAAAATAAGATATTTAATATAAATAATTGAGAATGCCTTACATTTTTAATTTTAAAATGCACATTGACTTTGACCCTACACATATTGATTGGTCAAATTTGACCGAACAATTGCCTGATAATAATAATAATTTGCAATGGGGAGGTTATAATGTATTTCGCGGTATCCCATATCAAAGAGGGAATGGCTTGGGCTCGGTCCTTAGAAGTTTCATGCGATATCTTATACCTTTTGGTAAGCAAATTGGTAGTGCTCTAGGTAAGCAAGGCTTAGAATCTAGCAATCGAGTTATAAGTAATGTTCTAGAAGGAAAAGATCTTAAAGAATCGCTTGTCGATGAAGGAAAATCGGGATTAAAAAATTTACTTCAAAAGGCCGCAGACAATATTGATAACCAAAAAGGAAAAGGTTTCGATTTTAAGCGTTATAAAAATATAAAAAAGAATCCAGCTATAGGTCAGATGAATACTGAAGAACAAGATTTTCATTCTAAAAGTATAAATAAGAAACCTTATTCTAGAATTGGTCCTCCAAATTTTATTCCAAAATCTTCCCAAAAAATGCGCAAAAAATCTATTAAAAAGCGAATTCGCGTAGACACCCTAGGTACTTACTAAAATGAGTTGCACCAAAAAAATTAATGAAAATAGCCCCTTAGCTCTAAATAGTGCTCTTAGTATATTCACTGTTCCACCCACAAATGTTTCTGTCGTTCGATCTTTTTTCAGAGAAATTCTGCCCCTTAGTACAATTACTCAAGACTCCCCATACCTATTTCGCTTATTTAGTGATAATCTATGGACTGATTTATCCCGAACATATCTCTATCTTGAACTTTCTATTGAAAAACTTGGCGCAGATAATAAATGGGGCCCAATAGTTGGAACAGATACTAACATTGCCCCAATTCAGGGTATCGGCTAAACATTTGTCCAGCAGTTAAAAGTGACTGTTGGTAATACTGAAGTTTATGACAGCGGTACTCTTTATCCTTTTAAGGCCTACATAACAAACGAACTTTCATTCCCAGACAATGTCAAATTTAATTTTCTTGCTTCTATTGGTTATTATAAATGTGATAAGCATGATGATAACACTGACGCAGGATTCCAGAAAAGATGTTCTCTATTTGCAAACGGTAAACATTCACAATTACTATCACGTTTAGATTTTGATTTAGGAAACCAAGAATTGTTTTTATTAAATAATTTAGATGTTAACTTTAGTATTTATCGATCAAAAAATTCATTTGCCCTGCAAAGGTTAAATGAAAATGACGAAGCCCAGTATAGACTTTATGTCCATGACGTAAAGTTATTTGTAAAAATGGTCGAGGTCCAGCCTTCACTTAACATGAATATTTACAAAACATTAGAATCAAAACCCGCCACCTATGCAGTTCGTAAAACTGAAATAAAATCGACCTTCCTTACTGCCGGGCGAACTGAAATTGAATATAATGCATTCAGCGCCAGCATTCCGCGTCGAATTACCGTTGCCTTAATTTCTAATAATGCATTCAATGGAAGCTTCGGTTTGTCCCCGTTTAATTTCCAGCCATACGATTTAAGGGATATTTCTGTTCATACGGGAGGTCACATATATCCTTTGGTCCCGTATAAATTAAAATTTAATGACAATCTTTTTGTTCGTGCATTTGTTGACATGTACGAAGCACTGGGCGTGGCAAATTCAGATAGATCAATCGATATTTCTATGGAAAAATTTTAAAGTGGTTGGACATTTTTTGTCATTCCACTTACATCCACACTTGATGATTCCTGTGGGTTTGAGCTTTTAAGAAGCGGCACTACTAGTATCAGACTAGAGTTTAACACACCAATTCCAGCCGGGGGTGTTGAAATGATTGTTCTGGGAGAATTTGACCAAATGTTAATGATTGATTATAATCGTCATATTGTTTCAGATTCAAATTTAGGTTAAATACATAATAAGCCTATCCTTTTGATAATATTAAAAATGCAAAATTTATCTCAACCTTATTCCTTTTCCAATAGCTCGGTTGATTATTTAGCTATAAAGAACGAATATGTTGACACCCCAAAACCTAATATAACATACGGGTTATTAATTTTATTAATTCAATACACACTTTTGTTACCCATAATTATTATTTGCTGGGTTTTTATGCTTCGGTTTTTACGCAGACACGGTTATATTACACAAGTACAAGCCGAAGAACTTGCCCAAACAATGCAAAGCCTACCCCTTCGCGATATTCAGAGATTTACTCAAATTTTCCACAATTTTTTCACTTGCTATTGGTTTATTTAATACTTTGTTTATCTGTCGCTGACAAACGGGAGTAAAAGGAAAAGAGATGCAATATATTCATTTTTACCGGCTGGCTAATATAGTTTTCGATGGTGTAGTTGGTAGTCATTCCGCCTCAGAAAAAATATGTAAAGTTCGATACCCGAGTGAGAAAATAATTTTTCAGCAATAAAAAAATCAAAATATTTAGGTATTATAAAATTGTCCATTTTTAACATTTGACCATTTGTACAGTGACCATTTGTCTGGTGACCATTTGTACTGGGGACCATTTGTACTGTTTACCATTTGTACAGGTGACCATTTGTACAGGTGACCATTTGTACTAGTCTACTACTACCCCCAAAAACCAATCTTTAGCCTTTCAATCTGCGGACCCCTCCCCCTCCTGTCCGTTATTAAATTAGCGATTGAAAATCAATCGATAATTTAATAATGGACAGATAGTAGTAATTAGTTTATTAGTATCAAAAGTTAACAATTTGAAAAGCATTTCCAAAATATAATACTTTAAGTGAAAATTATCTTTTTTCCTTTTCATCTTCCATTTTTTATACACAAATACATGAACATCATCTTAATACAGATCGTTGCTTTTTCCTTGAGATTGTTGTTTTTTGCTTCGAATAATCATTTATTATAATGGCGGGAAGAGTGCCAATAAAGCAGCTTCCATTTCCTCAGCATTTCCAAAATATTCATCACAACCGATCATTTTAATTGAAAATAATTTTAAATTTTATTAATTTTATTTTTACTCTCAATCAATTGTCAATATTTTATTACTTTATATACTAACATAAATTTAATTTGTTCTAGTATTTATTGTGTAAATTAATTACGTCACACTATAAAATACATGTTATCTTTTAGTTATTTTAATTATATTTAGAAGGAGTTCCTCTTAATTCGTCATTAAAACAATTTAAACTTTATCTAATTATAGAAAATTTTAACTAATTTGAGAGACATTTGTTTAGTGAATCATTTATGTACTAATATAATCTCTGAGTTACCCATTTAAATCTAATAAACTATAAATAAATTTACAATAATAAAACTTTAATTTGTATATTTAAGAATGGATTGTGTTAATTTATTCAAAATAATTTTATGTAGATGTTTAGGTATTTTATTCTTCCAATTTTGTTATTTCTTGCATTCTTAATCATTTTCGGCCTCCATAACCACCAAAGCCACCGGGACTTCCTAATCCAAGACTACCAAGTCCGGCAAGATTCCCAGTCCCGATATTGCCAAGGGCACCAAGTCCGACACGGCTACTAAGGCCATTGCCAAAGCTACCAAGTCCACTTAAGCTATTGCCAAGGCCACCAAATCCACTAAAACCATTTCCAAGGCCACTAAGTCCACTAAGGCTATTGCCAAAGCCACCAAGTCCACTAAGGCTATTGCCAAGGCCACCAAGTCCACTAAAACCATTTCCAAGGCCACTAAGTCCGCCAAAATTACTACCATAGCTACCAATCCCACCAAGACCTCCTAGCCCATTTGCGAATCCTCCGAGGCTACCAAGACTTCCAAGACCATTAGCAAAACCTCCGAATCCATTGCTTCCCCCAATTCCATTCATAGTATTACTCATCAAACCTGTTAAACCAAAACTTATATTTTTGTTAAGAGCATATATAAGTAACCTCCCAAATAGCCAGGATAAGACATAGAAGAAATTTGTGAACCATAGCCAAAGTTTGGTATTTGATTGCTTAATTATGAATAAAATTAATAAGTATTTTAAATTTGTTAAATTTAAAAACCTATTTTAAATTGAAAAGTCCAACCCATAAGAAGAAATTGGTGACATTCCATATTGACCGTCAAATCCCATACCAGAATTTTGAATGCCTATAATTAAATATTATATGTATTTAGTGTGTGTAGCTGTTATGCATGAGCATGGTATTTTCATCTAAATTTCTATGATATTTGGAAAATTAATGTAAATGAATGTCAAATTCTCAGAAGTCTTTAAAAGTTTTATTCTAAATTTGGATAAAATCTACCTATATTATTCCAAGACACACCTTAGATTTATTTCAATCCAATTTACTATGTATTTATATTTTAAATTCTTACCACTACCATAATATATAGCTGATACGGTTATCATTGAGTTTAAATGTAAAAAGTAAAATAAAATATAAAAACATAATTTCTGATATTTATTTGACATTAATTTAGAATTTAAATAAAAATTTAGAGAAAATTTTAAATTAATTAAAATAAATTTTCTAAAGAGAATTTTCAGACTGATGACATTTTTTGGCGTCGTATTGCTATAACGATGATAATAAGCTGACAAAAATTTTTCACTTTGTTTGAACAGTTCCTTTATTTATTATTTAGCTTCTATGTATTTATTTTTTTTGGAGAGATGGAAAATTTTATATTGAAATGAAATGAGGGAAAAATAAAAGAAATTAATTTTTCTTGAAAAAAAAGTTTATATTTGTTTATTATTATTTTAAAGATTTTAACTGATATATAAAGATTTTAACTAATACAGTAACTTTAACTACATTTAGAAACTTCTTTTAATTGCTATCTACTTCGATTTTAGCCAGACGTTCGATTCAGTAGTAACTCACAAAATATATTCACTGAATGGAATCATTGACACTAACAAGGGAACCTTTCGAGGTATAAGCATACCTATTTTGTATTGCTAAAGTAAATAAATAATTTTAAAATTATTTTGCACAAATTACTAAATTGAAGATACTAAAATTAATCGGCTTTAAATTTTTTAAAAGTTTATTCATTGTAACGGAAGTGATTATATCCTTGTTAATAAATTAATGTATCAAAAAATTATCTAAGTGTTTCATTTTTAATATTATTTAAAATTAATAAAAGTTAATTTAAGGAATTTTTTACAAAATATTTTAGATTTCCCTTCCAAAATCTTAACCTCGCCGAAGACATGAAAATTACAAGCTTTTCGATTTTTTAAATTAAAATAATTTTAGAATGTCTAACTTTAACAGACATAATAAAATTAATTTATTTTATAAAACTCGGTTTATTCCTAAAAATCAACAAACTCCTTAATTTTCAGACAAAAATTCATTTTTATTTTCAAAAACACCAATTTTATTTCCCTCATTCATTCAAAAAAAAATTAAAAACAAAAGTACATTTATATTTATTAAATAAATTATTTTAATCTATTAATTTTCAGCATAATCCTCTTTATATTTTTATTAAAAAGTACATAAAATTTTTTAAATTTTTGTCTGACTTCTGTCTGCTGCTCCTTTCCTCCTCATTTAAATAAATTTATTCATCGCCCACTTTTTTTATATTCACATCCTTTTAATAAGCATCTACTTATTATTTTAATTAAAATGAATATAATTTGAATAAATTTAATAAAAAAATTCTTTTAATTTTTGTTATTTTTATTATTTAAATTTTATTGTTAGGGTACTAAATGGAAGGATTATTCTTTGGTTAAACAAGGAAATAAAAAATAGAGTGTGGGAGAAAAGGCCTTGTTTTTTTACCATCTTCGTGAGGATAAAATGATGGGTAGAGTTAATAAAAATCCTTCTTGTTAATCAATTTATAGCCCCCCCCTTATATGTTTTTATAAATTTTCTTTTAAATATCTCAATTTACTACTATTTTAAGTTCGTTTAAGTAAAAATATTTTTATATTACTTACAGGTGAAATTAAACAAATAAAATTTTGTTGTGTAATAAATAGATGTATAAAAATAGATTTTAAAAAATATATTCACATTTAAAAAATATATTCACATAAACTCTCGTTTATACCAAAATTATTGTAAAATCCATTAACACATTAAAAGTTGTTTCAGACACTAAAATATATATAAATAATTATTAAAATATACATATGTATTCCATCAGCATTTTCCTTTTAGAAAGATAAAACAATTTTTATTTTCTTAAGTACGAACATTATACCGGGATTTTAATAAATATATTTTTTTGCTTTTAATTATTTTATTGCTATTATTATTTGCTATATTGATGTTTTATTTTTCCATTTCTTTTAATATGTTTATATATTTTTTATTATTTAACTTTAAAATTTAAGAAAATTTTTAAAAAATTATTTTATTTTTAATTAAGCTAAGTTAACTCAGTTTTTTCATAATTAATAAACAATCACCCAAACTATGATTAAGAAAAATGTGTAAACTTTAGGTGGATATAAGTTTATCGTTCATTCCTTTGTTCAACTTTTCACTTCTTCACATTTCAGCTAAATTCCCCACATTATAGTACATAAGCTGTCTTTTTTTTAATTTAATTTAAAAGAATTTCTATTTCTTTCTAAAAATTATCGATCAAGTAAATCAAAATTAATTTAATCATTGTTCTTTATAAAATGGGAGGAGGGGGGGGGGTGACTTTAATAGATTTCTGTAATGACTTCATAAATAAAAAGTTCTTTAAAATAATTAAATTTTAAATAAAAATAAGGGAAAATGTGGGGGAGGTGTAGAATGTCAAAACAACTTATTTTTATAGACAAATGTTCTTTTACTATTTTTAAAAAAGTACTAGCTTACTTTAAGTAATGTAAACAAGTTATGTATAAAAATTAAATTATTCTATTTTTGCCAAAAATATATTCCTTATTTACCTTTTTATTTTGCCTTTAGAATTTTATTAAGTTTTTCAGAATTATATTTTTTGTATTACCTCCTATAGTTAAGCAGATCTCGAGCACCTTCCGGATATCCGGATCAGTAATCAGAATTTATTTAAATAATGAGAACTGTCCAGCGACGGAGAGGGTCTTGAGGATACGTCATTGTAATAAATAATAAGTCGAAAATAAGCTTAGAGGAGTAACCCAGAGGAGTAGGTGTATTTGGATATATGAATCGAAAAATTTCGGGATATTTTAACTTTTTCGGACCCGGATATCCGGATTATCTGCATAATATTTGTTACAACTCTTAAAATTATTTCCTTTAATTCCATACAAATGTAATTGACAGATTTGTAAATATATGTATGTACATACTTAATCCTTTTCAAAATTAATATTATTTATTTTTTCATTAAATTTTTCATTAAAAATTTATTCTTAAATATAAACAAACATAAATATATTTCTAAAAATTTCTTTTCTTGGTCCTCATATATCTTCTTTAAAAACAAAAAAATATTAACTAAATTATGCATAAAAATTAAAAAAAGGGGGAAGAAAAAGCATTTAAAAAGTGTTTATGCGTGAGATATTATAAAGAAAATTAAAATATACTACATACATACAATTCTTTTTTTTGCTGTTTTTGCTTTAGGGGGAGAGAAAGGGGAAATTTTCTTTTACTTAAAGCTTATTATTATTTTAATTTTAACTTAAAATATTTAAATTAGCAATGCTCAACTTCACATATAAACTTTTAAAGCTTTTTGTTTGGCAAATTGATTATTCAATTTCCCCCACCCCCTCTTGTTAAAAAAATTTTTTTTAAATCCTCATCATTCATTTTTATTTTTTCTCCTTTTTCTTTTTTCATTTTGTCTCAACAGCAGCGGGTTTTATCTTTTTTAATTCCTTAATAATGAAAAGCTGCAAATTTAAATGAATAAAAGTTTATTTATTCCCCCAAGACATTAGTTAAAACATTATTTTTCTTCAATTAACAGAAAAGGGCATCCTTATCCTTAATTTAATATTATATGAAAGAAGTATTTAAAATTAAGACATTAAATTTTGAAATATAAAATTAGAATAAATTATTTTTAAATATCTGCTTTAAAATTAGCTAAAATAAAATATCCCATCTCTTTTTAATTTTACAACAACTTTAACAATCTTAATAAATTCTCTGATTTTTTTTTCAGAATTTTCTTTTAAAAATTAAACAATTTAAATGGAAACAACAACAACAATTCAAAGTTTCCATTATAATTTATTAATTAACAATAATTCAACAAAATCCATAACCACAACCTCAAAAATAATAACAAATTGTTCAATGTTATTTTTGAAAGAATGGAGTCGTAGATTTGGGGAAATACAAAATACTGTAAATTAAAAAGAATTATTAAATTTTATAATTTTAATGAAAAATTAGGTTGATATTATTATGTTTTGTTTATGTACTTTTGCTGTATTTTTAAATGTTTCTGTTATTCATAGTGCATTACGGCTTTTCCAAAAGAATTTTGACACAATACACGTTTACATTATTAGTATGACTATTGCTGATTTGCTTATTGGTAATTAAAAAATTTTTAAAAAATAATAATTTTTAATAAACGAAATGGGTTAAAAATAAAATTTAAATTATTTACAAAAATCCCGCCCGATTCCCGGAGCTGTGAAATTTTTTCTTATGCCAACTATATCTCTTCCGCATTTTAAAATCTGTTTCGGCACACCCCTGATACATACAAACAATTCAAATCCAAACTCTTCAAAATTTTTAATTTTTAGTTTCATGTATGATGTTAGAATCACTTGATCGTTTATTCCTTTTTCTAACACGTTTACCTTGTTCTGCTTTACATTTTATTGGATGGATGAGTTGGTCAGCATCTAGTTTATCTTTAGTATTACTTAATAGCGATAAACTACTCTATTTTTGTTTTCCTTTACATTATCGAATAATTAAATCTGTTAGGAGAACAGTTAAACTTTGCCTTTTTGTTTGGATTTTATCTTGCTGGTTAGTTAGTCTTTAAATATAATTAATTCGAAAATAATTTCTATTTTTTTAAAGTTTTGTCAGTTATGTTTGGCTTTCAAATATTTTAAATATTGGACCTTCAAAATATTTTGTTAGATGCTCGGTTCTAAATTTTTATTTAACTAAAAAGAAAATACTAATATTTTTAAAGACAAGTTTAAATACTGGCAAATTACATATTTTTACTTTTTATACTCTTCTTGTTTGTGTTCTATCTATTTTCTCCTCATTAATTGTTAGCTGCCACCTGTTACGTTTGATGAGTCGAAAAAGAAGACACAGTCTTCGAACAACTTTACAAATTACAAGTTCTACTAGTAGTGAAGAACAAATAACATTAGCACCTGCTTTTACAAGAAAAGTAAAATTAAATATTAAAAATAATGGAGACATTCTTTTAGATTTTTATTTTAAATTCAAGCATTTAATTAGCCCATTTTTATTATAAATTTTTATTCGTTCCCCAGTTAAAAATAAATATTTATTTAAAAAATAATTCATATTTTAGGTCCGTTCACTCGTTTTTATCTTCATAACAACAGTTTGGACTGCCATAAGTCTCTTGCCTTACCGTGTATTTGTATTAGCACAATACAATTATCTTGATACTATGCTAGCTGATATTTGTGGATGGAAGGCTTTATGGTTAAGTCAATTGGGGTGGCTACTACATTATTTACTTAAACTTAATCCTGTATTTATTAAATATTTTATTTAATAATTTTTAAATAATTAAAGATTGTTAATCCTTGTATTACGGCTTTTATTTACCATCCCTATCGAATGGATTTTGCTAAACGATTAAACAGACATTTTCACGGCAGTACAAGAACACAGGAGGAGGCTGAACTTTAAAATTTGATTTGGGAATTTTTTAAAATTTTATTTAAAAGAATCGGGTATTATATAAATAATTTGTTGTTTACCTTTTTATCAAAAAATATTTGAAATTTCTAGAAAAACAATCCACATAAACATAAAATTTTTTATCCCTAGCTAGATCAATGTAGTCCTCTAAGCTAAAGAAACAAGTCAATAATGAGCTCATTTTCGAAAACTTTTTTTACAATACTATTTTTGGTTGTTGATTTTTAATATTTTTAATTATTACTCATTTAATTTTAATTTTCAAATTAATAAAAACTGAAAAAAAAATTTTTGAGTGAATATTCCATTTTAATATCCACCCAAATTTCAACCATCGCAATTTTCATTTGTTATCTCCATAGGTGCATGTAAAATCAAGATTTTACAAAAAGAAATAAACTTCAAAATAAGTACTATAGTAATATTTAGAGCGTGTCATTTAAGGTTTTTAAGACCCGCTAACTGACCATCGCTGACCACTGCTTTTTGAGTTCAACTCATCACTCATGGTCAGCGATAGTTAGTTAGCGGGTTTTAAAAACCTAAAATGACACGCTTTAGTAATATTCCCCATGCTAATATTTACGTAATCGGGTTTTTAATATCTTAAAAAGGCAATTTATTTAAATATTTATAAAATAAATTTAATTTCATTGTCAATAAATTATCAAGACAAAATTTAAAGATACATTGGCGTTTCTAAAGTAACATTTGTTAGAGCTTCAGTATACATTCTAGGTGTGTCTTCATTAATTGTTGATAGTAGCGGTTGTTGTTGTTGCTGTTGCTGAAGTGTTGATATATTTCCCCCAAAATTATTAGGAATTACAGAATTTGAAGCATTTTGGTCAATCATTATATCTAAATTGCCTATAATATTTAAATAATATTTAAAAGAAAATTGTATAACCAAAGGCAAATGGAGGCGCAAAAAATCCCTCAATATGAGGAGATGATGATTGTCTTGAGATTGGGTAAGTTGGAACATTAGTAGAGTGGTTGTTCAGAGAATTATCAAATTTTTGATTAGAATCTTAAATAAAAATAAAATTTTTTTTGGAAATTATTTATTGAGAATTATTTGGATAAGTTGGCTTAACCGAGAATTAAAGTAAATGTTAAATATCTAATTGGAAATTATTAAACAGAAGCAATGGAATTAAGTTTTTAGAGATTTAATAAGAGGAACTTAAATATTAATTTGTAAATAAAAAACACCTTCACAATTTATTGACATATCTGGGAAAGATTGGAGCATTTCTGAACAAGATGCAACCCTTCCAACTTGTTGGTGTTGTTGTTGTATATTTAAATTTTGTTGTTGATTTAAATGTTCTTGTGATATATTTTCTCCAAAAATATTCGAAGAAAGCCAAAGATTTTCTTCTTGTGCTGAAGCAAAACTCATTTCAGTTTCTGAACGTGATTTTATTGAACAGGAGCGGGCACGGCGATAAAAAAGATTTTCATCGTCAAGGGACGATATAAAATTGTTATATTCATTATTCAAACTATTATTCCAAATATCCCCATTATGTATTTGGTTAATATTAAATTGTTGCTGCTGTTGTTGTGGCGAGTAATGCCCATCATTTATGCTTAAATCCTTAACAAAAAATTGAAAAAATATTTGCAATTTAAAAATAGTAAGCGGATTCTTCGAATAACTAAAAGAACGCCTCGGCTAATTAGGTTCAAACTTTTTTTGACCCAGTACCCAAACTTGAATGAGAATGATACATATTGGAATAAAGCAAGACAAAAAGGAAAAAGAATAAAATTTTATTCGATTAAATTTCATATTTTCGGAAATAAAACAATAATAATATGTGTAGAGGAAAGCATTATACCACAAAAATTTTTAAATGTATTTTTATTCAAATTTAAGTATTATCTAAAAAGTCCTCAGCTTTAAATTACCGGATTTTAATTTAAAAATAAAATTTTAACTTACTTGGCAAGAAAAGCTTTGCTGTTTGACATCAAAAAGATTTGGTTTTTTGCTAATTGGCGGAGGCCGACTTATGCTAACATAAGGGACATTTTGAGTGAACATAATATTCTATAAAAAAGATTTAACGATTTTCAAATTCTTTTAAATAAATTTAAAAAATTTAAAAAATTATTAAAGTTACATTTGTTTGTTGTTCTTGTTTTAACGATTGTTGATTCTGAGCAGCTTCCCAACTTTGAGGATCTCTTTGTTTCCAAAGCAAGTCTTTTAAAATTGAATTTTCTCTTTCTAATTCAGCAATACGTGCATACAATTCTGGTAATTTTTGGCGAGCTTCAACTCCTTTCTTTAAATAAAATTTAAATTAAAATATTTAAAATAAAACACAAACAATTCTATATGCTTCTTGATATTTTCTATTTGCTTCTGCTCTTTTTTGCTTTTTTTCTACTTTTTTAACAACTCCATTATTATTATTAAAAAACATGTTTGATTCTTCTGTTGACATACTTTTGGCTTAAATTTTGGAATTTTGAATGGATATGGATACCCTCCTCCTAGACAAATCTTTCTTACCTCGCCCACGACAATAGGATGATACAGAGGAAGTGCCAAGCATTTATTAAAAATTAATTTATTTTAAAAATTAAAAAACTAAAATTAAATTGAAAAATAAATTAACAGGAAATTAAGCAAAATAATTTAATATTTCAATGAAAAAATAAAGATTAAAGGCAAGTATGCAAGCAAAAGTTTAACAAATTTAGCGAAAAGAGTTGAGAATTTAATAAATAGATTTAACGAACATTTATTTAAAATTTAATTAATTAAAGAAAATTAATTTAATTTTTTTTCTAAAAAATATTATTTTTAATTAACAAAAGAATAATTTTTAAAATAAAAATATTTTTTTTCTAAATTTAAAAATGCCTTTTAAATAATTCTTTTTAATTATTCACATAAATAACCCCCTCACATGATTAATTTAAAAAATAATTTTTTAAGTTCCTGTTTAAAAAGGACAAAACAACAAAATTGTGAAGGAGTAAAAATACTCAAATGATTAAAAGAAAATAAAAGGGGAAGGGAAGGGAAGGGGGAATCAATTAATTTGTTTTAAATTTTAATAGACTTTTATTTAAAATTAAATTTAAATTTAATATGTAAATAAAAATAAATTTAGGCATATTTAAATAAATAATAAGGAAGTGTTCTTTATTTAAAAAATATTTTTATTTCCTTGTATTTTAATTAAACAAATATTTTTTTTAATTATTTAAAAATTTTAAAATGGTTGTTTTGACAAAAAATATTAAATTGTTATGATTTCAAAAATAAAATAGAAGAGAAACAAACAAAAAAAGGACATAAATGTTGGTTGAAATACAAAAAAAGAAAAAATATTAATTTGTGGATAATTTTAAATATAATATATAAATATTAAATTAAAGTATCTTTTAAAGTTTTAATTCTTTTAATTAAATAAGTATTGATATTTATTCTGATCGAATTTAAAAGAAAGGAGAAGTGCAAATTGAATTGACAAATTAATAGAATAAATTAAAGAGCAAAACCAAAAACCAAAATAAATTTATAAAAAAAATTGGAGAATATTAATTTAATAATTTAAATATAATTTTTTAATTATTTAATAGTTCTCAATAAAATTTATTAACAAAATTGATTAATTCCCGAAGCTCTCCTTCGAGAGAAAATTTAATAAAAAATACAACTACGTATTCTTTAAATTATTAATTTAAAAAATATCTAAATTAATTATTGAATATTCGAAAAATAAAAAAAAATAAATTACAAAAAAATGCGCATAAAAATGAATGAAAAATGTGAGTTGGCTGTACAGAAAGTAGGTATTGTGAATTTGGCCATCAAAAATATTCTTCCTCTTATTCTTCTCTTTAATAAAAGCATTCACAACATACTATTTATGTATTTATTTACGTGAATAGTTTTGTAAAAAAATGAATTATTTTTTTGACTATTTTTCTCATAAAAATATGACAACCATTTTTATTAATTCTTTTACGGGGGTCTAGTGCAGTTCACCATAAGGCAGTTCACCAAACGTCAGTTCACCATAAGGCAGTTCACCAAAAAACAGTTCACCACATGGGGTAATTCACCATAAGGCAATTCACCATATGGACGATTCACCATATGTGTAAATAGACAATTCACCATATGTGTTAAATCTTGTCTAAAATCAGCCGGAGAGTGATCAACAGGTAGGGTGATTAACAGGTGGAGTGATCAGCAAGTGGAGGGATCAACAGGAGGATGATCAATCGATGATGTGATCAACAGGAGGAGTCAACACAGTGAAATTCAGCCGAAGTTGATCAAAAAGGGGTGATCAGCAGGGAATTGATCAACACAGTGAGTGATCAGCCAAGAAATTGATCAACAAGGAGCGGATCAGCTAGAGTGATCAACCGAGAGATCGTCGACAAGTGATCGATCAAATGGTTGATCAATACCTTGTTTATCTTCCGTCTGGTCACTCTCCTTGTTGGTCATCTTTCTGCTGATCACTTCACTATTCTGTTGACTGATCACTTCTCTCGGCTGATGACACGATCACTTTCTCGTATGATGACAGAATGATCAGATAGGATCAATAAGGCGAATATAATAATATAATTCGCCTTATTGATTGTTGATAGGATCAATAAGGCGAAATTATCGAACGGTCGCGTCTCGATTGATCACTAGTTCGATCAATAAAAGTAGTTAGTCAACTGGTTTCGGGACAAAGGGAAATGCCGCCAACCTTTTGATTGATGTTCAAAGGGGATGCCGCAAACCTATTGACAGGTTTGGTGGGGGAGGGGTCCGCGCCCACAAAACCAAATCCTAAAGAAGGGTTTTGAGTGAGAGGGGGAGGGGTCCGAACCTAATCCTGAAGGGGATGTTGGAGGGGCGGAGGGGTCTCGCAAACTAATTGACGGGTGATGGACGGGTCCCGCACTAATTAGTAGGTGTCGGAAGGGGTTCGCGCATTTGCGGCAAACTTCGAGACGAGTGTGTAAGGATGGGAAGGGTCCCGCGAACTAATTGATTGGTGGTGGAGGGGTCTCGCGCATCAATTAGTAAAGGGTACCGCTCACTAATTAGTAGGTGGTGAAGGGGTTCGCGCACTGCGGTAAAAATGTGTAGGGGTGGGAAGGGGAACTTCCAAACTTTTTTGAAGGTGGGTGTAAGGGGTGGTAAATCTTTCAAACTTTTGAAGGGTAGATTTTTCAAACTTTGATTTTTTAAACTTTTGAGGGAAATTAAAAACTTTTGAAGTGGGTGAGTGTAAGGGGTAGTGCTTTAAAACTTTTTAAGGTTGTTTTTCGCGCACTGCGGTAAAACTGGGGTGGAGAGCTAAATTTTTCAAACTTTTTCGAAGGATGGGTGGAAGGGGTGGTAAATCTTTCAAACTTTGATTTTTCAAGCTTTTGAGGGAAATTAAAAACTTTTGAAAGGGGTGAGTGTAAGGGGTGGAGGATCTATAAAACCTTTGATGGATGGGTGAAGGAATGCTTTTCACTTTTGAGAGGGTCCTTGAATGGACTACAGCCGAAAACTAGTCGCGCCTAAAAAGTTTGCGCCGTAATGGCGCAAGCTTGTTTTTTGTCTGCGCGTTTTTTCTTTTACCATTTACAATAAGTATTGACTGGTGGGGAAAGAAGGATGAGAAGCAAGCCAAAAATTTGACCTTCATTTCTCATCCTTTTCCTCCCCAAACAATCAATTCTACTCCTTATTCTCAGTATTTTTCTTTTATAAACAAAAATTTTTCCTTCCTCACATAACGATTTATTTTATGTGAATGGTAAACCACGCCAAAAATAAAATTATTTTTATTAAAAAATTTTTTCAGATAAAAATTTTAATTATTTATTTTTAAAAATTAAATTATTTTTATTTTTCAATTTAAAGTTTGAACGCCTAAAAATTAAAATGTTTTATTTTTTATTAAAATTTATTAATTTTTATCTATTCAACAACAACAACAAAAAACAACCTGCTAATTTAACTTTTAAAAGGATGGTTTTGGTCTGGTGGAAAGTTTCGTAAGTTTATTTTATAAATTTGGGATTTTTGTTTAAAAATTTAAACCACAGAAAATTCGGGGCCCGGGACGGATTCGAACCTATAACCTTATATAAACTTTTTTAACTTGTTAGTGATGTCATGGTCATCCCCTTACACTTGTGCCTAATTAATATGGAAGGGTTCAAAAAAATTTGGTTTAAAAAAATTTTCTTAAAATTTGTTTATTTAAGGTAAAAATCAGGACTGACATGAATGCCAGCCAGTTGATGAAGGTAAATTAAAATCTAAAAGATTTTAGTGTTAAAACAAAACCATGTAAAGGGTTTAGGAGGCAACTGGGAAAACCCTGTAAAGGGTTTGGGGTAAAATGGTAAAACCCTGTAAAGGGTTTGGGAGGGAAAAGGAAAACCCTGTAAAGGGTTTGTAGGGAAGTGAGAAAACCCTGTAAAGGGTTTGGGAGGGATGGGTAAAACCCTGAGAAGGGTTTGGGAGGGAAGGGGAAAACCCTGTAAAGGGTTTGGGAGGGAAGTTGGAAAACCCTGTAAAGGGTTTGTAGGGAAGTTAGAAAACCCTGTAAAGGGTTAGGGAAATAGTAAAACCCTATAAAGGGTTGGGAGGGAAGTGAGAAAAATCTGTAAAGGGTATGGGAGGGATGGGTAAAACCCTGAAAAGGGTTTGGGAGGGAAGGGGAAAACCCTGTAAAGGGTTTGGGAGGGACGGGTAAAACCCTGTAAAGGGTTTGGGAGGGACGGGTAAAACCCTGTAAAGGGTTTGGGAGGGACGGGTAAAACCATGTAAAGGGTTAGGGAAATAGTAAAACCCTATAAAGGGTTGGGAGGGGAAGGTAAACCCTGTAAAGGGTTTGGGAGGGATGGGTAAAACCCTGTAAAGGGTTTGGGGGAAGTAGGAAAACCCTGTAAAGGGTTTGGGGTAAAAGGGTTTGGGAGGGATGGGTAAAACCCTGTAAAGGGTTGGGAGGGGAAGGTAAAACCCTGTAAAGGGTTTGGGAGGGGAAGGTAAACCCTGTAAAGGGTTTGGGAGGGGAAGTTAAAACCCTGTAAAGGGTTGGGAGGGGAAGGTAAACCCTTAAAGGGTTTGGGAGGGATGGGTAAAACCCTGTAAAGGGTTTGGGGGAAGTAGGAAAACCCTGTAAAGGGTTTGGGAGGGATGGGTAAAACCCTGTAAAGGGTTTGGGAGGGAAAAGGAAAACCCTGTAAAGGGTTTGTAGGGAAGTAGGAAAACCCTGTAAAGGGTTTGGGGTAAAAGGGTTTGGGAGGGATGGGTAAAACCCTGTAAAGGGTTGGGAGGGGAAGGTAAAACCCTGTAAAGGGTTTGGGAGGGGAAGGTAAACCCTGTAAAGGGTTTGGGAGGGGAAGTTAAAACCCTGTAAAGGGTTGGGAGGGGAAGGTAAACCCTTAAAGGGTTTGGGAGGGATGGGTAAAACCCTGTAAAGGGTTTGGGGGAAGTAGGAAAACCCTGTAAAGGGTTTGGGAGGGATGGGTAAAACCCTGTAAAGGGTTTGGGAGGGAAATGGTAAAACCCTATAAAGGGTTGGGAGGGAAATTGTAAAACCCTGTAAAGGGTTTGGGAGGGAAATGGTAAAACCCTATAAAGGGTTGGGAGGGAAATTGTAAAACCCTGTAATGGGTTTGGGAGGGAACGGTAAAACCCTATATAGGGTCTGGGGAAGAATGGTAAAACTATAAAAAGGGTTTTTAACCTTGTAAAAGGTTCTTTAAGGATTATTTGATGGCAATGATTGTGTGCGTCGTGCGCTTCGATGTCTTTGAAGTGCTATTGGTAAATTCAAAAAAAAACTGTACAAAATTAATTAAAAATTTTTAGGTTTTGCCTTGTTCAAAAAAGGACCCCTCCTTTGCTTATGGATCTTCATTAAGTAATCTTTTACTCATTAATTTTTCAAAAATTTTAAACAATTATATTATTTATAGAATTGCCTTGAAGTGACCACACATGCAGAGAAGACCGATGTGAAGATGTCACAACAGTTAGAATAGGAAAAAAATATTTTAAAAATAAAAATTATATTTATTAATTTATAAAATTTTAAATAAATTAAATGTTTTTAATTTGTTCTTTTTTATTTTATATAGTCTTATAGATTAAGGGAAATAATTTAGAGAAATTTTTTAAGGTAAAAAAATTAAATTTTTACTCATTAATTTTTCAAATATTTAGATTATATTAATATTATGTCCTTGTTGCACAAAGTGAAAATTTTGCATAGGGTGTAATTTATAGTTGTCTCAACATCTTTTTCCTTCATCACATAACCCGACTTAAGTGTCCGGTATCTCTCTCCTTTCCGACTTTTTGCATGAGAGTTTAAGTATAGTAAAACCATTTGTGTTGACCAGAGATATAAAAGATATTCTAGAGTCTTAGAGTAAAACTATCTAAATTGTACTTAATTTATAAAAAATATCTATCATAAAATATCTAATAATTCAAAAACACTTGCGTTTTTGAAAAATCCCTTGTTTTTATTTTCATAAAAACATTAATTTAGTAATTTTCCATCATTATTTTCCATTCTTTTCTCTTTCTATGAACAATCATTATAAGGGTTAATGAAACAACATATGTTATTGAATTAAAGACTGCAAACATCTTAGTGTCCACTTTAATTTTAGGATAAAAAGAAGAGAAAAGAAATGCACACACAAGTGCCAGCTATAATAATTAATTAATCTCTTTTTTATCCGTCACTCTTATTTTATTTTTCCCTCTTTTATTTTGACCGTTTGCTACAACATATGTTTTTAAATATAAACGTTCTAGTTGCGTAAAAATTAAAGAAAAATAATAATTAGAAAGGGACCATCTTTTTTAATATTTAAAATTTAAATAAATAATTTATAAAGGGACCATCTTTAATAATATTTTAAATTTAAATAAATAATTTAGAGAGGGACCATCTTGTTTATTAATATTAAAATAAAAAATTTTAAGGGGACCATTTTTTATAATATTAAAAATATTAATGGAAGAGCGGGGGAGGGGGTATAAAAGCTAAAAAATTTCTGAAATTTAATTCATTTCACTTTTCAAAATGCATTATCTTATTGATGAAATTTCTAACATCTTAAACTGCCACACCAAGTCCTTGCGCGACAATCTCAATCATCCGGCCAAGCGAGCACTTATTAATTCTAAACTGAAAGGAAAGTTAGTGCGTACACTTTATGCTGACCGAAATGGCTTTAGAAAAACTTTTACACTTTATGGATTTACACACAAAGGTGTGCATATTTTGCCTAAGTATTACTTTAAAAGATTTTATTAAGGGGCTCATTCAATTATGGCGTATGGATCTTTAGCCCGTCCATACAACGTTTCCGTGACAGCTCATTTCTATTCACGTCATCGAATACGTTTACGACACCCTTATCTTCAATGTGTCGTGGAAAAGTTTCCAAGGCGATGTGAGGATCGATATTACCCACTAGAATTATTGGAGATAGTTGATGAAAATGAAGATGATCATATTGGTTTTCCAGCTCCAAACGATGATAAAGAATTTTATAAGGATCTTTCTGAGAAACTTTTAATTGATAATATTTCAAATTCGGATAAAAACGATGAGCCGCTCGAATTTGATATGATGGATGAAATAGAAGGATGGTAATAGTACACACATGGATATACATACATGCACTCTTATGCACATGCACACGTATGACATATTATTTGTTTTTTCATTAAAATTTAAAAATTTAATCTTCAATCTGTTAATTCTGTAAAACTACCCCTAAAACTATTAACTTCTTTCACTTAATTTTATTATGTTCTTCTATGAACTAATTCTGCTGCATTTTTACCCCTAAAACTATACACTTGTATCAATTAATTTTGCACAAAATAATAAAATTTTATTACAAAAGCTACACTAAAAACAAACTCCGAGCCGTATTACACATGTGTAACTTACACACGTGTATATCACACACATGCATGGAAATTATTTAAAAATTTATATTAAAATTAAAAAATTGATCTTCTAACCCTTAATACCGCAATTTCCTCCCTAAAATTATTAACTTCTTTCTATTAATGTTGAAATTAAAATAAAATGGTATTTTCTAAATCTTAATTCCGCATTTTTACCCCTAAAATCAACTACTTCCTTCTATTAATTTTTAAATGTTATTTTCTTTAACTTAATTTCGTATTTTTACCCCTAAAACTACACTCTTGTAATAATTAATTTAGCAAAGAAAAATAAATTTTATTAAAAAATAATTACAAAATATAACCAAAGTCCAAAACTTTAAAATCACTAGGGCGAACAATTCCTTTTCCTACAAATGGACGGTACATTTATTGAAGGGGTTGGGAAATTACCGCACCATTTTTTACAGATGGGCGTAGGAAATTTGGATAAGAAATGTTAAGGGGGATTGAATATCCAGTATTAGCAAAATGCATAACTTTTTCTTTGAAAACATCATATCTTAGTCCTTGGTTGATGACCACATCGAAGTTCAAAGTCATCCCCCGCACTTTCAGAACATATTCGAATTCAGCAGAAGCGTTGTCCTTCTTTTGTAGTTTCAGGCCATATTGTTTGGCCCCACCGGAACAATATTCCAAAATATTATGCTGGGGGTATTCATTGGTAAATTGACCTAGGTGTGGGCCTAGGTCAAGTGGGCAAGTCTCAGTTGGGTGGACAAAGATGAGCGAGTCCGTATCTGAAATTAATTTTATAAAAATTTTTAGTTGTTTTACTAATAAAATTTACCTGTGTACAGAAGTGTACAACCGGGTGTGCGAACCACCTTCTGCATAGCTCTCAACAAGTGGATACGCGCACAGGACGTTGTCCACAAGGATATAACTAAAAATTTTATTAAAATTTTTAAAACTTTTAAAAAACATACCGACGTTGGAACATTCATGTTCCTCTACCCAATCCTTTTTGGTAAGGTGGGAGATAAGAATGATGTCCGTTGTCAACTCATCCACACTTGATACCTCTTTGCTTGGATCATCAACAATTTTTCTCCATGTAGCAGGACTGTCAGTGATTGTGCACTGACTTAGACCAAAATTGCGGAGGGAAAAGCGTCCCCCTAAATTTTTATAATATTAGAAAATATTTATTTTTTATCTTACAAAGGTTGTTGAGACATAGCTTGGCCTGCGTTCTTTTCCCTTTGTTGGGAATCTAAATTTTAAATTTTTTTTAAAATTTTCTTCTGAATTAAATTTACCATTTTATTTCGGTCAATAATAATATCAAAATTCTCGGCACATTCTCTGATGAATTGTTCTTCGGCTTCAAAGTTGTTCTTGATGCTGTCGTCAAACCCAGAGGAATGAATCTTCTGGGCCATAAATTCGGCAATGTAAGAACGGAAGAGAGTGTTGTCGGACGAAGTGTACTCCAGCACCCGAAACAGTTTGGTGACGCGATAGCCCTAAAATATCAAATATTCCATAAAAAAGAAGTAATAGAGATTATACCTCATCCAACGCCATATTTAACTCAATTGATGTACAGGTGCTTACCCATCCTCTTTGTTGGTCGGTATGATGGCAGGAGTAGTCCTCTTGCACTGATCCTTCAGGATTATTCTTTCTAAATTAAAAATTTTTGAAAGTTTTTCTATCAAACTTACGCGCAAGCCAAACAAAGCGGGAATAAAAGCCTATCATTGGACTTGACGGGAAGAATGGGCACATCGATCTTTCGAGGTGGTATCACAAAGACCTTAATTATTTTCATAAAATTTTAAAAAATTATAAATACCTTTAAAATTGCAAGTTCATATTTATTATCCGTGGCTTTGGACCAGTTGACATCTTCATTTAATATGTGCACATTCGGGTGGCCTATTGGGTAGTTCGTTGTCACATTTATAAACGGGTACAAAGAGGTGACGTCGAAGTATGAAATTTTTTCACCCTGCTGAGCAGTATGAAATAATTTTAATGGGCCCGTTCTTCCTCCGTAGAAGGCGCTGCGGATGTCAATGGGCCCGTTGTCAACATATTCTTCAAACTTTTGCCGCATTTCCATGTTCTTTTCAAGCATTGTTTTAATCTCACATTCCCAAAAAACTTCTACATTAATTTGAGACTTGATGAATTCAAGTCTTTTCTTATCCATTTCACGTTGTTTACCGGCAGCTTTTCCATTTGGGAGGACGATGTTGTCGTCAGGGTAACATTTCCCGCAAGCATGCCAACAACATCCATTGATTTCCAGACCAAGTTGCTGGTCTTCAATCCACCCATCTAACCGATAATTGCCAATCCTATAAAAATTTAAAAAATTTTAATTTAAAATTTAATCTTATTTAAAAATTTTATTTTATTAATTTTACCGCTTTTCGCCGCCTGCAGAATTGGCTGTCTGAACAACCACATTATTCTTCTCTGCATACCACTGCATAAATTTCAAAGCAATCAGGCTTTGGTTGTCGGTGTTGTCGTATCCTCGTTCAGGGACAATTCCAACATGTTCTAATTTGAGGTGGTTTGTCCTGAAGTGACGCATGCATGCTGAGGCAATCGTCATTGATTCGCGAAGAACATCGATGCCACCATGTTGCTTATTTGATGCTGGTCGAATACCTCCTTCCCGCTTTGAAACCTAAATAACTCTATGTTATTTTTCAAACTTTAAAAATAATAAGTACCTCCATAAATTCATTTCTAAAAGCTATCAAAGCTGCCATCAATATTTCAACGTCGTTAGTGCAGTAGGAGGCGAGAGCCTCATCAAGATTAAAAGGCTCTTGTTGATGTTGTTCGAACCACAGGTCGAATTGTTTCCTCTTTTCAGGTAGCATTCCATCAGCAAGGTAGTCGGCTTTGGTGGTAAAAATTTCCTTTCCATAGTTGTTTGGGTGGTTTGCCAAATGGGGAAAATAAGGTTTATCCTCAACTTGGAGAGCGAAGGCCGGAACAAGAGATGCCAGGGACATGGGCATAAGATTAAAAGAATCCCGAAAGATGATGTTGCCTTTGTTCTTCCCACGAGATGTAATTTTCATCTCATACATTTTATTCCCTCGTTTTAACATTTCCGGGGTATACCCTTAAAATATTTTCATTTCTTTTAATTGATTTAATTTTTTACCTCTCAAAAATAGTTCTTTAAAGACAAGAACCATGTCAAATCTCCCACCAAAGTGGGAGAAAGCAATTGTATCATATTCTTGTGGAAGATCATTTAAAATCCATTCCACAAAAGATTCCAGAGGCTGATGAGAAATAATCATATTGTCCACTGTTGTTTTTGTGAAGGGCTGATGTGAAAAGGTGACCAGGCGGTGCAGACCACATACTTTACATTCTTTCTCCTAATAATTTTTTGATTTAAGTTAAAAAATTTTTTTTCAAATTTAATTATTTAATTTAAATTCATAGTTAAAAATTTTTTATTATTAAAATTCTCTTTTTTTAATTTTGTAAAAAATACCTCAAAAATACAATCAGGACATGTTACTTTTGCAGCAATAAAATTAGCTTCATGTTGTTTTCCTTTATCTGATGGAAGATATTGTGTAGTTTCCAAATCAAAAGCGATAAATCGATATTTTTTGTCGTTTTTTGGTTCAAGAGGTTTGATGTAGCAACCCCTCTTAGGGTCATGGTAGTCACAACATGTACCGCAGTATTTTTCTTCACATATATGACCCTTACGCCCTTGCTTGTTGTTAGCATTCACATTCCATACAACACCGCAGCTTTCACACTGTTTAGAAATGATGCAAAAGTTGCATTGGAGGTGGTACTGGAAGCAATTGTTGTTGTAAAAGATCTTCTTGCATAACAGACAAACTTTATTAAATGCTGCTTCAATTTTACACGGGAAGCCAGGCCCGACTCTAGAACATTTGATGCAACGTGCTTTGCACGAAGCTTTGTGTGTCGAGTTTTTGTTGTAAACTTTTTCACAATGTAGACAGTACGGTTGTCCAAACAATCCTCCTGTCTTTTTTACCCCGTCGAAATGTTCGTTGCTATAATACAATATTATAGGGGTATCAAAGTTGTCTGGGCCGCTTTTAAATTCAGGCTCATAGTTGCCGAGCGATCCAAAAACGAAGACTTTGAAGACATATTTCCCAGCATATTTGTTGTTCCAGTAGTCAACTACGAGCGGAATCCATTCTTCAGCGTTGTATGTGTCCAAGTCCAGCGGGGCCCCGATATTTTCCATCAATTCTATTGCGTCTTCCCGTAGCTTGTTGGCCATGCCGTGTTCGCTGCGAATATAACGATGGAATTTCTTTGATGACCACTCAAAGATAGAATGCACTAATGTTGCCACTAGTGCATAAAATAAGCAGAAGTAGTCGTTGTTTTGTATCTGAAAAATCAATAATTAAGTTTATTAAAAATAATTTAAATTTTATTTTAAAATTTTTCAATCCTAGTTTTAGTATCTATTATTAAAAAGAAAATATTTTGCTAAATATTTTTTTAAAAATCTATTTTCTTTTGAAATTTTTCAATTTTATATATTGTTAAAATTTATTTCAAACATTTTTTATTAAAACTTGGTAAACAGGCCTGTATCAAGGAACGGTTGTTAATTCTGTGGCGCACTGGTGCAATTTTTTTATTTCTTCCTGATCCAGGTAGTTGTTGCTGTTTAGGCAGAGCACTTTTATCAACAACTGTTGCCATTACATTAAAAGGTTGTCCCCAAAGCGAAATATCTTTTTGTTTGAAGCTTTGGGCGACCAAGAGAAAACGATTGAGGATAGCCTCAACCGTATTCTCGTTTCTAGCTCTGAAATATCAAAGTTTTAATTTTATTAATTTAAATTTTTAATTTTATAAAAATATTTTTATTTTTGGATTAAAATAAATTTATTATTAATATTTTATTAAGGTTCAATAAACCTTTTTCAACTAGACTAATTTAAAAACCCACCTCACTGGAATCCATACATCGTGATCTAACAGCTCACTGCTGATCACACATCCAATCTGTTCCGGATTCAAACCAAGGCCACGGCTTTCGGTCACAGCCTCATTCAGAAAATATTGAAAAATCCCTAAATATTCATTTTTAAATTATATATTCTTAATATTCATATTTTCAGTTAAAATTTTTATAAAAAATGTTCAATTTTAAAATATTTCAAAAAATTTTTAATAGATTTAAAATATGAAAAAAAATATACGGCTTAAGAGTTCTTCAGGGTCCTTGGGTAGGTCCTTGATTAAGAACTTGCTGCGAGATTTTAAGTATTTAAATTTTCTATTGTGTTCAATAGTTGTTTCCAGACGATCAACGTAGTCTTTAGGTTCTTTTGATGAGCCAGAACCAGATTGAATATTAAGTAGATTAGTGATCGAAAATATCGATCCAAGACCGAGAATATTATCAATCGTAAATTTCATTCTTTTCTTTGGTGGTGGACGATTGTCCATATCAATTTAATCTAAATTATTTTTTATTAAAAAATATTAAAATTTATTTTAATAAAATTAAATAACGGACAAACGGATAAAATCATTGATTTTTTATTAATACAATTTAATAAAGACGAACGGTTAAAATGAATAAAAATATAATATTTAACCCTAAATACGCCGAATTTAAAATTTTCTTTCATTCTTTCAACCAGCTTAGATTATTAATGACCTTACCGTTTTCTCCTCTCTCTTGACCATTAAATTTCACTCATCATCTCGCACGCGACAATTTCTTTTAACTCACATGTTTATTTCTCTTTAGCCACGTGCCACCCGTTAGCCTTTTCTTTTATATCCTCTACAGTAATATTTTTCTTCTCATTTATCCTGTGAAGAAAAGACGCGGGAATTTTAACTCACACGCGGGAATTTTAACTCACTTGTTTATTTTTTTATATTAAATGCCTGATGTCTTTTTATTCTTTATTTTCCTCAACTTTTCTTTCGTAACAATTACAGTAATATTTTATGTCACAAGAGGAAGAGCAAAAATTTTTTGAAATCGAGGTAGAGCGAAAAATAAAAATTTATTTAAAAATCTAAATATTAAGGGCTTTTGTCAATACAAGTCTTGTACTAGACATAGTTATCTCACTGCTTTGAATTTATCACTCAAGAATGGGGAGAAGCTTGATAAGGGTGCACGTTGCAGTTTTATTTATCACTACTTCTTTGGTTGGCACTGGTGTGAGGAATGTTTGAAGTTCAATCTTTTGAAGAAACAACGAAAGACATTAATACCAATTACCAGTAACTTATTCTTTTACTCTTTTTGGCTTTGCACTGACTGTGCACTTTTTGCTACTACACCATAAATCATTTTAATATTTTATTCACAATTTTTAATACAAATAAATCCGGATTTTGCTTTGTGTTTAAAATTTTTAAATATTCTTCAAATGAAATCCCTTGGGACAAAAAATAAGTCAGAGAAATACAATGATGGGCACATGTTTTAGCTATAGGGGACTGGTAAGCTTGGATATTACGAATTACTGTAGGGAAAATTTTAAGAAATGAGTTAAAAATACAAGTACTTATTGGAAGGGCTAGGCTATCAAAATAATAAACTTTATTTAAATTGACAAAAATTGTTATCCAATGAGACCCCTTCATTCCTTCGGGGTCCAAGTTAACAATAAAAATTGATTTTTTCAAATCAAATGTCGGAATTGAATTACACGGGAAACATCCTCTGAAAATTCGACTTGTCTCTGGATTTGTCCTCAATATTTGATTTATCGTATGACCGTTCATGATATACTTAATTTTAAATTACAAAAATTTTTATGTAAATTTTTACCTTTTTAATTCAATATCCTGTTTCTTTTTGTGAGGAAGTACTACTTTTAACCAAAGAAATGAACGGAATTGGTAAATAATTAGACTTATTACAAATAGAATTTACAATCCTATCATTCCCCAACAAAAAATATGTCCATATATATTGTTTTCCCCAGGACTTTCTTTACAAAGTTGAATAGTGGGGAAATTTGGGAAATCCATTTTAAAAGGATAAGGTGTAGATGTTGTCGTTCTCTTTCCCAAATATTCAGAATATTCGGGTAAATTTTCCACTTTAGAAATATCATCAATACTCAAAGTTTCTATAAGAGGACAAAAAATTCGAATAAGAAAAAGTATTAATGAAATTTTATTCATATTTTAAATATAAATGAAAATAGTACAAATTAAATGAGTTTATATAGTAGTGTCACTGGCTATCGTTCTGTTTTTATCTAAAATAATTAGCGAGTCTGATTCGCCCATGGCCACTAGCATAATTCCTCCTTCGGGTACAGGTTGACTAAATTTAATATTCACAGCGGTTGTTCCATTCTTTATTAAATCAAAAAGTCCTCCTTGATCATCGCCGCTATTTGTCAGGTTAAATATGTATATACAATGTGTTGTACCATACTGTTGATATGTAATTCCATTACTTTCAGACGAAGTTGCTAAGCCAATGGCATCATTCATGTCATTGAATGCACGAACATACTTCCCATTTTCATAGTCTAAATCGTAAAGAGCCTGGGGATAACTTCGTCCGTTCGCTATTATAGTAATTTCGCGGACATTAAAGTGTTGGAAGTTGAAAGGACTGCGTCCTAAATTTCCAACATAGTCAGAGTTAGATACAAGTCCAATCGTTATTCTTCTAGGTATTTGGTCCATAAAAAGGTTAGCGTTAAATTCATATCTCCCCATGCTAATAAAGAGAGGTTTCATCATAGTTTTCCTAATTGCATAACGGGCGGGTTTAGTGTCAAGTTTTCTTGCAATGTCCAAAGCTAATCCGTCCATTAGATCCATCTTTTTAATATAAAGTTTACAATTCAAAACTTCAAAATAGTAACGTGTTGTCTGAGGTATACCGAGAACTGGAGGGGCAACTAAAACAAATTTTGCTTCATTAGGTAAGATTTCAATATCAATTTCGCATTGATTAATTAGATAAAGAGGTTGATTAAAAATATCCGCATCAAGTTTGGCAATAAACTGAGCTGTACTGCTATTTGAAAATAATCTTTTCCTCGATTCATATCCAACTCCGCTTTCCAAATTTATATCTGAACCAAAGTAATATCCTGCTGCATTAAGATGTGAGCTTTTAGCTCCTTGAGAATACGATAGCTCATAAGACAAATAAGTTTTGTAAGCGTATAGAGAATTTGAATTATAAATTTCGCGTCCATTAATACCAATTTTCATATTATTAATAAAGGTTTGACCAATAAGCTGAATAGGTGCAATATTGTCTGTGGGTGCAAGATTTACCAAATAACCGTTTTCATTCTCTTTTCTAATTCTAAGTTCTGTAAAAAGGTAGCACTTTGACAAGTCAATATAATTTTGACTTGAATGAATTTTAAAATGGTAGGGTGTATCTGTAAGAGGATTGCTGGGGAGAATTTCAAATACTTTAGAAGAGGTTACTGTAACATTGGTCGGAGGAATTTGAAAGAAGTCAAGTGCGCTTGTTATTGAATTTATGCTTTCATTATCAATTTTTTGAAAAGCCATTTTAATAAAGTCCAAAGGCGTCCGATCTTAAGCGTTTTCTAACTTTTTTACCAATAATTGTTTGATATGAAGGTATAGCTTGCCTTTTTATACCTTTTTTACGCCCAGTACCAAATTGTTTTGGTAATCCTCCTTTATCTAAAACATTATCGATTCCTTTCTTTCCCTCTTCTTTTAGAGCTGCTTTGAGCGCTTCCCCTTGGTTTACTCTCTCTAATACCCTTTGACCAGTATTCAATGCTTCTCCGGCTACAGTAGTACCAGCCTGTTTAATTATTGGGAGAAAGAAGCGCCAAAGCCCTCTCATTACATCACCAATCCCCGCTCCTCTTTGTGAATTACCGTAACCCCTTTGAAAGGGCGATGACCCTTTAAAGTAGCTATATTCATCTTGAATACCACTTCCTTTCATAGGAACAAATTCTTCATAACCAACTGCTCTTGTATCAAAAATTACATGAACCATTTTTTAAAATAAATTTAATCCAAAATAATAAATGAAATTTACAATTATGAGGGTATTTATATACACGAAAAATTTTATTAAAAATTTATAACTTTTTTAAATATTAGAACTATCATTACTGTACCAAAGGCAAAAGGAACTAGTCTTCCTCCATCCATTGTTCTTAATTCAATTTCTATTTCATTAATTTCTTTTGGAAGCACACGAATGTAAATAGGAGAGTCATATATTTTCTCATGATATTCTCCTGGTGTTGCGCCAGAGACAGACACAACTCTCAATAATGAGCTAAGAGAATTTCCTACAATCATATTCTCTGTTAAACCCCTGGAGTAAACAGCAAAACTTGAAAATCCTCCTCTCAAGTCACTCCCATATTTTGCAAATTCATTATTCATGACCATATTTGAATTTTCAAATCCTAGCACATATCCAAGTTGAGGAGAGAAAGATAAATATTTAATATTTGGGTGAGAAAATTCCAATTTAAAGCGTTTAAAATCTTTGTGAAAGGACAGAGAAATAGTATCTATAATTTGTTTTTGTACAGTAGCAGTTATTTTGTCTTTCCTTAGATTACTGTATTTTTTCAAAAGTCCTTCTATCATTGGTAAATAACTTTGTCTTTGAAATTGAGTAGGGGGTTTTCCAATAAAATGTGTTAGAACTCTCTCCATATCATCTGTCCATTTAAATTTTTGTTGAACTACTGTTTGGTTCTGTTTTAATGGAAGAGCTTCAGGGAGTGAAGGAAGAGTTTCTGAAGGTAGGGGTAATTTAGGAAGAGTTTTTGTAGGAGAAATTATTGGCGTTTGAATAATTTCCTGCGGTTTTGTAGCAGGTTTTGGCGCTAATTTTTGAGGTGTTGATTTATGTTGAGGCGGCTGTGTAGGCAAAAGCGGAGGAGGGGGAGATGGTAGTTTTTGTTGAATTGATTGTGGTAGAGAAGGTTGTGGTGTAGAAGGTTTTTGTTGACGAGGTTGAGGTAGAGGGGGTTGTGGAGCAGAAGGTTTATGGGTAGGAGGAGGTGGAGGTTTTTGAGGAGTTGAAGATTTTTGTTGAGGAGGTTGAGGTAGAGGGGGTTGTGGAGTAGAAGGTTTATGAGCTGGAGGAGGTGGAGGTTTTTGAGGAGTTGAAGATTTTTGTTGAGGAGGTTGAGGTAGAGGAGGTTGTGGAGTAGAAGGTTTATGGGCAGGAGGAGGTGGAGGTTTTTGAGGAGTTGAAGATTTTTGTTGAGGAGGTTGAGGTAGAGGGGGTTGTGGAGTAGAAGGTTTATGAGCTGGAGGAGGTGGAGGTTTTTGAGGAGTTGAAGATTTTTGTTGAGGAGGTTGAGGTAGAGGGGGTTGTGGAGTAGAAGGTTTATGAGCAGGAGGAGGTGGAGGTTTTTGAGGAGTTGAAGATTTTTGTTGAGGAGGTTGAGGTAGAGGAGGTTGTGGAGTAGAAGGTTTATGGGCAGGAGGAGGTGGAGGTTTTTGAGGAGTTGAAGATTTTTGTTGAGGAGGTTGAGGTAGAGGGGGTTGTGGAGTAGAAGGTTTATGGGCAGGAGGAGGTGGAGGTTTTTGAGGAGTTGAAGATTTTTGTTGAGGAGGTTGAGGTAGAGGGGGTTGTGGAGTAGAAGGTTTATGGGCAGGAGGTGGAGGTTTTTGAGGAGTTGAAGATTTTTGTTGAGGAGGTTGAGGTATAGGAGGTTGTGGAGTAGAAGGTTTATTGGGAGGAGGAGGTGGAGGTTTTTGAGGGGTTGAAGGTTTTTGTATAGTTTTAAGAGGAGGTTGATGAGGTGTAGGAGAAGGCGGAGATTGCGGTATTCTAGGAGGGCATGGTAGTTGAGGAGTTGCAGGTTTTTGAATTTTTTTAGCTGGAGGTGTAGTTTTATTTGATGGAGTGGTAGGTGAAGATGGCGGTGGAGGTGAAGATAAAGGTGGAGGAGGAGAACCAAGCTTTTCTTCATCGAATTTCAAACTTCGTTTTGGGCGTCCAACTCTTGGAGGTGAAATTAGAGTTGGCCTATCGACAAAACTATCAGTTTTATTTTGAGGAGATTCTTCAAGCGATCCACTTTGGTGTTGTAAAGTGGATGTTAAAAATTTTAGTAAATCTTCAGGTTTATTGTGTGAGCCTCTTGGTACAGGGACTCTTATAATTTTAGCCTTTCCTTGAAAATCTGTGCAGTGAATAGCAATCCATTGCTCATCAAGTGTACCAATAGTTGACGGCCATGAATAAGGATAAGAAATACTATGTAAACCACAAACCCAATCTCCGGAAAAATAAATTGGTTTGGGAAGATGAACACGAAACTTATTAGGCTGATTATCGGGATAATCAGTTGTATTGCTTAATAAACAAACATAAAAACTGTTTGACATTTTTATAACAAATAAAATTATTAAATATGAATACAAAAGGCTTTTATACTAACTGGTTTTCATGTATCCATTCCCTCTCAGGATATCCTATAAATTTTACAAGTACTTCGTAAGCACCATCTGGTCGTTTTCTTTTCTGATATACCTTCTCAATCCTATACTCTGTACCCGCATCTTTTTTGACTTTTGTAAGTTCTTCATTGTAATAAGATCCTTTAAACTTCTCTCCTTTGTCATCTTTTAATTTGTAGCGCATTGGTTTAGATTGATCTTTGACTTTATCTACTTCAACTATCACATCACCCCAATTTGGAATGTACCCTTTTTCAAATGTACCCTTATTTACACTTGTACGTACAAAATCTCCTTTTTTAAATTTAGGTTTTGTCTTTCTAATTTTTGTAGATAATTCATCACCATAAATTCTCTCCCACACTTCTTGAGCATTTTTAAAATTTACATCTATAGGACGCATTCCATGTACCCGACTTTTTGCTTTATTTATTCCTTCTAAAATTTCTGGTAAAATTTCAATCCAATTAAGAGTTTTGTTGTGGGCAAAATATCTATATAGTCTTTGTTTAGCATTTCTGATTGCTCGCTCCGCAAGCGAAGCTTTAACTATCGAGTGGGTAGCTTCAAACTTTTCAATTTCTTCTTTTTCAAAATATTCTTTTAATTGCTTATTTTTAAATTCTAACCCTTTGTCGGAAAATATTCTATGAGGCTTCATGGGCGTTTGGTCAATTAATTGTTTAAAAGCCTCTAACATATCATCAATCTTTTTAGACTTGACAGGAACCCCAAAAACTCTTTTTGATAGGACATCAATTCCCAAAAGTAAATACCTATTTCCTTTATTGTGTCTGGATAATGATTGAAAGTCGGCCAAGTCAACTTGAACATCTGTCATAAATCCTGCAGCCACGGTTTTACTTCGAGGATAATGTATTCTCTTGGGACGCATAAGAGTATAAGTTCGATGTCCCTCAAGAAAATCTTGCACAATTTTTCTAGGTAAATGTTTAAGGACCTTGCGGGCTTCTTGCCATAATCTATCAACTCCAGAAAAGGCTGCAGGGGAATCGGGATCATTATAGAGATGTTGTAAGAGATTAGTATAATCCGCCATTTAATAAATATTACCACAGAGAGGGTTTGAATCTATTTATATCTTCCTGTGTTGGTTTTTTAGTTGCCCATTTTTTACTAATTGTTCGACCTTTTACTTTACGTAAATTAATATCTTCTTGTGTCGGTTTTTTCAAAGCCCATTTTTTAGTCCCTTCTTTCCGTCCTCTTAAAATATTTAATTTTTCTGACCAAGCTTTTGATAATTGTTCAGCCTTCTTTTTTGAAGAAGGTCCTTTAATCCTTTTGTAATGAACTAGAGTAGTTCCCTCAGGGATTTGATATTTTCTTTTAGTGCGCTCGCGTTGTCTTGGAGGAGAAGGGGATTGGCCACTTCTTACAACTCTTTGTCTTCTTCGCCTTTTAGCTTCTTTTTCATCAAGTCGGTATTGAGCCATTGCTGCCTGGTCCAGGGGTACTGTTTGCTCTCTAAATCTTTTTAATATTTCCCATCTTTTCTTTTTCCTTTCCCTTCGCCCCGCTAACTTTTTGTCTGTTAATCTATCATTTTCTCTTTCTTTATTATCTATTCTTTTCTTTTTAAGTCCTTCTAATTCATTAGAGTCTTGCTCCCTTTTTGACGGTTGAGGCGGAGGAGAATCGCTTAAAGGGGCATTTTGTGCTTCAATAATATGGTCAGGATCTTGTGTAATAACTGGTTCTGTTGTTGGGGGTAAAGATAGATTTGCCTTCACCCTTTTCTTTTGTTTCTTCTTAAGTGTTGGCTTTTTGATTCTTGATCTTTTGGATTCGCCTACGTTGACTTTCTCTCTCCTTTTTACAAGCTGACGCGGGGCTGGAGGTTTTGGATTTTGTACATTTCTAGGTAAAGAAGGCGGTATGGATGGGGGGTAAGAAGATTCAGAGAGAGGCGGCACAACGTTATAAGCATTATTAGGAGGTTCTCTAGGGTAGTTAGAAAATGAAATATCATCGCTCATCCACAAATCGTCGTCATCATTCGCTGTAGAAGGACGAGTTTGGTTACTATTCATAGCTACACCCTTTGGCGAAGCGACCATTTCAACTCTAACCGGTTGATTTTCTTTTTCGTTACGTAAATGTAAGTAACGTCTTAATTCTTGGTTATACAAAATATTTTTTGCACTCGGGTGTTCCTTTACTCTTCGAGTTTTATCAAGTGTTCTTCGAACATCATCTATATTTGGTTCTCCCGTATCAAAAGTAGTAAGTCCGCGGTAAATTTCTTGAGGAACAAGAATAAATTTGTTTGCCATGATTTCTTTATTAATTATAATTTTGATTAATTTGCGCTTTTTATAGAGCGCGCCAGTTCAATGAGTATAGGGGTTAACAAAGCGGCAAAAGCTCCGACACCATTTCCCTTTTGCAAAGCATGTCTTGCTCCTCTTTCACTTCGGGCCCTACTTACACTTCGGACAAAACAGGCATAAGGCATTAAACGTTTCTTTTGTCGAGTTGTCAATTGAAACCGCGATTTAACAATATTGACACAAATTTCTACAAGTGTTAAAAGTTGAGAAGTACTAGCAAGTCGTAATAGTCTACGGATTCTTCTTTGTGATTTTGTATGACATAGAGTGTTTAGGAAACTTGAGTTCTCATTTATTAAATGACTAACCATTTTAGATTCCACTTTTTGGAGTGAAGACTATTTTTTCATCATCGTCCTTAAATATCCCTGTTCTCAGTCTTAGACTCGGATCCGACGAAGCGTGCATATCAATCAATAGATACCCGTAGGGTATGTTTGTGGCTTGACGGTAAGCGTCAAGGAAGTAATCTAGTCTTCCAGGAAATAGTTGTACTCCTATGTTTCTTACTGCGAGAGCAGAATTTGGAGATCGCATTAAAACAATGTATTGAGCATTTTGTCTTGCGACCTTAATTTTACGGTCAAATAAATTTTGAGTTACAAAGACAATTGCAAAATTTTGGTGGTGTGATTTTTTAGTAAAAAGTTCAGATAAATATTTTTCATCTATAGACAATAAGAGGTCATCTAAAATTAAAAGAAGTGGTTTGGGAAATGTTTTTAACAATTCTTCAGGAGGGACGCCAACAAATACATCTACACCGGATTTTTGTAGTATTGGGACTATAGCACTCATTTCCCCAAAACAATACAGTATACTCCTCGGTTTAGGATCAATTAAGTCTGCCGCTTCCGAAATAAATTTTAATAGGAAAGTACTTTTCCCACTCGAGCTGGGACCCGACACTATCATACCAAAAGGCAATTTAAAATTTAAATCTTTATTAGAAAATGTCAATGCTTCCATTTTTAAAATTAATGATGTAAATAAAAAAATTAATTAACTTAAATACTATCGGCAAAAATTAAAGAGGTGGTTGTAAATTAGTCTTCAATCTTATCTATTACTTCATTCTTAACCTCTTTGTCCGACAACATCCCCATTGTAACAGCCTGCATTGAGTCGAAGAACTCTAATAGGACTGCATCATCATTTTCTTTAATTAATGGCTCTTCTTTGATTGGAGATAATTGCACTTGTGTTTGTATTTCTTGTTGCGGGGATGCAGGTGGTGGTGTTACTATTTCTTGTTGCGGGGGTAGAGGGGGTGGTGGCGGTGTAGGAATAGGTAATTGTTCTTTAGCGGCACGCTTTTTACAGTTTGAATTATAAACAGCACAAACATTTTGAGAGCCATATGGAATGTTTAAAACGCGGCCTTTATTTTTAATCTTAAATATAAATTATACTTAAAAATTAAAAGCATAAAACCTTAAAGAAACAATGCCCTGGCAAGTCATAAATACAATCAAAGGGAACGAAGCGAGGGGTTGATAGACGTGTACAGTATAGTGTTACTCCCTCCTTAGTAACAATAAAATCCAGTTCAACCTCAGTGCTTTTGCACTCACGACATCGTCCACCATGCTCAAAAGGAATAAATCGGGTGTTGATATTCTTTCACTAGTTATGGTGATTCCGTTGGAATTGAGGTTAAAATCAACCTCAGGAATAATTTGAGCCGCCAAAGATTCCTTGTCATTGATATTAAGTGCCATTTTTAAAAATTTTCGATAAGTAATTAATTAGTCTAAAAATTTTTTGAGTTTATATACCCTTCTCTGCCCACATAGGTGTCAATTATCTCTAACCTATAATATCCCTACGGTATATTTGTCTATTTCTATAAAAATGAAGCCAAGCCGTTTTCGAAATATTGTTTTAAAATTATTAAAGCCACGCCTCTTTTATGATGCGGTTTATAAAATTTTTATTTCTTAAGCTCATTCTATAAAATTTACAACAAATTGTTTCAATAATTCAACATTTATTTAATTAATATTTCTTATTATTAAAAATATGGAACAAAATAAGACATCTGGTGAGAAAATTAATATTATTCTTTTAAAATCGTATTTAAGCTTCTATTGCACCAGATATGGATTGTGAGCAGACCAAAACAATTTCTGTTACTAAACCTGAGAAATTGGAGAAAAAGAAGGAATCAAGTGCTAAAAATTCTGGTATAATAATAAAATAAATATTCTCTATTCAAATTTTTTTAAGAGAAAACAATTACTAATCCTACAACGGAGACAGCTGTTCAGGGTCCAATTATTAAAAAACAGCTTTGGAAGCTTATACGCGGAAAATTTTTGATTACTTTCTATCTCTGCCAAGGTAAAAATTTAAAATTATATTCAAAAATTAATTTTTAGAATGTCAAAACAACTTATTTTATTCTAAAGAGAAATTTGATGAAGAATCGACTGGTGTTACAGTGAAGATTAATTTATGCAATAAATGTGTTGATGCAAATTGTACTGCTTCTGATGTACTCGCACCATATAAGAAGATTGGCACAAAAAGAAAAGCCGATTAAATCCGTTAAATTAAAAATACATTATTAATTCATAATGATTAAATAAGCTTTTTTAAATAAGCACTTTTAATTGTACTTTCTAATATTTGTTCAACTTTATTGTAATAATTCATTTTTAATGAACTTTAAAATAAAAATTTTTTAATTATTTAATTGTTTGGGTCTAAATTCCCTCTGATTTTACTCATTAGATTTTTATTTAGATTATATTATTCCTAAAATTATTCCTTTGTTTTTTAAATTATTCTAATACATAAAAAATTTTTCTTCTATAATACAATAGTTCCTTCTCATCCCCTCTTTATCTACATACTCTCTTATTTTTATGCTCTTTACTTTACAAAATAATGGCGGATGCTCTTTACCAGTCCTTAGGATATTTATTGATTATGCGCTTGGATTTTTTAATTTAAAATAAAAATTTCCGCGAAAATTATTTCAATTATTTATTGAGAAGACACTCTATCCATGTTGAGAAATATAAGAGAGAAGAAAAGAAATGAAAGATATAGAAGAGAGATTAAAAGAAATTTCAAAATGGTAATTAGCGTAAAAGAGCAAAATGCCAAAAATCTATAATTAAGAACTAAAACAAATATTATTTACATGTCAGTTTTTACCAGTAGCAGTTTAGCTTCGGTTATCGATTATTTTCAAAGATTGAACAACAATACAGGGACTATATTTAATTAAAATTGACTCTACTGTCTTATCAGAACACGATTCCTAAATGATTCCTAAAGAAACGAATATATGTTCATATACAATAAAAGTAGCCACTCAAGTCAGCAACTGCTCTGCATCTCTATCCTTTCACATATATAACATAAGAGAAGAGTACTGTAAACACTGCATATTCCCAGCGGTCGTGTAAAATACATATGATTCTTTGATCTCTTTTAACTCATTAAATTTAAAAACCATATGATTTAAGTTATTGTTCTATTGCATTTCGTACATTGACATCATGTGCAAAATTAATTATTAAAATGTTTACTCTTTAACACTAGGATTTTATTGATTTAGCACACTTTTCAATTCCTAGATTTAAGACTCAACTGTCTAGTTAGTTCGCCTTTCACAGTGCAGAGCAGAGAAATGAATTTTATGTATATATAAAATAAATGAGGAATTAGAGTCGCCCTAATACTCTGCGTCTCTACCATTTCTCTTCATAAATAAAGGAATGGGTACTGTACTCTTGCGCATTGCAAGTGGCAACTTTAAAGAGAATCCATTGACAATGTTAAAGTAATTAAATAAATGTTAAAGTAATTAAAATAACTCAACAATTAAAATAAATTAAAAATTTTTTAACACGATTAAAAGTTTATACAAAAATCAATAAAGCCATTGTCTCGTTTCACTTATTAAATTTAAGGCTCTAAAGAGAGCCGTTTGGGTTTAGATTTTGTTGTTGTCCATTTGTCCATCATCCAAAAAAAATGTCCATCACCAACCAATTAGTGTGCGGGAACCACTCCCTTACACCCACCCCTCAAAAAAAAAAAGTTTGGACACTTTCCCCTTCCCAACCTTACACATTGTACCATTGTGCGCGAACCCCTTCACCACCAACCAATTAGTGTGCGGTATCCTTTACTAATTGATGCGCGAGACCCCTCACCACCAATCAATTAGTTCGTGGGACCCTTCCCACCCCTCACACACTCGTCTCGAAGTTTTACCGCAAATGCGCGAACCCCTTCCGACACCTACTAATTAGTTAATTAGTGCGGGACCCCTCCCACACCAGTCAATTAGTGAGCGGTACCCTTTCCATCTCTTACTAATTGGTGCGCGAGACCCCTCCGCTCCCCCAACATCCCCTTCAGGATTAGGTTCGGACCCCTCCCCCTCTCACTCAAAACCCTTCTTTGGGATTTGGTTTTGTGGGCGCGGACCCCTCCCCCATCAAACCTGTCAATAGGTTTGCGGCATGCCCTTTGAACATCAATCAAAAGGTTGGCGGCATTTCCCTTTGTCCCGAAACCAGTTGACTAACTACTAATAAAATAGGCGAAAAACCTGTTTTTATCAATTAGTTATAAGTTTTAGATAAGATTGATAACGTTTGGTGAATTGTCTATTTTACCCGTATGGTGAATTGTTCATATGGTGAATAGACATTTGGTGAATTACCCCATGTGGTGAACTGTTTTTTGGTGAACTGCCTTATGGTGAACTGCCGTTTGGTGAATCGCCGTTTGGTGAACTGTCCTGACACGCTTTTACGGCGATCAATTCAACAATCTCGATTTTAAAAATAAATTTAAATGTTTTTGTTTACCCTTATTTATTTATTTAATTTATTTATTTGTTTGTTTTTCTTTAAAATAAACGTATCAAAACAATATTAATTAAAATTAATTTTTAAAAAATATTTTTATTTATAAAAAAATGAAAAGAAAATTTTTATTAATTTTCCTATATTTAATTGTAAGTATTTTATTTAGTAAAGAATTAAAATTAAAAAATATTTATTTTGAGGATAAATTATTTGAAGCTAAAAATCTTTAAATTTCTCTTAAAATTCCCAAAATAATTTTTAAAAATAATTTTTAAATTTGAGTCAGTTTTTAATGGTACTTTATCAACAATGAAGGAAATTACAAAAAGAACACTTATATTGGAAGAATCTGTCGGGAATTTCAAAAAAGGAAATCAGTATTTGTCTGAAAGAGTTCTTTTTACTTTAAGTGCTTTCTTTCCAATGTAAATTTATTCTAAAGATAATTTAGTATATTTTTAATTTTAATTATTAATTCTGATTATAAGGGGGGAGGGGCATTAAACTTTTATTTACTCATAAAAATATTATAAATTCTTTAAAAGATATATATTATAAATTATATATTATAAATTATCTTATTATAAATTCTTGCTTTTTCCGAAACTTGGCTTAATTCTAAAATCGATGACAGTGTAATAATTCAAGGTTTTAATTATAAAATAATCCGTTCCGATAGGCAGTCCCGTAAAGGGGGTGGAGTGGCTATTCTTATTTCCGACTTAATCCCCTTCCAGAAAATCAAGGTCCCTAAAATTCCAAATTCCGATATTTCTTGTATTGATGTCTTTTCCCCTTTGAACCAACAAAAAATAAGACTCATTGTCGTTTATCGACCAACGACAAAAGAAACCCTGGAACATCTTACCTCTCTTATTGATTGTTTAGTACTTCTTTCATCTATTGATTACCCGTATTATATATTAGGCGACTTTAACTTCCCAAACCTTAATTGGGCAAGCCCAAATCCATTCCCAAACACATTAACACCTTCTGAATCTATATTTGCAGAATTTTTCCAGTCAAGCAATCTTGAACAAATTGTCCAATCCCCTACTAGGAATCAAAATTATCTTGACCTAGTTCTTACTTCTAATACATCTCTAACATCATTTCTTTCTGTCGAGGCTCCAATGGGTGGTTCTGACCATAATTCTATTATTTTCGACATTAAGCTTAATTTTCAACTGCAATCTAAATCTGCCCCTAGATATCAATATAATAAAGCCAATTATCAATGCATTAATAGTATTCTTGCCCATATTGATTGGACTTTATTCTTTTATGATTGCATTGATGTTGAATCATGTTATAACAAATTTATAACATTTCTTCAATCTATCATCCAATCATATGTACCCATCTCAAGTGGACCACATTCTATTGATCATTTTCCTATTCATATTCAACGACTTGACCAATATCGAAAAAATTTATGGAAAAGAATCTCCAAACCTTGCATTAGGGAAAAATACATAGAAACCTCTAATAAACTTGAATATGAAATTTCAAAATTTATAAGGAATAGGGAGAACAAAAAACTTAGTAATATCAAAACAAAGTTTGATTACATTTCATCTTTCATAAAACCTAAAAATTTAACCATGCCCTCTCTTATCGGCCAAAATAATCAACACATTTTCTCAAACCAAATTAAATCAAATATTTTGGCCGATCAGTTCTCTTCTGTATTTTCCAATCAAAACCTCTCTTCCCAAACCTTTTCTTTCTCAAACCACTCCCCAATACAAACAATACAAACAATATCCATTGACCCACAAATAGTCTTTGATATAATATCAAGGCTCGATAACTCTAATAACACATCTCTTGATAGTGTCCCAAACATTTTTTACAAAAAATGCAGGGATACACTCGTCATCCCTCTTACTCATATTTTCTCACTGTCAATTCTTAGCTCCAAAATTCCATCAATTTGGAAAAAAGCTATTATTAATCCAATCCCAAAGAAAACAAATCCGCAATATCCAATAGATTTTCGACCAATTTCCCTTCTTTGCTCTTCGTCAAAAATACTTGAAAAAATAATCGCAAATGAGCTTCAATCATTTATTGAATCCAATAAAATTTTGCCTCCATGTCAGCATGGTTTTCGTAAATCTCACTCAGTCTCAACACAATTACTCGAAGTAATGGATGACTTCACTTATGCCTTGGAGAATAAAAATTCCATTGATACAATTTATTTTGATTTAGCTAAGGCCTTTGACACGGTTCCTCATTCACTTCTACTCTCAAAACTTTATAAAATGGGAATCCAAGGAAATATTCTTTCTTGGATAAATGATTATTTATCAAATCGTACATTTACTGTGCGGGTATCTAATCATTATTCCGAGGAAAAACACTGCACCAGCGGTGTACCTCAAGGATCCATACTAGGGCCGCTACTATTCATTACTTTTATATCTGATCTCCCAACGTATTGTGCCACACCAGGAATAACTCTGAAACTTTTTGCTGATGACCTCAAAGCTTATAATATTTTTAAAAATAGAGTTAATGAGTCTCCTCTCCAAATTTTTGTAAATAAATTTTCAGAGTATTGCCATCTTAACGGCCTTAAAATTGCCATAGAAAAATGTTCAGTTTTATATTTAGGAAACTCTAACCCATCAACTAAATATTTTATTAATGACATTGTCATCCATCAGATTTCTTCAGAGGATTCAGTCCGGGACCTGGGCATACATTTCTCTCACGATCTCAAATGGGATAAGCATATCAATATAATCACTCGTAAAGCAATCAGATGCTCATATTCCATTTTCAAATCTATTAAAAGTAGGAATCCAAAAATCCTTACAAACCTATTTAATATTTATGTCCGTCCTATTTTAGAGTTCTCCTCGTCTGTCTTTAATCCACATCTTGATAAAGATATTAAATCAATTGAAAAAGTCCAAAAGGATTTTCTCCGCTGGGTTTTTAGACGTATTAATCCTAAAACCGAATTACCTGAATATCATGACTTACTATATTATTTTAAACAAGAATCGCTATTTTATAGACGTATTAAAGCCGATCTCAATTTATTCCATCAACATGTTTGTGGGACTATAACAATTAAAAACAATAACTCATATTTTATCAGTAAAGCCAATACCAGGGGGTTCCAAAACATTATAACTATAGCATGTAATACAAAAGCCAGATTCCACTCCTTTTTCGTTAGGACTGCTCGGTTATATAAATTTATTCCTCAACATATGCGCAATTCAACCCCCGAACACTTTAGTCGACTTCTAGTCACTTTTGATATATCCCAATTTATTGACTCACTCCCAAATCACCTTAAAAGACACTTTTGCAATTTTTAAATTATGTTAAGGAAATCGTTTGTTTACGTTTATTTTATTTATTTATCACATTTTTATTGTCTGAAATCGTCGCGCTGTTGCGTATAAATTTGATTGATTGAAGAAAGATTATAATTATAATAACAAAAATATTTTTTTAAAGGAGCAGATTTTTAATTTTGGTATTTAATGTGGGAGGGGATATAGCTTATCGTGCTGACCAGGGATGTCACGGGTTACCCGAAACCCGAAACCCGGACTTTTTTTCGACCCGAAACCCGAAACCCGACCCGAGAAATTTTCGAAAACCCGACCCGAAACCCGACATTTTCCTTGGAATTTTATTACAAAAAGGGAAGATTTTTGGCTCTTTGGCCTTCCAAAATTCCCAAAATTTTCGCCTGCGGCGCTAGAAAATGAAGAAATCTAGTGGGTTGGTCTTCCAAAATTCTCAAAATTTTCGCCTGCGGCGCTGGAAAATGATGAAATCTAGTGGGTTGGTCTTCAAAATTTCCGAAAATTTTCGCCTGCGGCGCTAAGAAATGTTGCCGAATTTGGGCACGATTTTTAAGGATCATGATGGTTTGTGGAGGTATCTATGGGAGGTATCTTCGGTGGAAGGAGGTATCTTCGGGGGAAGATAAAAAAATCAAAAATTAAAAATGTGTGCGTGATATCGCGTGGGACGTTTTCCGTTGGGATTTTTACCATAAAAAGAAGAATTCTGGCCTCATGGCCTTCCGAAATTTGCAAAATACAGAGTAATTTTGCCGTGATGTCGAAGGAGCAAGAGTGGATGAAGGGTGATATCGGGGGATTTACTTGGATTAAGGTGGATTCAGGGAGATATCGGAGGGTTTAGAGGTGTATCTGGGATTTCACGGTATTTGCAGAGGGTCTCGGAGGTTTAAGGTATAAATCATGGATTAGACATCTTCACCAGATACTTTTAAATGCCTTTATATCCCTTTTAATCCCCAAATCCCCTGATATTACTCTTAATCCATCCAAATCCATTTAATCCCTGTCTCTTATTATATCACTTATATATTATCTTATTAAGCCCGCAAATCACTAATATCCCCAACCTCTCCGAAAAATTTGGCTTCATGTTCAAATTTTTAACTGACCCGACCCGAAACCCGACCCGAGACCCGAAACCCGGACTTTTTTTCGACCCGAAACCCGAAACCCGATCCGAAGAAAATTTTGGAAACCCGACCCGAAACCCGACCCGACTTTTTTCTCAACCCGTGACATCCCTGGTGCTGACCATTCTGATTCTGTGGAATATGCAAATAAAAATGTTGTTATCTATATAACTATAGCTGGTAATAGTTTTTTGGGAAGTAGAGATTGTTATGGAAATATTACAAATGAATTTAGAAGGTTATATTTATTAGAATATATCAAATCAATCTAATTTTTAAATAAAAATTTTCTTCTTTCAGTTGTTATCCACAAACGAGTAATTTACTTACACGAATAGGAGATATATGTGGACAAGAAGGTGGATATAATTCAGAATCTGTAGGCCTTCGCGCAGTTGTTAAAAATTTTGAATTTGGGGTTGCAAGTTCACTCCCTTCTTATGCTTTAAAAGACGAATTATTTAATTGTGATAATTCAACGGCTAAACGTTGGCGTGTTGTAATTGCTCTTTTTCAAGACTAGTTGGGAGTGGGAATAAATAAATGAAAAATAATATTTAAAAATTTTTAGTTCAGCAGCTCAAACAAAATTTTTAGAAAATTATGTTAGCAATTTTACTAGGTTTTTATTTTAAATTTAATTTTGAATATATTTTAATTAATTAAAGAATAAAATCAAAGGGAAATGGAATGTTTATAACTTGTAAAAATAACTCTACATTATTTGCTTCTGAACAAAATTCTGAAGAAATTTGGGGAGAGTTTTTAATCCAATCAAATAAAGATGGCACAATTTCATTTAAATCAAGAGTAAATCAAAAATTTGTTTCTGTTGACTTAAAAAATGGAGGAATTTTGATTTTGGGAAGCGATATAGTTAAAAATGAACAAAAATTTATTTTTGAAAGGAAAGGAAATGAAGAAGAATATACAATTAAATCTAAAATTAATAAAAAGTTTGTAACTGTAAAACTAGAAAAGAATGGAATTTTAATGGCAGACATGGAGAATGTTAAGGGACTAAATGAAATATTTGAATTTAATACTTTTATATCTGAGATAGAAAAGAATGAATTATTGAGGTACTTAAATTTTGAATACGGAGAGAACTATTTATAAGATACTACATAATAGATAGACCCTAGTTTAAGTTACCTTTTTAAGTTTGATCATGGTAATTTTTAACAACTGACTCACAAGCTCTTTAAAATCATCTATCAATTGTATATACAGTCGTGGAAAAAAGTATGGAAGCGCTAGAAAATTTTTATTTAATTCCTAATTTTTCATTCAAAAAATACGTTCTATATACCAATCGAAAGCTCTATTCGTATCTCAGTTGACATGTTTCTGCATTTTTCATGAAAATGAAAATTGGCCGAGATAATCCGGATCTACCGGATATACCAAATCCCATTTTTTCGGAAAAATTTTTCGGAAGAAATTTAACAAACCCATTTGATAAAGCATATTTTTCTGAGTATTTTCCACAAAACCGCTTAGAAATATCTTTTTCCGGAACAGAGATATGATTTTCTGAAAATCGTATTTTTCGTCAATTTTTGCAAAAAATTCGATTTTTAAGGGAAAAATACGATTTTCAAAAAATCATATCTCTGTTCCGGAAAAAGATATTTCTAAGCGGTTTTGTGGAAAATACTCAGAAAAATATGCTTTATCAAATGGGTTTGTTAAATTTCTTCCGAAAAATTTTTCCGAAAAAATGGGATTTGGTATATCCGGTAGATCCGGATTATCTCGGCCAATTTTCATTTTCATGAAAAATGCAGAAACATGTCAACTGAGATACGAATAGAGCTTTCGATTGGTATATAGAACGTATTTTTTGAATAAAAAATTAAGAATTTAAAAAACTTTTTCTAGCGCTTCCATACTTTTTTCCACGACTGTATAAATTCTTGATGAGTGGTTGATCTTGATCCAATGATTAATCCAATTGATCAAATTGATCCCATTCAATCAATCTTGATAATCTTAATCCAAAAATCTTGATCCCAATACATTTCCGTAAACGGGAGTGGTCTATTAAACAACTTTATTAAAATTATTTTTTAATTAGTTTTCCAAATGTTGTTAATGAAGATAATGGTGTTTATATTTCCCCTGTTTTTGGAATTTTTGCTCTTTTTGGCACATTTGTTGGCTTTGTTGCTATTGGATTAATGTTTGATATTAATTAATTAATTTTTTAAATTCAAAATTTTTTTTATTTCTTTAGGGGATTCTCAATTTTGGTTATGAATAAAGTTAAAGATAGAAGAGGTGATCTAAGTTTAAGAAAACAAATTTACTGGTTTCTTCGAATTCGAAAAGGATTGTTAAATAGAATATTGGATTGTACAGCCATAGATATTGAATATTTAATTTATTCTGGTAATTTATTTAATGGGAATCTTATATAAATAAATATTTAAAAGGTCCAAATTCTCGTGTTTATTTCGGTCGTTATCGTTATTTAGAAGATGGAGTAATGGATGTTGTTGTTAAAGTTCCTTCGAAAGAAGCATTCCGATTAGATATGATAATTGAAGAAACAAAAATAAATGCGCAATTAAAACATGAAAGAATTGTTGAATATATTGGTTATTATAGAGATGCTTTTAATGATATGAGAATTGTTAGTGAATATATGCCTGGGGGTGATCTACATTCGTTTATTAGTTCAAGAAAAAATGTTAAAGAAAAATTATTTAAAATTTAATATTTTATTTTGTAGATTTTAACTGTTGGACATATTTTTAATTTTATTGGCCAAATAGCTGAGGGAATGGAATATTTATCTTCCAAAAAGATAATACATAGAGATTTGGCTGCAAGGAATTGCATGTTTGATAATTTATTTAATTAAATAAATGTATAAAAAAAGTCTAATTATCGGGCTAGTCAATATTAAGCATTATAAACAATAACCTCTATTACACTTAACTCTTAGTATTTAAAAATTTCACGCAAAAATGAGCTGAGGATTTTTTGGGGCCTTTCTCATTCAGTAGCCAGCAAAATTCAAAATTTTTTAGTAAAACCAGAGAAAAGAAGCAATGATGTCATATTTCTCTCATTTCATATTTTTTATTAAAAGGTTGAATCGTGATTGTACAGCTATTAAAATAGCTGATTTTGGATTAAGCCGACATTTCAATGCAGATGCAAACTATACTTGTTCAAGTCCTGTACGTTTACCTTTGCGTTGGACAGCTATTGAATGTCTGGGACAAAATGGGGAAATACTTCCATATAGCAAATTCTCTGAAAAAAGCGACGTTTGGTCATTTGGAATTGTTATTTGGGAATGTTTTTCTCGTGGAGAAATGCCTTATGGCACAGAAGAAGTTAGAGACGTCTTACCAAAATTGAAGTCAGATTGGCGACTTCCCCGCCCTTCTCAATGTCCAGCTGGACTTTAGTTTGTTAAAAAAATTATTTAAAAATTATAACTTTTTATTTTTTCAGTGGACTTTTGGTTTTAAAATGTTGGGATATATTTCCAGAGAAAAGGCCAAGTTTTTCTGCAATTTGCATTTCTTTAGAAGAAATATTTTCACTTTTAATTGTTGAAGAGCCAGATATTGTTGTTCGGGAAATTATTTAAATAAATTATTTAAAGATTCCTTTCAAGTTTTTCTTGAAAAGATAAAAAAATAAAATACCTATATTTGATTTATTCGTGCAAATTTAAGAAAATTATATAAGGACACTATTTTTATAAGTAAAATTTTCTATTCCTAACAATCATTTTTAGCAGAGAGGGGACCTAAAAGTTACTTATAATTTTCCTGGTATTTTTACTTAGGAAAAGTTTTCATATTTATTGGATTTTCTAAAATGGGGCTTTTTTCCTAAAGTAGTTACAAAAAATTAATTACAAATGCATATTAACTCAATTAAAAAAATTTTTTATAACAAATTCTTTAAAAATCATATTTTATTTTAAAAATTTATTTATTTTATGTCAATTTAGTTTATTCTTTATCTTTAATTTCCTTTTTTAAGACATCCTTACTTTTGCTTTCTTCATTATTTTGTGTTGTTTCACTTTCTGTAAATTTAAGAAAATTAAAAAAAATTTTTTTGGAAATTTCAATTTATTATTTTTAATGATTTTTCCACCTTTATTTTCAACATTACAAGCAGAAGAGAAGAAATTAGTTAAATATTTCCAAAACGATTCTTGTTTTTTAATTTTATTTTTTAATTGTTTTTTGTTATGTTCCTGTGTTATACTTATTGCTTCAATTCTTTCTTCAGATTTTGTTCTAATTTCTTCTTGTTCTTGTAAAGCTTTTTCTAAAATATTTGCTCGATGCTCTATTTCATCAATCTTTTTTAAAGTATTTTTTTCTAAAATATAAAATTTTGTTTAAATTTTAATTAAAAATGAATAACAAATTGTTATTTTAAATTTAAATAATACCTTCTTCATTATCCATTTTAATTAAAATATCTGAATATTTAAAAAATAAATTTAAAAATAAACCGATTACTGTAAATGTTGAAACTAAATAAAAAAATAAATGTATAGTTTAAAACTTTAAATATTTCAAGATTGGAAAATCTTTAAGAATATTTTTATATTTGATTTAATTATAGAAAATTTTATTTATAATTATTGTAATATTTAATATTACATCAGAGAAAACCTTTCTTTAGATTTAAATAAAGTAAATATTTTGTTCATCCATTCTACTAAAATATTTCTTATTTTGATCATTTGATGCATTCATCCACACAATTTCTTGACTCCATTGACGACTTTTCCGACAACTCCTCCAACTAATTTGAATAAATAAAAATTAGATTTTGATTCTTTTCCAAAAATAAGTAAAGGTATCAACATTTTATAACTTTCTTGATTTTATTTTATCTATATATCAATACTAGATAAAAGATAAAAATTTTAAGGGCCCATATCTTTCAATATTTTATCAATCCGCGTAAAACATTTAAGACGTCCAAGACTCTTGGTCTTGAGTCTTGACTCAGGAATTTTATTGTGTCTTGGGTTTAGTCATGGTTATTGATGCTCAGTCTGGTCTTGAGTTTCAGAAATTTTTAGGTCTTAGACGTCCTTCGAAAAAAATAAGTTTTCTACCTATGCCAGTGACCAATGATGCACCTAGTGACTTTAAACCATGCCAAAGATCCTTCCAAAATGATGATCCGCTATCGTCGATAATTTTTCTCAATTTTCTGTTTTCCTCCTCTAATTGGTCTATGCGCTGATGAAGTCTCGCATTAGATTCAGCCATTTCTTGCAGCATATTTTCCATAGCAATCAGTCGATTACTTAACACATCAAGGAATTTTAAAAGATCTCTTCGTTCTAAAATAGGAATTATAATATACATATAATTTTAATATAAATGTTGTGTCTCACCTAAACAAAAATAAGAATTTTTATACCGCCTCGAACTAATCTAATACTGAAATTATACCTTCATACATAGTTCTTCTCAACCTTCTAGAGTAAATCTTATCTAATTTATTTTAAATTAATCCCCGCCATAAACTTTAGGCGGATTTTTTAAAAAATTGTACCTTGCACACTATCCATGGCTTTTAAAGTAAATATTAAGCTTGAAATTAAAGTATTTTTCTGAAATTAAATAAAATATTTAATAATTATTAACAGAATTACAGATAATATTTGTTACTTGACTATTAATCAAGATGGAAAAATTGTAGAAAATGATCATATTTATTTTATTATGAAAAAATAATTTGTTTATACATATTATTAAGTAGTATACATATGTATGTATAATACTCCTGATTTTTAGACAATGTATTAGGATAAGGAAAGAAAATTAAATTTTATCCTAGAATTCGTTATTACATTCAATTAATTCAAACATTACTATAGACCAGAGGTGGATCGGAACAGTCCGAGGTGTCGGAAATCGGAAGAGCCGGAAATCGGAACTGGCTCAAAAGTCGGAACTTGGAAATCGGAAATCGGAAGGAAAAAACGTCGGAAATCGGAAGTCGGAATTCCGATCCACCTCTGCTATAGACTAATGCAGAATTTTTTAAAAAATAATTAGGCTTTTCAACTAAACCAAGAACCAATCCAACTAAAGAATCGGGATAACAAATTACCAATAGCCTTAAGACAACTAGAAATAACGTTTCCAATTGCTGTCAGAGCACGAGCAATAACATTTCCAATTCCTTTTATGGCACGTCCAATAACATCAAAAACAGCACGAATTCCACGACCAACTGCTCGACCAATTTCACAAACTAATTCGTTAATAGCCTCAAGTGCTCTCTTAAGTGCAGAATCGTCAGGACATTTCTCCGCAGCTAAATTTAAATAAAAATATTAATTACCTAATATATTAAAAATGATTTCTTTTAAATTTAAACAATTTCTATGTATTATCCCTAATTACTTTTTAAGCAATATTTTGTTTATTTAAATATTTTGAGAGAAATAAGGATAGCTAAATAAATACCTTCTCGTAATTGCCGATTTTCTTCTTCAATACTTTCAACTTTATTCTCAAGTTCCTCTTGAGTTACCATCCCATTTTGAGTCATCTGTTTTAATTTCTCTATTGAATCATAAGTTTTTTTAATTCTTTCATGAACATCTTCGTTGTTTCGAATCTAAAAAACATTTAGACAATTATTTTTTTAAATTTTATTTTCTCATTTTTTAAACTCAATCAACATTTATTTTCTCTATTACTTGTAACTATAAATAATTAAATTAAATTTTTTTTAATTAAGTTAAAAGTTTATATTTTAAATGCTTTTACTTACTTGTGCCCTATATTGAGATGTTCTACAAGATGAAGAATTACCTCCCATATTATTTGTAAATTTATTTATTATTATTTTTTCTATAATATTTATATTAAAATTAATTATTTAAATTAAAAAGTAATTAATGTTAAGATTTTTTAAATTAAATTGGTTCAAATTTGTAAAAAAATGTTAAAAGAGAATTCTGTGATTTTCTATTAAATATTAAAAATATAAATATTTGAAAAATATTTGAGATTTTATACCGTAATGATTTGAAAGAAATAAAATTGTAAAAACAAAATAATATTCATTTATAAAATAAGAAAACATATTTTCCTTTAATAATTTAAAAAATATTATATATGTAAAAGATGGACTAAAAATAATATTATATATAATTTCACACTGTTTCTACTTTAAGGCCCAACATAAGCTCCACCTTGCAGTTTTATCTATTTTTCTGATCCTTTTTATTAAATTTATTTTTTGTTATTCAAAGATATAAATTTTTAAATAGAAACATTTATTTTTGTAAAGTTCTTACGAAGAAAGTGAATCAAAAAGGGAGAAGTCTCTAAAAATTAATCTAAAAAATTGTCCGTCCATTAACCTAACACTGAGTCACCATATTATATGTATAAGGAAGAAGAAGATATGTGACCGATCAAAGCGCAGAAATGCATTTTTAGGAACAATTTTGTAAAGAAAAATAAGAAGCAAAGATTGGCCAATGTAAAATTAGCATTTTGTTTTGTACACATTGTCTACAAATATATTTATATTTTGTAAAAGCTATTTGTAAAAGAAAAGATGGTAAAATTAACATTTGAGAATAAAACACAGATTTTAAAACACAAAAATAATATTTATAGATTCAAAAATCTACCAGTATTATTCAAAAAAATTTTGCCAGGGACTATTTTAGAAAATTACGGTAATCTTTACGAATACCTATTTTTCATTTTTTCCATTTTATCTTCTATTAATTAATTATTTTTTAATAATTTAATATTTTTTAATAATTAATTAAATGATTACTAATATATTATTAATTAATTTATTAAGTGATCACAAATAATTTTATTAATTAATTTGAGGAATATATTAATAATATTTAATCTACATATTTTTATTTATTTATTTTTGTACTTTTAATCCATTTCACCGACAACATTTAAAAAAAAGTTTTATTTTAAAATTGAATCAAATTAAAAAAAAAGTAGTTGTAATTATTTGAAAGAATAAATAATGTTTTGTTTTTTTATTGTTAACAATCATTCTTGTGATTGATAAAAATTTTAATAGAAAAATGAAAGTAGGCCAATAAAATAGGTGTGTTCTTACTAAGAATTTAGTAGATGTATTAATATGTTTAATTATTATATATAAATTCGAAAAAAGAATAAATCAAACAAACAAACGTTGATGCGACAAATAAATAAATTAAATTGTATTTAAATTATTATTTTATTACTGTTTTTGTAAGCTTATAGTTAAAAAAATATATATTAAAAAATATGAATATTTTTAAAAATTTAAGATCATTTTAAAATGGAATAAATGAATTTAAATTATTAACAATAAATGTACTTTCCACTTACTTTCTCATTATTATGTCTATGTATACTCCAAAATATTGTAAGTTGATTTTTGATAATTATATATTGTTATTTGGAATTAAAAGTTTCCTAAGTGTTCAAAATAATAGAGGCATTATTTAGGATATTGTTTCATCTGAATTGATTTCTGAAATTGCAAAGAAAGCATTTGATTTGGAATTAAATTCTGGAAATTTTATTTATGGTAACCAACACATTGCTGATGCAATTTTAAAAATGTTGACTGCCTTCTATCCATTGTTAACTATTTTTATATTATTATTGAAATTATGTATTTTTAAATTAAAAAATTTTTAAGCCTAAAAAATATTTCAAAAAATTTTTTAACTAAAATTTTTGTAGTCAACGTTTTATGATTTTTGTTGCTAATGATGGTGGAAATGTTGCTAGACGTACTGATCATACTGAATGGTTTAAACAAAATGATAAACATGTTACTATTTATGTTACAACAACAAGTAACTCTTATTTGGGCAGTAAAGATTGTTATGGAGATATTTCTGAAGAGTTTAAAAGGTTACAGATACTTGATAAAACTTGATAAATCTATAAATTCATTATAAAATTAAAAAAAACAAATAAATTTTCCAGTTGCTATCCAGAAAAGGATAAAATACTTAGAAGAATTGGAGACATGTGTGGAGCAGATGGAGGTTATAATCCTGAATCTGTAGCTGTACGTGCCGTTGTAAGAGCTGACGATTTAGGTTTGGCTAGCTCTCTTCCTGAATTTGCTATGAAGGATGAAATTTTTACATGTAAAAATGCTACATCCCCAAAGCAGCGCTGGCGTGTTGCTATTGCTTTGTTTCAAGATTAGTAAGAGAATTTTAAATGTATTTTTAATCACTCTTACAATCTATTTTGGACTTTAATATTTTTTTAATTTTAATTAATTTCAGTAAAAAAGTACTAGACGAGTTTATAATGGCTAAAAATTCAGAAAATAATTTGAGGTGATAATTTCTAAAAATTCTTTAAGGACGTAATTTTGTCAATTTCAGTTTTCAACTAGGGAATAAAAACAACATTCCTTTAAACATCCCAATGATTATTTCTGAGGGTAGATCTAGCAATTTTGAGACAAATTCTTTTGTGAATCTTCCATTAAATAATTTATATTTTGGAATTGCTGCTTTATTTGGAATTTTAATTACTCTGATTTCTATGGCAATAATGTAAGAAATAAATTTTATATTAAAAATTGTTTTAAATATTTTTTTTTATTTTAGAACAGTCAGTATATGTTTTATAATCAAATACAACCAAAAAAAGAAATTAATTTGTTTGGGGAAGAAATATGAGTATTGTTGACATTTAGAGACGTTAAAGACTTAGTTTGGTTAAAAAACTTAACTTAGTTAAACTCTTAGTCTTGGCTTTGGAGTGTTCGAAAATTTTAATATATATTTTTTTAACTATAAGCTTACAAAAACAGTAATAAAATAATAATTTAAATACAATTTAATTTATTTATTTGTCGCATCAACGTTTGTTTGTTTGATTTATTCTTTTTTCGAATTTATATATAATAATTAAACATATTAATACATCTACTAAATTCTTAGTAAGAACACACCTATTTTATTGGCCTACTTTCATTTTTCTATTAAAATTTTTATCAATCACAAGAATGATTGTTAACAATAAAAAAACAAAACATTATTTATTCTTTCAAATAATTACAACTACTTTTTTTTTAATTTGATTCAATTTTAAAATAAAACTTTTTTTTAAATGTTGTCGGTGAAATGGATTAAAAGTACAAAAATAAATAAATAAAAATATGTAGATTAAATATTATTAATATATTCCTCAAATTAATTAATAAAATTATTTGTGATCACTTAATAAATTAATTAATAATATATTAGTAATCATTTAATTAATTATTAAAAAATATTAAATTATTAAAAAATAATTAATTAATAGAAGATAAAATGGAAAAAATGAAAAATAGGTATTCGTAAAGATTACCGTAATTTTCTAAAATAGTCCCTGGCAAAATTTTTTTGAATAATACTGGTAGATTTTTGAATCTATAAATATTATTTTTGTGTTTTAAAATCTGTGTTTTATTCTCAAATGTTAATTTTACCATCTTTTCTTTTACAAATAGCTTTTACAAAATATAAATATATTTGTAGACAATGTGTACAAAACAAAATGCTAATTTTACATTGGCCAATCTTTGCTTCTTATTTTTCTTTACAAAATTGTTCCTAAAAATGCATTTCTGCGCTTTGATCGGTCACATATCTTCTTCTTCCTTATACATATAATATGGTGACTCAGTGTTAGGTTAATGGACGGACAATTTTTTAGATTAATTTTTAGAGACTTCTCCCTTTTTGATTCACTTTCTTCGTAAGAACTTTACAAAAATAAATGTTTCTATTTAAAAATTTATATCTTTGAATAACAAAAAATAAATTTAATAAAAAGGATCAGAAAAATAGATAAAACTGCAAGGTGGAGCTTATGTTGGGCCTTAAAGTAGAAACAGTGTGAAATTATATATAATATTATTTTTAGTCCATCTTTTACATATATAATATTTTTTAAATTATTAAAGGAAAATATGTTTTCTTATTTTATAAATGAATATTATTTTGTTTTTACAATTTTATTTCTTTCAAATCATTACGGTATAAAATCTCAAATATTTTTCAAATATTTATATTTTTAATATTTAATAGAAAATCACAGAATTCTCTTTTAACATTTTTTTACAAATTTGAACCAATTTAATTTAAAAAATCTTAACATTAATTACTTTTTAATTTAAATAATTAATTTTAATATAAATATTATAGAAAAAATAATAATAAATAAATTTACAAATAATATGGGAGGTAATTCTTCATCTTGTAGAACATCTCAATATAGGGCACAAGTAAGTAAAAGCATTTAAAATATAAACTTTTAACTTAATTAAAAAAAATTTAATTTAATTATTTATAGTTACAAGTAATAGAGAAAATAAATGTTGATTGAGTTTAAAAAATGAGAAAATAAAATTTAAAAAAATAATTGTCTAAATGTTTTTTAGATTCGAAACAACGAAGATGTTCATGAAAGAATTAAAAAAACTTATGATTCAATAGAGAAATTAAAACAGATGACTCAAAATGGGATGGTAACTCAAGAGGAACTTGAGAATAAAGTTGAAAGTATTGAAGAAGAAAATCGGCAATTACGAGAAGGTATTTATTTAGCTATCCTTATTTCTCTCAAAATATTTAAATAAACAAAATATTGCTTAAAAAGTAATTAGGGATAATACATAGAAATTGTTTAAATTTAAAAGAAATCATTTTTAATATATTAGGTAATTAATATTTTTATTTAAATTTAGCTGCGGAGAAATGTCCTGACGATTCTGCACTTAAGAGAGCACTTGAGGCTATTAACGAATTAGTTTGTGAAATTGGTCGAGCAGTTGGTCGTGGAATTCGTGCTGTTTTTGATGTTATTGGACGTGCCATAAAAGGAATTGGAAATGTTATTGCTCGTGCTCTGACAGCAATTGGAAACGTTATTTCTAGTTGTCTTAAGGCTATTGGTAATTTGTTATCCCGATTCTTTAGTTGGATTGGTTCTTGGTTTAGTTGAAAAGCCTAATTATTTTTTAAAAAATTCTGCATTAGTCTATAGCAGAGGTGGATCGGAATTCCGACTTCCGATTTCCGACGTTTTTTCCTTCCGATTTCCGATTTCCAAGTTCCGACTTTTGAGCCAGTTCCGATTTCCGGCTCTTCCGATTTCCGACACCTCGGACTGTTCCGATCCACCTCTGGTCTATAGTAATGTTTGAATTAATTGAATGTAATAACGAATTCTAGGATAAAATTTAATTTTCTTTCCTTATCCTAATACATTGTCTAAAAATCAGGAGTATTATACATACATATGTATACTACTTAATAATATGTATAAACAAATTATTTTTTCATAATAAAATAAATATGATCATTTTCTACAATTTTTCCATCTTGATTAATAGTCAAGTAACAAATATTATCTGTAATTCTGTTAATAATTATTAAATATTTTATTTAATTTCAGAAAAATACTTTAATTTCAAGCTTAATATTTACTTTAAAAGCCATGGATAGTGTGCAAGGTACAATTTTTTAAAAAATCCGCCTAAAGTTTATGGCGGGGATTAATTTAAAATAAATTAGATAAGATTTACTCTAGAAGGTTGAGAAGAACTATGTATGAAGGTATAATTTCAGTATTAGATTAGTTCGAGGCGGTATAAAAATTCTTATTTTTGTTTAGGTGAGACACAACATTTATATTAAAATTATATGTATATTATAATTCCTATTTTAGAACGAAGAGATCTTTTAAAATTCCTTGATGTGTTAAGTAATCGACTGATTGCTATGGAAAATATGCTGCAAGAAATGGCTGAATCTAATGCGAGACTTCATCAGCGCATAGACCAATTAGAGGAGGAAAACAGAAAATTGAGAAAAATTATCGACGATAGCGGATCATCATTTTGGAAGGATCTTTGGCATGGTTTAAAGTCACTAGGTGCATCATTGGTCACTGGCATAGGTAGAAAACTTATTTTTTTCGAAGGACGTCTAAGACCTAAAAATTTCTGAAACTCAAGACCAGACTGAGCATCAATAACCATGACTAAACCCAAGACACAATAAAATTCCTGAGTCAAGACTCAAGACCAAGAGTCTTGGACGTCTTAAATGTTTTACGCGGATTGATAAAATATTGAAAGATATGGGCCCTTAAAATTTTTATCTTTTATCTAGTATTGATATATAGATAAAATAAAATCAAGAAAGTTATAAAATGTTGATACCTTTACTTATTTTTGGAAAAGAATCAAAATCTAATTTTTATTTATTCAAATTAGTTGGAGGAGTTGTCGGAAAAGTCGTCAATGGAGTCAAGAAATTGTGTGGATGAATGCATCAAATGATCAAAATAAGAAATATTTTAGTAGAATGGATGAACAAAATATTTACTTTATTTAAATCTAAAGAAAGGTTTTCTCTGATGTAATATTAAATATTACAATAATTATAAATAAAATTTTCTATAATTAAATCAAATATAAAAATATTCTTTTAGATTTTCCAATCTTGAAATATTTAAAGTTTTAAACTATACATTTATTTTTTTATTTAGTTTCAACATTTACAGTAATCGGTTTATTTTTAAATTTATTTTTTAAATATTCAGATATTTTAATTAAAATGGATAATGAAGAAGGTATTATTTAAATTTAAAATAACAATTTGTTATTCATTTTTAATTAAAATTTAAACAAAATTTTATATTTTAGAAAAAAATACTTTAAAAAAGATTGATGAAATAGAGCATCGAGCAAATATTTTAGAAAAAGCTTTACAAGAACAAGAAGAAATTAGAACAAAATCTGAAGAAAGAATTGAAGCAATAAGTATAACACAGGAACATAACAAAAAACAATTAAAAAATAAAATTAAAAAACAAGAATCGTTTTGGAAATATTTAACTAATTTCTTCTCTTCTGCTTGTAATGTTGAAAATAAAGGTGGAAAAATCATTAAAAATAATAAATTGAAATTTCCAAAAAAATTTTTTTTAATTTTCTTAAATTTACAGAAAGTGAAACAACACAAAATAATGAAGAAAGCAAAAGTAAGGATGTCTTAAAAAAGGAAATTAAAGATAAAGAATAAACTAAATTGACATAAAATAAATAAATTTTTAAAATAAAATATGATTTTTAAAGAATTTGTTATAAAAAATTTTTTTAATTGAGTTAATATGCATTTGTAATTAATTTTTTGTAACTACTTTAGGAAAAAAGCCCCATTTTAGAAAATCCAATAAATATGAAAACTTTTCCTAAGTAAAAATACCAGGAAAATTATAAGTAACTTTTAGGTCCCCTCTCTGCTAAAAATGATTGTTAGGAATAGAAAATTTTACTTATAAAAATAGTGTCCTTATATAATTTTCTTAAATTTGCACGAATAAATCAAATATAGGTATTTTATTTTTTTATCTTTTCAAGAAAAACTTGAAAGGAATCTTTAAATAATTTATTTAAATAATTTCCCGAACAACAATATCTGGCTCTTCAACAATTAAAAGTGAAAATATTTCTTCTAAATTTAATTTAATTTTTATTGAGTAAATCACAAGGTAAAAAATTACACTTATTGTGATTATAAAAAATAAATATAAATGTCCGTATGTAAATTACAAATAAAAAATGTGAAAATAAAATAAAAAAAATTAATTTGTCAATAAATAATAAAAAAATTAAGAAAAACACTTCTAACTATCTACCAAAAATTATATTTTTAGGATTTACTGAATATAAAATAACAAAATTTTAGTTAAGCTATTTTATGTTTGTAAATTTTAAAAATATAATTATGGCATCTATTTAGAAATTTATTGAGTTGAGATCCAAAACCCTATTTACAATTTTAGGCTGACATTTTCCCTGAATTTTTTTGACTTGTATATCTTTAAAATATCATTAGGTAGCTTGTTCCATGTAGGTATAATTCTTGTAAAAAAGTTATTGTAGGTTTTTCTACTTAATTTTCTGTGTTGCAAACAGTAAATTTTTCTTTTAGCCATTTTAGCAAAGCTGAAATATCTTTCCGGTTTTAAATGTGTTTGGTTCGTTATTATTTTATGTGCCATTACTAAATCAGAAACATTTCTTCTTTGTTGCAATTCTTTTAAATTAAGATAAAGTAATCGTTCCTTATACTTGGTTGGGGTTAGCCCTATAATTTTAAATAATCTACGAGTAAAATGTTTTTGAACTTTTTCAATTTCGTTTATCGATCCTTTTTTTGTAGGATTCCAGACTTCTGTTGCATATTCAAGTTGTGGTCGAATATATGCTTTGTATGCTCTTAATAAAGTATCACTATCTCTTGTTTTAAGTATTCTTAATAATTGATATATTTTAAAATATGCATTTCTTATTATCTTATTAATGTGATCATCAAAACTAAGACCTTTATCTATTATAATTAAGACCTTTATCTATCTAAGACCTTTATCTATCAAATATAAAAATATTCTTAAAGATTTTCCAATCTTGAAATATTTAAAGTTTTAAACTATACATTTATTTTTTTATTTAGTTTCAACATTTACAGTAATCGGTTTATTTTTAAATTTATTTTTTAAATATTCAGATATTTTAATTAAAATGGATAATGAAGAAGGTATTATTTAAATTTAAAATAACAATTTGTTATTCATTTTTAATTAAAATTTAAACAAAATTTTATATTTTAGAAAAAAATACTTTAAAAAAGATTGATGAAATAGAGCATCGAGCAAATATTTTAGAAAAAGCTTTACAAGAACAAGAAGAAATTAGAACAAAATCTGAAGAAAGAATTGAAGCAATAAGTATAACACAGGAACATAACAAAAAACAATTAAAAAATAAAATTAAAAAACAAGAATCGTTTTGGAAATATTTAACTAATTTCTTCTCTTCTGCTTGTAATGTTGAAAATAAAGGTGGAAAAATCATTAAAAATAATAAATTGAAATTTCCAAAAAAATTTTTTTTAATTTTCTTAAATTTACAGAAAGTGAAACAACACAAAATAATGAAGAAAGCAAAAGTAAGGATGTCTTAAAAAAGGAAATTAAAGATAAAGAATAAACTAAATTGACATAAAATAAATAAATTTTTAAAATAAAATATGATTTTTAAAGAATTTGTTATAAAAAATTTTTTTAATTGAGTTAATATGCATTTGTAATTAATTTTTTGTAACTACTTTAGGAAAAAAGCCCCATTTTAGAAAATCCAATAAATATGAAAACTTTTCCTAAGTAAAAATACCAGGAAAATTATAAGTAACTTTTAGGTCCCCTCTCTGCTAAAAATGATTGTTAGGAATAGAAAATTTTACTTATAAAAATAGTGTCCTTATATAATTTTCTTAAATTTGCACGAATAAATCAAATATAGGTATTTTATTTTTTTATCTTTTCAAGAAAAACTTGAAAGGAATCTTTAAATAATTTATTTAAATAATTTCCCGAACAACAATATCTGGCTCTTCAACAATTAAAAGTGAAAATATTTCTTCTAAAGAAATGCAAATTGCAGAAAAACTTGGCCTTTTCTCTGGAAATATATCCCAACATTTTAAAACCAAAAGTCCACTGAAAAAATAAAAAGTTATAATTTTTAAATAATTTTTTTAACAAACTAAAGTCCAGCTGGACATTGAGAAGGGCGGGGAAGTCGCCAATCTGACTTCAATTTTGGTAAGACGTCTCTAACTTCTTCTGTGCCATAAGGCATTTCTCCACGAGAAAAACATTCCCAAATAACAATTCCAAATGACCAAACGTCGCTTTTTTCAGAGAATTTGCTATATGGAAGTATTTCCCCATTTTGTCCCAGACATTCAATAGCTGTCCAACGCAAAGGTAAACGTACAGGACTTGAACAAGTATAGTTTGCATCTGCATTGAAATGTCGGCTTAATCCAAAATCAATTATCAGAAAACCTTTCCAAAATCAAAATAAATAAACGTTTTTATTTGCCTTTTAAAAAGTGCAAAAAGAAAATTTAAATAGAAAATTTGTTTAAAGAAAATTTTAAACTTTATTTTACTTTTTTTTGTGTTTTTATAAAAATTAAACTACAAGAATTTCCAATTCCCCTTTTTTCTCTCTCTCTCTCTCAGAAAGTGCAAAACATAAAAAATAAAAATTATTCACAAGTTCATTCATTACTTTATTTTGTTGGTTAAACAAACAAAATAAGGGGAGAGAAAATTGTGTAAAAACTTGGGGGTTTTGGTCAAAAGATCTCTCCTCTCCTTCCCTTTTTTAAAGTAATTTTAGTCAATTTAATTAAATTCAAGTTTTTTTAATATTTTTAAACTTGAAAGGTGTCCTTTTCTAGAAACTTTTTGGCAAACAATTTTTTTGGAATTATTTATCATTGAGAAAAAATAAATAAAATAAAAACACAAAATAAAAATATTTTTTAAGAAAAAATAAATTAAAATATATTTTTGTTTAATATTTTTAAAAGTACAGCAAATAAATAAATTTTTACCTTAATATTAGAGTAATTAAAATAAATAACTAAATAGTTAGATTAAAACACAATATTTTGAATTAAATTTAATTTTCGCTATACACCCATTTTTCAGCCAAAAAATAATTTTTTAAAAATATTTTTCTATTTTATAATTTAAAATATTCAATTAATTGGAATTTTAAAATTAATTTTTAATAATTAAAAATTTTATTTTTAAGGAGACGGCAGCCAAAAACGTTTTGTTTTGTGTTGACAACAATTTAAAGAATGGCCAATACAAACATGCAAATTGCATCAAAAAATTACCTGCGGCTACAAGAAAACAAAAAAACATTGATGCTTTAATTGAAACTAGCAGAAAGTTAATTGAACAATTCAAGTTAATTGAACAATTTTAGCGCTTTTCATATATAGAGGGAAAATTTAGTTAAAAAAAAATAAATATTTCAATTTTTGGCGCTATATAAATATAGAGGGACATAGTCTGTTAGCAGACACAAATCTTGAATATTAATAATTAATTTTTGTAAATAGCTATAATTCTATTAAGAAATCTAATCTCGTTCAATTTACTCTAAAATCTGAAACAGTAATACATATAATTTAAGTCAATTACATAAGGAATTAGCTGTTATATTCATTAAAAAGCTTAATCAGTTATTAATAAAAAAAAATTTTTTTTTACTTATAACAGTATTTAAAGAGAAATTCATATAGAGACAAATAAAATTAAGATAGAAATTAATATTGAGATAAATAGAAATTAATATTGAGTTTAATAGTCTGTTTGCAGTCCTAAATCTTGAAATTAAGACAAAAATATATAAGATATTTTCAATAAAATTACTATAGTTCCACTAATGAGTTCATTTTTGCTAAAATTAAATTAAGTTAGGAACAATTACTAAACTTTTATTCTGAGTTAAATAATTTATCATAGTTCATTATTTATTAAATTTTATAAATACTTAATTATAAGATTCTATATTCGATATTTTTTGAGCAATTATCTTAGATTTTTTATCTATACTTTATTCTTTGTTCACTTATAGTTATTGCTCATATTATTACACATATTCTTTAGTTTAAGATTTTTTAAAGAAAAACGATAAGTTGAAATATTTTTCTCATAAACAAAATTTTTTACAGGAAGCAATCCTTTATTACAAAGTGTGCGGAAAGGGTAGTAGGGCACAATACCTCGCTGACTCAATTTGAGGAGGGACAGGAGAGATTCGACCAGAACGAATCGACTCCTTAGTTTTGACGGGCAACGGAGATTTCCAATCTCCAAAAAACAAACTCCTTAGTAAAACACACAAACACAGAAACACAATTAAAAATATTTATTTAGTTAAAATAAGATTATAAATGAAGTGCCTCGGGGGAATATAAGCCGAGCACAAGTTTGGGCTGCCGGTCAACAAAGCAGGCCCTTGTGGTCTCAAATAGATTAAAATAGGGGCAAGTCAAAAGTTGGTAATAATTAATTGGCAGAGCTCAGAGAGCGCTGGCAATAACAGAAGTGAGAATAAGCAAATGTAAAACAACAAGTAAAAACAAGTGAATGGTGAAGTAGCAAGTGATTAAGGAGAATAGGCTAAAACATTATATAGGGGTAAAAAATGGGCGGAAACAAATAGATTTTAAGAGAGAAAACAAGAATGTAAAAAATTGTGTTTTGAGCGGGGAAATAAATAAAAGTTAAAATATTAATTAATGAAATAAAATGGATTTTAAGTGCCCTTTGGGCACACAAAGATATTTTCTCAGTAGGATAACGATAAAGAAGAAAATCTTTGCCCATAAAAGAAAAAGCTCTGAGAAATTAACAAACTATTATTACACCAGAGCAAGCGAAGTAGTGTTGTAATATTATTTATAAGGAATCAGCTTTTCATAATTTCGATCATTTTATTTTAAACAAGCTATTAACTTTCAACACTTAAATAAACACGCTCTTACTGCTTTAATAAAAGTTCATTATTATAAAAGCAATTGCGAATTATTGGAACCTGCGCTAAAATATTTCAATTATATATTAGCATACTTTCTATTTTTAATATTATTTTATAGTCTGTTAGCAGACTCAAATCTTGAAAATGTCTTCTGAAGACGAAATAAATATAAATGCTATTGAAAAACAATTTTGGGCAGCCAAAGAAACTGTTAAGGTTAAAGATTTAGAAAAGTGTCATTCAGATGTAATTAAGCTAGAAGAAGGGGTAAATAGGGCATTAAGACTCATTAATAGGAAAGCTAACACCAATTATGAAAAGATTAATACAATGGCTAAAGACGTAAACCTCAACATAAAAACCCTTAGTACCCAAATAATTTCACTATCGGAAAATGTAGAAAGATTAGAAGCTCTTAAAAGCGATACTTTAGGGCCAAACAATAGTCTGTTAGCAGACTCCAATCTTGATGAAACTCAAAAAGAATCTATAAACATGATTTCTTCACACTCAGGTCATGTTGAAACATTTTCTGATGAATCCATTATAGCATACGATAAATGGGCTGAAAAATTTTGCGACTATGTAGGTGCAACAGGTCGAGCATGGACCGAACCTGAAAAAGTTGCGAGACTTAAATTAGCTCTTTCCGATACCCCAAGGCAACTCTTTAAACAATTAACGCAGCAAGAAACTAGTACACTAGAATCAGCACTAAAAGCATTGCGCTCAAAATTAGACTCGCCGCAGCGAAGGGAAATAACTAAACGTACATTAGCATGTTGCAAACAAAGGGAAACGGAAACCGTCTCAGAATTCCTTAAAAGACTCACCCCATTAGTAGAGGTAGTGAATTCCTCATTAGACGAAACCCAAAGGAAAGAAAAAATTTGTGAGGAATTTTTAGATCGAGTAAAACCCAACATTGGTTTCCTAATTAGATTAGTTGGGCTCTCGAAAGCTAAGGACTTAGATCTGGTAAAATCTCAAGCTGAGGAATTAGAAACAATGTTAGCTTCTGATAAAGGCCAAATTCAACTACAAAGTCCTTTCACACAAACGGTTCACGCTTTAGCTACGAATCCTACAATGCCAAGCTCAAGCTACTCGATGCCTCCCAGATCTTTCCCAAATCAGAATACTTTAAGAAGAAATTATCCGAATGCTAATTTTACTCCGCTAAGCACTCAAAACACGCGGTACATTCCTAATAGACAAAATAGGAATAATAGAAATGACAGCTGGAGGGGAGGACAGCAGCAACGCAACGAAAGGAAATGGAATAATAGACCAATATGCAATTTCTGCAAGCGCGTAGGGCATACGTCATATACCTGTCAAGAGCGACTTGCGCGATTTCAAATTAATTACGCGGCAAATTCTCATAAGTATAATACCCAACAAGCAAAGCAACCGGTCACAGGGCAAATCAGATCCATTGAACCCTCAAATAAAATCTTAATAGATGCTGGCGATTTAATCCACGCATTGGCAAAACTAGGAGTAGGAAACAATCATGATTCATCGCCTTTGAGCAAAGACGCGAATTCATCAGTTAATTCCCTTGCCACAGTAGATAAAATACCGAATAAACCAATAAAGGAAGAGTTCAAGCAAAATATAGAAAATAAAGTTGGGAAAGAAGAAATCCATACAAAAATTTCGAGCTGGGAAGGGATAGCCCCAAAAATTTCCCGTATGATGTTTTATCTAACAATAATGCTAATATTAGTCACCCCCATTAATGGTTCGAAAAATCTTATTCCAATACCACGACAACCAATTATTTGTTAAACCCAGCTCCATGGGGTAATTTGGTCATTGCCTTCACCCATTGGTTGCCAGATACTAAGATAGATTACTCGAAAACCCCCGAAGCAGAATCGCTAACTGTATATAAACCGAACGCATATGAACATGAAATCTCGTCATGGGCCTGCCGCAAAGTAAAGAAATGTGTTAAGAAATCCACTTCACTTTCCGGAGTACCAATTACTGAACAATTAGATCCGGAACACTTAGAAATAAATTTACATGAATGCAATCAGATGATAAACCACAAGAAATGTAGTCTAGGAACTCTAATAAATGAGGAAGGGCTTTATCACACCGATAAGAAAATCAATCTATCTCCACGCACCTGGCTATTAGGCTCATTTAACTGGGAAACTGTTTGTAGTACGAATTGCTATTTATTTAACACGGAAATAACAATGCGCTTTGGTAATGCGCACATAGAAACTTTATTAGGAGACTCAAGTCACTGTTCATTTAAAAATGGAAACTGCTATTTAGAAGACAAAACTCAGATTATTTGGCCCAGAATTGTTGCTGTCTGGATCCCCTGATCTGGATCCGAAATTTTGACCCATATCTCTGCGAGTTTTCGTCTCCAGCAATAAATTTTTGCATATTCGAACTCAGCTTGGCGAGGCGAATCGAATGATATATACTTCGAGTTTCGATCTCAGTGGACCTATGCTAAAGTATGGCCAAAATTTTTTGTCACTGGAACCGGTTCTAGAACCGGTTCCAGAACCGGAACCGGAACCGGGCAAAATTAAAAAAGCGGTTCCAGAACCGGAACCGGAACCGCCAAAATTAAAAAAGCGGTTCCAGAACCGGAACCGGAACCGCCAAAATTAAAAAAGCGGTTCCAGAACCGGAACCGGAACCGGGCAAAATTAAAAAAGCGGTTCCGGAACCGGAACCGGAACCGGCGACATTTTGGAATTTCCGCATCACTTATTATATGTAATATTTATTTCCGCAAATCTGCCTGAGAATTTTTGTTGAATTTCATGATGGAATTTAATTACATACAGAAATTCTATCTATCGTTATATTTACTATTTATACACTCCCCTAATAATTAATTGTTTTTAGAAAAATCCCAACATCAAAAAAATATTAATTTTTTATTCCATAAATTTTAAAAAAATGTTTTCAAAAAATTTATTTTTTGTTCAATTTATTTTTCAATTATTTTATTTAACTTTGTCGAATATTCAAAATGATGAGCAATTTATTTTTGAAAATCAAGGTTATGGATATATAAATATAAAAAGAATTGAATTTAATAATTATTTAAATAAAAATATTTTAAAAATAATTATCGAAATAACCAATTCTGTCAGAGCAATTTTTGTAGTTCCAAATAAAGGATATAAAACACCATATTTTAATAAAGGACAATCAAATAAAAAAATTTATTATGTTGGGAAATCAAATTTTAGGGATGGAAATGCAGAAATAAATATTGAAGAAGATTTTGATAATAATTATAGAAAGGGAATTGTTATTTGTGGAAGATTAATAAATAAAAGAATTTTTGTGGTAATTTGGAAATTTAAATAAATAAACGAATTAATATTTTCTGATAAATATGTAGAGCTTTAATGAAATAATAATAATAGATTGGGCACAATTCATACATAAATACCAGGGATCCTGCCGACAAAAAAACTAAATTCTCGATTTCGGGAAATCGGGATCCCTACTTAAAAAATCGCGGGAATTCCCGATTTTCGGGAATTGGGACGGCACATTCCTGATACATACAATCATAATTTTATTATATTATTTTTAATTAAAATTATTTCATAAAAATTAAATTTAAATTAATTTTTATAGACATTATTTATAATTAAACCGCTCCTTCACAATAAATTATATATCGAACCAAAGGAGGTTAAAGAAGATTTTGATGATTTTAAATTAATGAACTTTGAATGGTTTTTGGATTTTAAAAATCAAAAAAATAATTTAATTAAAATTTGTTTAAAATTTAAAAATAAAGGAGAATATTTAATTAATTTAGCATCTGGCATTTTAAATAAAAAATTATTAGAATTTAATTTTAAAATTGATAAAGAAATGTTAATTAATTGTAAAATATTTAATGAAAAAATTGAAGAAAAAGAATTAATTAAATTAAAAGAAAAAATATTTATTTATTATTATAAAATTAATAAAGAAATTGATTCTGAAGAATATAATGTTGAGGACGATAGTATTTTGTTATTAAATATTACAGAAATTGAGCCTTTAATTTCTGATGGAATTTATGAATTTTATTTTGACAATAATGGAAATATTAAACAAAAAAAGGAAAATATAATTAAATATTTAAATAAAAGAGAATTAAATAAAACAAATAAAAATAAAATATCTCCTTTATTTAAGGAAGAATTAGATGTTCTTATTGATGGAAATTATTTTAAAATGAATAAAAATGGAAAAGTTGAAAAATTAAAAACAAATTTAGAAGATGAAGAAAATTAATTATAAAAATAAAATTATTAAATAAATAAATATATTTTTTGGGGGTAGATATAGACATGAAAATAAAGTATTTTACACGCCCGAGGATTTTTTTCTGTTAACCTAAACACAATTATAACTCTTAGAAATTTCCTCGTACTTTTGATAAATAACCAATTCTTTAATATTATAAAGATAAATAACTATATGTGAGAATTATAGTTTTATAAAAAAATAAATAAATTCAGTAATTGTAGTATAAATTCCTTAGTAATAAATTAATAATTGTTTTGTAAAATTAAGAAAAATATATTTTTCTTTATTTATTATATGTTAATGTCAAATTAACAAAAAAAATTCAAAAAATCAATTTGCATTTTATTTCCTTATTTGTTTAGCTGTACAAGGAAATACTGGATGATTGGAAGTTATTTTAAAATATAAATTATTTTTTAAAATAAATTTAAAAAATGTTTTTAAATATATTTATTAGGCTTATTTAATATTTACTTTTATTTAATATTATTTTTTATTAATGACCCCCCCCCCTCCCTCCTCATCATTTCCATAACCCAATACCGAGACTTGACCTGTGCGAGAGTGCGCATATTTTTTATTACTTATGTATATATGCAAAATTTTTGATTGGTGTCTTTTATTTTTAAATTTTTAAAAATCATGTGAATTCTCTAAAAAGACCAAAAATCGTTAAAAATAAAATTTAAAATTTCTATAATTGTAGCAAAAAATTTTATTGAGGGATTATCCTTTCAAATTGTGTAATAATAGAAGTAGTTGTGACTAAAATGTTATATATCGGATTTATTTTAAATTGGCAAAATTATTTTACCGTTACCAAACATTTTATTGAAATTTTTGCTCTTAATTCCAAAATTACGAAAAAATTTCGATATAAAATAATTACGACATTCCTATTAAATACATACATTCAAACAATAATTTGTGTACATAATTTAAAAGATCGTATCTTTTTTTATCACTCAAATATGCAAAAGAATTTAAGAGGAGTAGATAAAAATAACACAATTTCCTATTTTTAACACAGTAACTTGTAGATATATTTAAGTGTTCTATTGACCGGATACAGCTATAATTCTAGTGAGATAATTTTAAATAAGAATTAACATTTATTAGAATAAAAATATTAGAAAAATAATTTTGTCGAAGGCTAATAAATTAAATGATTTTTAAGGATAAAAATAAAAGCAACTTTATTTTAAGTAAATCTTTTAGATTTTATTATAAAATATATAAATTTTTTCTTAGTTTAATTTTTATTTAATATAAGTAAATTATAACTCAATATTTAGAGAAAGGATTAATTTTAAAAAATAGAAGGAGAGAAATGATTTTTAAACTTAAATATACATATTACCTATTTAATTAGTTGATTATAAATTTATTGGCAAACAATTAATTAGTTAATAGCTTTTAAAAAATTTTGTCATAAAAGAGAAAATTTTAGAAAGAAAAGTTTCAATCATGTTGGAAGAGTTATTTTAATATATTTAATTTTCTAAATTAAATATTTATTAATTAAGAAAAACGAAGAAGATAAAGAAATTTATTTATCATACCTTCATCTTTTTTAATCCTTCCCCAAACATCAATTCCTTTTTAGCTTAAGTGTTTTTCTCCAAATCCATTTTTTAAATAATTAAATACACCACCTTGACCACCTTCCTCCCTCTGCCCCCTCTAATCATTAAATAATTGGCTCTTCCATTCATCAATAAATATTTTTTAATTTATCAATTCTCGCGCAATTCTCTGCCTTTACGTCAACACATTTTTACTTTATTTTATGTTCATCGGCCAGTTTCCCCTAACAACATTTTTATTTATTTATGTACTAATATAATAAATATTTATTTATTTTTTTATTTGTTAGCTATTTACATTTAAATATTTTTTAATTAAGTAAAGTTTGGGAAAATAATTTTAATTTTTAACAAAATATATTTTAATTATATATTATTTAATTTTATTATTTTATTTTTTGAATTACAAATTTTTGTGTTTTCGTTTTTATTTATTTTTTTAAATATAACAGTAAAAAATACAATCAAACCTCCTTTCAATTTAAGGTAAACAAACAAATTTTATAAAGAGAATCAATCTAATTTTTAACAAAAATTTTCAAAAATTTATTTAAATCCAAACTTCTATAAAATATTTATTTTTAATTAAAATGTCATTTAAAAAGCCAAAAGGTAAATTTTTCGATTCTGTCAGCGACAGCACAATTGACTTGCAACAATTAAATATTTCTGACAATAATATTACATCAGAAGATACTAACAGTGAACAAACAAAAATAGTAATAATTTTTATTTAAATTATTTTTTGAATTAAAATAAAAATTATTTCCTCCTCATTTAACAATAAAATTAAATTTAAAAATATTTTTTTTAATTTTAATTAATTTTCAAACAAATATTAAAAGGCTGAAACAGACAGAACAATATTAGAAACAAATGGAGGAGTATTATCTCCAACACCTTCTCAATTTAAAATTTTAACAATAGAGGGAAATGGAAATAAAAAGCCTATTAAATCTTCAAATAATTCAAATGATGAGGATGATGATTGTTGGAATAATCCAATGTTGATAATAGAAACATTCCAAATAATTTGTAAAGAATTTATTATTAAATATAAACAAGTTTTGAATGGAATTGTTAAACTTGGAATTTTGTTGGGTTATCATTTATTTTTAGGTAATTAATTATAGATAAATAAATAGAAATTAAATTAGTTAATAATTAATTTATAAAATCTTTAAAAATGCTCTTTTTGTAATTCTTAATTTTTCATTAATTTTTCAACACCAATTAATATAAATTAATTAGAGTTATTATACTTAAAGATCTCGATTATATTCAAATATTTATTCTAAATTCAAGTGTTCCTATGTACATGTTAAAGCTAGTAAATAGATCCTAAAACTTTTGGATTATAGGAAAACCTCTCTCAAAAATTCCCCTTTCTTTCGAAGGTGTCAGAAAAAAATTATTTTTTAAATAAAAATTTTTAAATTAAAGTTTTGGCACTTTTACATGATTCAAATAAATCATTTAATCTTGCTATCTTTACTTCAATATGTTGGCTTTATATTTTTTATAGAAAATTTCTGTTGCCTTTTTTGAAAGCAAGAACTAAAATAATAACTAGAAGAAGACAATATGCTCAATTTTATTCTTTTACTGAAGCTATTAAAAATAATAAATCTTTAATAAGGCATTAAATATATTTTTTTTATTTTTTAATTTAAAATATTTCTATGTAGATTGTGCAATTTATTTGGTTTTCTTATTCCACTTTCTTATATGATTTGGGATTGCAGAAAGTAAAAAATATATGAATAATTAATTAATAAATTAATTAATTTCTAGTAGTGTTCACCGTTTATCTGGATTGTTTGGTCTCACTTTTTTCTTCCTTTTAATGTGTCTTTGTTCTTATAAACCAACTAAAGTATTCTTTAAATAATCATTTTTAATTTAATCAAACAATAGATTAATTGGCGTCCTGTCCTTTGGGGATTTCTGCTTCAATTTATTTTTGGAATTATTGTATTACGTTGGGTTAGTTAAATAAAAACAATTTAAATCCAAATCCCTCTTATTTAAAATCTAGGAATGGGGTGCCAGTCGTTTTATTGAATTATCAGATATGGCTATGATAATGCTAGATTTCACTTATAATGGAACGGATTTTACTTATGGTTTTCTTTCATCACCTCCAAATATTTGTGGAATGGAGGCAGTTGTTGCTTTTAGGGTTAGGGAATCTTTTCCTATTTTTAGAAAAAGAATATTTTTATAGTTTCTCCAAGTAATTATTTATGTTGGTGCTCTTGTCTCTGTTCTTTATTTCTATGGAATTATTCAAGCAGTCCTAAAAAGATTAGCCTGGTTAATGCAATTTACTATGGGGACTACGGCTACAGAATCTTTAAATGCTTGTGGTTGTGTTCTTTTAGGAAATGTATTTTTCTTAATTAAAAATATTTTTAAAAAATATATTTTTAAGGCAGAATCTCCAATGCTTATTCGTCCTTATATAGAAAAAATGACTAATTCTGAATTGCATGCAATTATGACAACTGGGTAATTTGTTAAAATTTTGATTAATAAATAAATTGATAGACAATAATTAAAATATTATTTTAGTTTTTCATGTATTGCCGGTTCTGTTTTTGCTGTATTTATTAGTTTTGGTGCTTGTCCTCGTTATTTACTCTCAGCTGCAGTAATGGGTGCCCCAGGCTCTTTAGCCTGCTCAAAACTTCTTTATCCAGAAACTGAGGAATCTATAACTAAAGGAGTTGATGATTTGGATTTACCACCGAGGTATTCCTCACAAAGAATTTTTAAATTAAAACAAAAAATTTTTTTAAGTAAAGAAAGGAATGCAATGGAATGTGTTGCTTCCGGTTCTTTAGAAGCCGTTCATTTAGTCACTGCCGTACTTGCTAGTCTAATCTCTTTTGTAGCTATTATGGCTCTTTTAAGTGGGGTGATTGATTATGCTGGCACTTTAATTGGTCACCCAGGGTGGAGTTTGGAGATGTTATTTGGATATGCCTTTTTCCCTATTGCCTACTTGATTGGAGTAACAGAATTTGAACAAGCTTTGGTTTTTAATGATAAAATAATATTTTTAAAAATTAATTTTTAGATAGTTGGAAGGTTATTGGGTGTAAAAATAGCAGTCAGCGATTTTATAGCTTATAAAAGACTTGGAGAAGTCCTCCATCTTTTAACGGTTTTATAAAATTAATTTAAATTTTAATTAATTTATAATTAGCCTCGTTCTGCAATGATTGCAACTTATGCTTTATGTAGCTTCAGTAATTTTATTGCTGCTGGTGTACAAATGTCAGTACTTGGTGGAATGTCTCCCCAAAAGAAACCTCTAATCTCTAAATTAATTATGCGAGCTTTAATGGCTGGTTGTATTTCTTGTTTTGTTTCTGCTTGTATTGCCGGTAAATTAAATATTTATTTTTTGTAAATAAATATTAAATAATAATGTAATGTAATTTTAATGTAATTTAATGATTAATTTAATTTAATAATTTTATTAATTAATTTTAATGTAATGTAATTTTAAATTCAGTAAAAATTTAAAATTTAATTAGAGCTTGGAACTGTTCGTGATAATCTTAGCTATCATTCGCCGATTGTCAGGATGATTTCACCTACCCTTTTCCGAAATTAGTTAGATTTTCCTCTGGTACCGAAGGGGAAATTTTTTAATTCTTAAACACAAATGGGAATTTTTGACTTTTTGAGACAAATGATTTTTATTTTTAAAAAAATGCGTTCCCCTTAATTGTGATATGAATAATGAAAGTTAAATAAAAATATCCCTTGCACAACCCCTTAAATTAAATGTATTCCTACACATTCTAATCTTTTAATTAATATTTATATTTTTAGGTATTTTAATAGAGGATCCAATACTTTGCCAAAGAACATATGGCACAAATTCTGGGAAATGTTTTGATATAAATGAACACCAAAAATTTATGGAAGAAATTATTAAACAGAGAAATATTACCGGAAATATTATTTAAATTTTTTTGAAAATATTTTTTTATTTTACGATATTGCTTTAAAATATTTTTGTATAATATATTTTCTATTAATATTAGAAATAAAGTTAAATTACTTTAAAAATATTTTTATTGTATTTTAAATCGTTTATTTTTCCACTAGTACTTTTTCCAATAAATTTTGTCAAATTCATTCAATATTTCCAACAAAAAAATTTGAATTTCTATTTAGAATTTTATATATACATACATATTAGATGTCTTAGTTTTCTTAATTTTTTATCTTAATTTTGATTTTTTAATTAATTTTGTTTTTAAATTTAACTGCCCTAAAATCTTTATTTATTTTAGAAAAATTATAAATGCTTTAAATAATTTCATTATGTTAAAAATCTTTTAAAACTATTTCTGTCTAATTTAATCGAAAAACTTAGAAAATCAAGAAAAGAAATCTTTCTCATATTTTTTTAAATTTTATTTACAAAATTTAAACATTATCAACATTATTTTCTTCATTTCCATTTTTAATTTGTAAAGGTTCGTAGGCAAACATTGAAGACTTTGTTGTTGTTTTAACCCAATGTAAATCATTCCAGTTAGAAATGTTTAGTAACATTAAAATTCCAATAATTAATGGCACAGTTATTAATAAAATTGGAAGCAAAAATAAAAAAAAATTAATTGAAGTATTTGTTTCTGTTTTAATTTTTGAAGAAAATTTTGATGGGCAATTTTGAGGGAAATTATTAGAAGTTGTTTGGATAAAATCTAGAGCCTCTAAAGGGTGTTGCCAATGATAAATAGTTGAGCTATTTGATATGGGAACACAAATATAGCCTTTAGGCTTCTGAAAAAAATTTTATTTAAAAAGTAAAGAAAAATAATTGATAAAAATATTTAATTATTAACAGAAAAATTAAAAATAATTTACATGTATGTATTACCTCCAATTCTCCAACTATTTTTATTAAACGCTCAGGCATAGGACAAGCACAATCTAACGGATTCCCGTCTACTTTTAATTCTGATATTCTTTCAATTTGTGTTTCGCTCCAATCCCAGCCCAATTTATTCAACGAATTATTCCGAAAATCATATTCAAGAAATCGCTAAATAAAAATATTGTTTTGACACAAATATCCTGAAAGGATCTATCCAAATTCATAATATTTTTGTCAGAAAACGTTAAATTAATTATACCGTAAATATTTTAATATAAGCACTGGGCTTATATTTTTCAATGCCCCCATCGGGTGGGCTTCTAATAGGGTATGTGCTTCTATTAGGATATTTACTGTGTATCAATTGTCTAAACTTATTTTTAAACTAGTGTTGCACCCCGACCCCGTTCCCCGTTCCCCGTCCCCGCTCCCGAACGATTTTTTCAGACTTCTCCCCGCCCCGTTCCCCGCCCCGAAACAATTCAAAAACCCCGTCCCCCGACAACCCCGAAAAACTTTCGGGGTTGTCGGGGGTAAGACCCCCATAAAATTCCATTTTTTAGAGGAATTTAAAGAGAAAAATTTAGAAAATTCCCTCCCGATTTACTTTGTACTTATTATTTTTAAAGGAAAAATGAATGTAATAATAAAATTCTCCTTATATTTTTTTTCCAAGAGACGTGTGGTTGAGTGGTTTAGTTGTTAGATTTAGCTATATTATGCTATGGAGTCGCATAAGGATATCTGTTTTATTTTATTTTTCTTTAAAAAATAAATTATAACAAGTGTTCAAATTTATTTTTAAATATTATCTAACATAAAAACAAGCCAAATATTTTTGTTTAGTTCTTGAAATCAAAAAATTTTCGCCTGCGGCGCTATAGAGGAAGAAACCAGGCTTTATGATCTAACACAATTCTCAAAATTTTCGCCTGAGGATCTAAAATTAATACAACTAATTTACATTCTATACTGAGATATTAGCATTTCATCTCATTGGAAAGCATAAAATTAGAGGGTGATCGGTGGACTGGAATCAGAGGTATCAAGGGATCTGTATGAGATCAGAGGATTAAGAGGATTTGAAGGACTAATAGGAGTAAATTAAAGTGGGTTTGAATGAATCACGAGTATTTGAGGATATCGAACGGGAGATTAGGAGCGACATTGAGATATTAATCCTCAGATATACCCTGATATCCGAACAAATCCCCTGATCTCCCTTCATTCCCTTCAAATCCCTAATCCGTCAATATCCTTCTAAATAACTGATATTCCATGAACTACCCTTAATTATTCGAACCTCTTATATCACCAGATATATCAGTTTATCTTTTCAAATCTTCCTTAATCCGTCCGAATTTATTTAACTTCACATGTATAGACTTTAAATCATTAAAACCATTTAATCCCACCTTATTTCATTAATTTTTGAATAAATTAACGAAAATAGACAGAAAACGACTTATTTTTAGAGCATTTTTTGTTTAAAATTTTTTTTCTTTAAACCCCCGTTCCCCGTCCCCGTCCCCGGCCTAATTTTGCTCCCCGACCCCGTTCCCCGCCCCGAAACAATTCAAAAACCCCGTACCCCGACATACCCGCCCCCGAGCGTTCGGGGTGCAACCCTATTTTAAACATTTAAATATACTTACATTAATTGGCAATAAATATCCAGGAACTTCAGTTAATTTATTTCCACATAACTCGAGAGATCTAAGAGCCAAAAACTTGCTAAAATTGGGCATTTCTTCAAGTAAACAATTATTTAATTGAATAAATATTAATTTAAAATTTGTTTTTCTTTTATTAATTTGAATATTAATTCCTTTGTTTTGATTTAAATATAGAAACGTTAATGAAGGTAGCCACTCAAATGAATTAAATATTTTCAATTGATTATTTGATAAATCAAGAACTTCGATTGAAGGAAATTCTTCTTTAATTGAACTGCCGAATTTTTGGAGTTGATTATTTGATAGATTTAGATAGGCTAGTTTTGTTGGGATATTTGTTAGTGAAGATTCTAACTAGAAATTAATTATAAATATATTTTGAAGGACTAGCAAACGTTATTTTTAGTGGCTTTTCAATTACATATGAGGCTCGTAAAATGAAGAAAATTCTAAGAAGCATTTCGCCAAGAACTATTAATACTAAAATTGTGATTGTTCCTTTCCAGATCTTGGACCAGTCCCCAAATATTTGTTTTTCTATTTCCTCTCTAACTTGTCCCCAAGATTCTGAAGGGGTTACCCTGGTTTCAGTGTCTTTTATGTGAATCCTATATGTTATTTCGCTTGCTTTTAGTGTACTAGCTATGTGGGTGTGCGTTATAAAATCGGTTACATTATTTATTACTAAATGATGAAAGACTGAGTAGAAATCTTTGGAATAGTAAGCGATGGGAATGTTAAATTTGTTAAAACAGTGGTTTCTAATTTCTTTACTTGGGCGGTCATTTGATCTATTTCCAGAGTTTCATCCTCAAGTTGGATTATTTGGTGTCTGTATGCGAAACACGGGGCTTTGCTCGCGTCCGCTACAACTTCCATTCTTGATGGGTCAATAAATGCGATTTTGTTTACACTGCCAGCTTTGAACTTAATTGGAATTTTATCAAAACATATTCCTTTTTCAAGGTTTATTTCCTCGTGCGTTATAAATTCATATTGGTCGCGATTGATGGAAGCGCATGGCCAAATTTTGATTATTCCGGAGCTTACCCTTTTCGCATGAATTAGAGGGTTTTCAAAAATAACCCGTGCAAAAGTAGTTGGATCGGTAAACGCGGCAGAGATTGCCCAGCGCCTGACTTCTTCTAAGTGATTGCAAATCGCATGCAGCGAATGGGTGAATGAAACACGCATGGTTTGGGCCATTTTCCAACTTAGGTATGATAATTCGGATTGTAGTTGTGCTGATGTTACTATACCAGAGATAGCTCGCTTTATTCTTCTTTTATTTTCTTTGTGGACTGCGAAACCCTGGTTGGATATTGTTAAATTTTTATCGCATACTCGAACTGTTTTGGGAACTTCTGGAAAATCTAGCAATAGCGGTAATTTATCTGCGACCCATGTCTGTCCCATCCTTTGTCCTGACCAGGTTCCTATTGGAGTGTATTCGCAATTCTTTTCACTATTACTGGGCCAAATAATCTGAGTTTTGTCTTCTAAATAGCAGTTTCCATTTTTAAATGGACAGTGACTTGAGTCTCCTAATAAAGTTTCTATGTGCGCATTACCAAAGCGCATTGTTATTTCCGTGTTAAATAAATAGCAATTCGTACTACAAACAGTTTCCCAGTTAAATGAGCCTAATAGCCAGGTGCGTGGAGATAGATTGATTTTCTTATCGGTGTGATAAAGCCCTTCCTCATTTATTAGAGTTCCTAGACTACATTTCTTGTGGTTTATCATCTGATTGCATTCATGTAAATTTATTTCTAAGTGTTCCGGATCTAATTGTTCAGTAATTGGTACTCCGGAAAGTGAAGTGGATTTCTTAACACATTTCTTTACTTTGCGGCAGGCCCATGACGAGATTTCATGTTCATATGCGTTCGGTTTATATACAGTTAGCGATTCTGCTTCGGGGGTTTTCGAGTAATCTATCTTAGTATCTGGCAACCAATGGGTGAAGGCAATGACCAAATTACCCCATGGAGCTGGGTTTAACAAATAATTGGTTGTCGTGGTATTGGAATAAGATTTTTCGAACCATTAATGGGGGTGACTAATATTAGCATTATTGTTAGATAAAACATCATACGGGAAATTTTTGGGGCTATCCCTTCCCAGCTCGAAATTTTTGTATGGATTTCTTCTTTCCCAACTTTATTTTCTATATTTTGCTTGAACTCTTCCTTTATTGGTTTATTCGGTATTTTATCTACTGTGGCAAGGGAATTAACTGATGAATTCGCGTCTTTGCTCAAAGGCGATGAATCATGATTGTTTCCTACTCCTAGTTTTGCCAATGCGTGGATTAAATCGCCAGCATCTATTAAGATTTTATTTGAGGGTTCAATGGATCTGATTTGCCCTGTGACCGGTTGCTTTGCTTGTTGGGTATTATACTTATGAGAATTTGCCGCGTAATTAATTTGAAATCGCGCAAGTCGCTCTTGACAGGTATATGACGTATGCCCTACGCGCTTGCAGAAATTGCATATTGGTCTATTATTCCATTTCCTTTCGTTGCGTTGCTGCTGTCCTCCCCTCCAGCTGTCATTTCTATTATTCCTATTTTGTCTATTAGGAATGTACCGCGTGTTTTGAGTGCTTAGCGGAGTAAAATTAGCATTCGGATAATTTCTTCTTAAAGTATTCTGATTTGGGAAAGATCTGGGAGGCATCGAGTAGCTTGAGCTTGGCATTGTAGGATTCGTAGCTAAAGCGTGAACCGTTTGTGTGAAAGGACTTTGTAGTTGAATTTGGCCTTTATCAGAAGCTAACATTGTTTCTAATTCCTCAGCTTGAGATTTTACCAGATCTAAGTCCTTAGCTTTCGAGAGCCCAACTAATCTAATTAGGAAACCAATGTTGGGTTTTACTCGATCTAAAAATTCCTCACAAATTTTTTCTTTCCTTTGGGTTTCGTCTAATGAGGAATTCACTACCTCTACTAATGGGGTGAGTCTTTTAAGGAATTCTGAGACGGTTTCCGTTTCCCTTTGTTTGCAACATGCTAATGTACGTTTAGTTATTTCCCTTCGCTGCGGCGAGTCTAATTTTGAGCGCAATGCTTTTAGTGCTGATTCTAGTGTACTAGTTTCTTGCTGCGTTAATTGTTTAAAGAGTTGCCTTGGGGTATCGGAAAGAGCTAATTTAAGTCTCGCAACTTTTTCAGGTTCGGTCCATGCTCGACCTGTTGCACCTACATAGTCGCAAAATTTTTCAGCCCATTTATCGTATGCTATAATGGATTCATCAGAAAATGTTTCAACATGACCTGAGTGTGAAGAAATCATGTTTATAGATTCTTTTTGAGTTTCATCAAGATTGGAGTCTGCTAACAGACTATTGTTTGGCCCTAAAGTATCGCTTTTAAGAGCTTCTAATCTTTCTACATTTTCCGATAGTGAAATTATTTGGGTACTAAGGGTTTTTATGTTGAGGTTTACGTCTTTAGCCATTGTATTAATCTTTTCATAATTGGTGTTAGCTTTCCTATTAATGAGTCTTAATGCCCTATTTACCCCTTCTTCTAGCTTAATTACATCTGAATGACACTTTTCTAAATCTTTAACCTTAACAGTTTCTTTGGCTGCCCAAAATTGTTTTTCAATAGCATTTATATTTATTTCGTCTTCAGAAGACATTTTCAAGATTTGAGTCTGCTAACAGACTATAAAATAATATTAAAAATAGAAAGTATGCTAATATATAATTGAAATATTTTAGCGCAGGTTCCAATAATTCGCAATTGCTTTTATAATAATGAACTTTTATTAAAGCAGTAAGAGCGTGTTTATTTAAGTGTTGAAAGTTAATAGCTTGTTTAAAATAAAATGATCGAAATTATGAAAAGCTGATTCCTTATAAATAATATTACAACACTACTTCGCTTGCTCTGGTGTAATAATAGTTTGTTAATTTCTCAGAGCTTTTTCTTTTATGGGCAAAGATTTTCTTCTTTATCGTTATCCTACTGAGAAAATATCTTTGTGTGCCCAAAGGGCACTTAAAATCCATTTTATTTCATTAATTAATATTTTAACTTTTATTTATTTCCCCGCTCAAAACACAATTTTTTACATTCTTGTTTTCTCTCTTAAAATCTATTTGTTTCCGCCCATTTTTTACCCCTATATAATGTTTTAGCCTATTCTCCTTAATCACTTGCTACTTCACCATTCACTTGTTTTTACTTGTTGTTTTACATTTGCTTATTCTCACTTCTGTTATTGCCAGCGCTCTCTGAGCTCTGCCAATTAATTATTACCAACTTTTGACTTGCCCCTATTTTAATCTATTTGAGACCACAAGGGCCTGCTTTGTTGACCGGCAGCCCAAACTTGTGCTCGGCTTATATTCCCCCGAGGCACTTCATTTATAATCTTATTTTAACTAAATAAATATTTTTAATTGTGTTTCTGTGTTTGTGTGTTTTACTAAGGACTTTGTTTTTTGGAGATTGGAAATCTCCGTTGCCCGTCAAAACTAAGGAGTCGATTCGTTCTGGTCGAATCTCTCCTGTCCCTCCTCAAATTGAGTCAGCGAGGTATTGTGCCCTACTACCCTTTCCGCACACTTTGTAATAAAGGATTGCTTCCTGTAAAAAATTTTGTTTATGAGAAAAATATTTCAACTTATCGTTTTTCTTTAAAAAATCTTAAACTAAAGAATATGTGTAATAATATGAGCAATAACTATAAGTGAACAAAGAATAAAGTATAGATAAAAAATCTAAGATAATTGCTCAAAAAATATCGAATATAGAATCTTATAATTAAGTATTTATAAAATTTAATAAATAATGAACTATGATAAATTATTTAACTCAGAATAAAAGTTTAGTAATTGTTCCTAACTTAATTTAATTTTAGCAAAAATGAACTCATTAGTGGAACTATAGTAATTTTATTGAAAATATCTTATATATTTTTGTCTTAATTTCAAGATTTAGGACTGCAAACAGACTATTAAACTCAATATTAATTTCTATTTATCTCAATATTAATTTCTATCTTAATTTTATTTGTCTCTATATGAATTTCTCTTTAAATACTGTTATAAGTAAAAAAAAATTTTTTTTTATTAATAACTGATTAAGCTTTTTAATGAATATAACAGCTAATTCCTTATGTAATTGACTTAAATTATATGTATTACTGTTTCAGATTTTAGAGTAAATTGAACGAGATTAGATTTCTTAATAGAATTATAGCTATTTACAAAAATTAATTATTAATATTCAAGATTTGTGTCTGCTAACAGACTATGTCCCTCTATATTTATATAGCGCCAAAAATTGAAATATTTATTTTTTTTTAACTAAATTTTCCCTCTATATATGAAAAGCGCTAAAATTGTTCAATTAACTTGAATTGTTCAATTAACTTTCTGCTAGTTTCAATTAAAGCATCAATGTTTTTTTGTTTTCTTGTAGCCGCAGGTAATTTTTTGATGCAATTTGCATGTTTGTATTGGCCATTCTTTAAATTGTTGTCAACACAAAACAAAACGTTTTTGGCTGCCGTCTCCTTAAAAATAAAATTTTTAATTATTAAAAATTAATTTTAAAATTCCAATTAATTGAATATTTTAAATTATAAAATAGAAAAATATTTTTAAAAAATTATTTTTTGGCTGAAAAATGGGTGTATAGCGAAAATTAAATTTAATTCAAAATATTGTGTTTTAATCTAACTATTTAGTTATTTATTTTAATTACTCTAATATTAAGGTAAAAATTTATTTATTTGCTGTACTTTTAAAAATATTAAACAAAAATATATTTTAATTTATTTTTTCTTAAAAAATATTTTTATTTTGTGTTTTTATTTTATTTATTTTTTCTCAATGATAAATAATTCCAAAAAAATTGTTTGCCAAAAAGTTTCTAGAAAAGGACACCTTTCAAGTTTAAAAATATTAAAAAAACTTGAATTTAATTAAATTGACTAAAATTACTTTAAAAAAGGGAAGGAGAGGAGAGATCTTTTGACCAAAACCCCCAAGTTTTTACACAATTTTCTCTCCCCTTATTTTGTTTGTTTAACCAACAAAATAAAGTAATGAATGAACTTGTGAATAATTTTTATTTTTTATGTTTTGCACTTTCTGAGAGAGAGAGAGAGAAAAAAGGGGAATTGGAAATTCTTGTAGTTTAATTTTTATAAAAACACAAAAAAAAGTAAAATAAAGTTTAAAATTTTCTTTAAACAAATTTTCTATTTAAATTTTCTTTTTGCACTTTTTAAAAGGCAAATAAAAACGTTTATTTATTTTGATTTTGGAAAGGTTTTCTGATAATAAAAAAATATTTTTTTATTGAAAAATTTTGGCTAAAATAATTTTGCATTGATTTGATTAGAAAATTTAATATTTTTTGTTTAAAATAAACACAATTAATTGGTTAATTATTTTACAAAAAATTTTATTTTTGTTTACTTACCGGTTCAATCAGCAAACGTCTCAGGAAGAAAAGCATTTTTCTCGTTCCTTTATGACAAACATTGTCAGACATTTGTGTTCTAACAGCTCCTGGATGAACTGCAAAAGCTTTTACAGAATCGCCATAAAAATTGTTTAGATGGTGGGCAAGCATTGCCGTCGCAAATTTACTTAAAGCATATGCCTTCCAACGTTTGGCGTTTTGAAACATTTCTGGCCATTTCTCAACATTTTTTTCCAACGGGAATATATTACCAACAAGTCTTTAAATTAAAATTATTTTTTAAAAATTATTTTAAAGAAAGAAATTACCTTTGTATAACAGAAGTTAAAGTAATTACTCGAAGAGAATGGTTAGGGCATTGATGTTTAACAATACCATCGATAAGTAGAAAATGACCGAGAAAATTAACTTGGAAAGTTGGCTCAAACCCGTCGTTAGTACTTTTCTCTTTTGGAAGTAAAACACCGGCATTGAGAATAATTATGTCGAAAATACTGAAAATAATTAATTTTTAAATTTAAGGGAAAAGGAGAATGTTTCAAATAATTAATTTTTAAATAATTTTTTAGTTTAATTTTTATTTTAATTTTTCTTCTAATTAATTTTTAACTAATTAATTATTCTATTTAAATTTACATTTTTTCTTTTTTAATTCTTTCCATCAGAATTTCAACATTCCTCAAAGAGGACAAATCCAGAGAAAGCCAAGAGAATTTACTTTTAAAATTATTAGATTGTTCAGCTCTTTCCTTAAGTTGTTTCAATGCTGTCTCAGCTCTTCTCTGATTTCTACAAGCTATTGTTATATCATAACAACCTCTACTAGCTAATAATAAAGCTGTTTGTAGCCCTAAAAAAATAAAAATATTTTTCTCAAAAATTCTTCTTTTCTCTCTCTCTCTCACCAATTCCCTGATTTCCTCCAGTTATCATTACATGTTTGTTTTTGTTGATTGAGTTATTCTTTTCAATATTCTCTTCAATGTTTTTAGCGACGATTAAATTATTTTGTCGGCACATTTTTTTAATTAATTATTTTTTTATTATTAATTATTATTAATATATAACTGTAAAAATTAATTAATTTAATTAATTTAAATTGTTTTTAAAAAATATTAAATGGGTGTTTTGTTAAATTTGCGCGTTTAACTAATTCCTTTTAAACGTTCCGATAAAAGGCGACATTCCAGCTTTTTTTTGCCCCGCCCCTTTTGCTTTTTTAGGTAATTGCATATAAATAAATTAACCACGTTGCAAGACGTAATAATATAATAGAAAAGGCGTGGAATTATCTACTATTTAATAGTAGATAAAAATATTTTAAAAATAATTATTGAAATAACCAATTCTGTCAGAGCAATTTTTGTAGTTCCAAATAAAGGATATAAAACACCATATTTTAATAAAGGGCAATCAAATAAAAAATTTTATTATGTTGGGAAATCAAATTTTAGGGATGGAAATACAGAAATAAATATTGAAGAAGATTTTGATAATAATTATAGAGAGGGAATTGTTATTTGTGGAAGATTAATAAATAAAAGAAATTTTGTGGTAATTTGGAAATTAAAATAAAATTAAGTAAATATAAATAAATTAATATTTTCTGATAAATATGTAGAGGTTTAATGAAATAATAATAATAAATTGGGCACAACTAAAACATAACAGGATTCTCGATTTAGGGAAATCGGGATCCCGACGCAAAAAATCGTCGAGAATTCCCGATTTTCGGGAATTGGGAGGCAGAATTCCTGATACATACACGTGTCCGCAAAAGGCACACATGTCCGCAAAAGGCACACATGTCCGCAAAAGGCATTTTTGCTTAATTCACTCCTTTTCTTCTCTCTCAAATGATTGGTTGACAGTTTGGCGCAGCAAAAGGAAGGAGCACAGGATTTCAACAGAAGCAAGGAGTGCTATTAGATTTTGAATTTAAAAATTAAAATATAAACAATACACAGTTAAATATTATTCAAAATTAAATAAATATACCTATATCCATAATTAAATATTCAAAATAAAAGAAAAATGACCAAAAATGGCCACCTCTATTTGAATGACAATCAAATTGAATGAAATTTTTTGGGGTATTGAAAAATAGAATGGCGGCCATTCAATTAAAATAAATACTGCATATTAGTTTTTTAATCCAAAATCTAATACACTCTCTGTTTCAGTTGAAATCCTGTGCTTCTTCCTTTTGCTGCGCCAAGCTGTCAACCAATCATTTTAAAGAGAAGAAAAGGAGTGAATTCAGCAAAAAAAGCCTTTTTGCAAAATGCCTTTTGCGGACATGTGTACAGCGAGATGGACATTTACCAAATATAAATAACTAACTCTATGAGAGAATTATAATTTTATAGAAAAATTAATAAATTCAGTAATTGTGTAAATTCCTTAGTAATAAATTAATAATTAATTGTTTTGTAAAATTAAAAAAAATTATTTTTCTAAATTTATTATATGTTAATGTCAAATTAACAAAAAGAAATTCAGAAAATCAATTTGTATTTTATTTCCTTATTTGTTTAGCTGTATAAGAAAATACTGGATGTTTGGAAGTTTATTCTAAATTATAAATTATTTTTTAAAATAAATTCAAAAAATGTTTTTAAATATATTTATTAGGCATATTTAATATTTAATTTTATTTAATATTATTTTTTATTAATGACAATTATGTCAATGTTTAGATATGTATAAGTTCTTAAATACATTAAAATGAAAAAAAATTCTTCGATCTTTATTACCGGCATCAATATCATCGATATTTTTGATATTCTTAATTTTTGTCTTTAGAACTTGTAATCTATTTAAAAATCATTTTTTCAACAATTAATCTAATGTTCTTTAGCTTAAAGGATTTATCATGTTTATAACGTATTAGGCTCAAGTTTAGTTTGTCTGCCGAATATTTTTTCTAACTACCTAATCCAGCCTCCTCCCCTTTTCCTCATTTTTTCCATAACCCAATACGAAACTTGACCTGTGCGAGAGTGTGCATATTTTTTTATTATGCAAAATTTTTGATTGGGGTATTTCATTTTTTAATTTTTAAAGATCATGTGCATTCTCTAAAAAGACCAAAAATCGTTATAAATAAAATTTCAATATTTCTATAATTATAGCAAAAAATTTTATTGAGGGATTATCCTTTCAAATTGTATAATAATAGCACTAGTTGTGTCTAAAATCGGATTTATTTTAAATTGGCAAAATTCTTTTACCGTTACCAAACTTTTTATTGAAATTTCTACTCTTTATTCCAAAAATACGAAAAAATCTCGATATAAAACAATTACGACATTCCTATTAAATACATTCACACAATAATTTTTGAACATAATTAAAAATATTGTATAACTTTTTTATCACTCAAATATGCAAAAAATTTGAGAGGAGTAGATAAAAATAACACAATTTCCTATGTTTAATACAGTAACTCGTAGATATATTTAAATGTTCTTTTTACCGGGTACAGCTATAATTCTAGTGAGATAATTTGAAGTAAGAATTATCATATATTAGAATAAAAATATTAGAAAAATAATTTTGTCGAAAACTAATAAATTAAACGATTTTTAAGGCTAAATAAAATAACTTTATTTAATCTCTTAGATTTCTTTATAAAATATATTTAAATTTAGTTTTTTTCTATTTTACTTTTTATTTAATATATAAGTAAATTATAACTCAATATTTAGAGAAAGGATTAATTTTAGAAAAGATGGAGAGAAATGACTTTTAAACTTAAATAAATATATTATTTAATTATTTGATTATAAATTTATTGGCAAACAATTAAATAGTTAATAGCTTTAGAAAAATTTTTTGTCATAAAAGAGGAAATTTCAGAAAGAAAATTTTCAATCCTGAAGGAAGAGATTTAATCATTTTAATATTTTTAATTTTTTAAATTAAATATTTATTAATTTAAAAAAAACTAAGTGAATAAAGAAAATCCCTGCAAATTATCATTCAATTTATTTATCCCTTTCTTCTTCATTTTTTAATCCTTCCCCAGACTTCAATTCCTTTTTTAGCTTAAGTGTTTTTCTCCAAATAAATTTTTTATCTTTAATAATTAAATACTTTTCCTGACCACCTTCCTCCCTTCCTTCTACCCCTCACCCTCACACTCACACTCACCCTCACCCATCCCCCTCCTCCCCCTCTAATCATTAAATAATTGGCTTTTCAATTCATCAATAAATATTTTTTAATTTATCAATTCTCGCGCAATTCTCTGCCTCTACGTCAACACATTTTTACTTTATTTTATGTTCATAGGCCAGTTTCCCCTAACAACATTTTTATTTATTTATGTACTAATACTATAATAAATATATATTTTTTATTTGTTAGCTATTTACATTTAAATATTAATAATATTAATATTAATACATTTAAATATTAATTTAATAATTTAAATATTAAAAATACTAAATGAATTATTAATTTTTTAATAAATATAAAAACAAGTAGACATTTTAATTTAATTAAGTTTTAATTAAAAAACGATTAACAAGTTTGGAAAAATAATTTAATTTTAACAAAATATATTTTAATTATATATTTTATTATTTTATTTTTTGAATTACAGATTTTTATGTTTCCGTTTTTATTTATTTATTAAATATAACAGTAAAAAATATCAAACCTCCTTTCCATTTAAGGTAAACAAATAAAAAGAGAATCAATCTAATTTTTAACAAAAATTTATTTAAATCCTAACTTCTATAAAATATTTATTTATTTTTAATTAAAATGTCATCTAAAAAGCCAAAAGGTAAATTTTTCGATTCTGTTAGCGACAGCACAATTGACTTGCAACAATTAAATATTTCTGACAATAATATTACATCAGAAGATACTAACAGTGAACAAACAAAAATAGTAATAATTTTTATTTAAATTATTTTTTGAATTAAAATAAAAATTATTTCCTCCTCATTTAACAATAAAATTAAATTTAAAAATATTTTTTTTAATTTTAATTAATTTTCAAACAAATATTAAAAGGCTGAAACAGACAGAACAATATTAGAAACAAATGGAGGAGTATTATCTCCAACACCTTCTCAATTTAAAATTTTAACAATAGAGGGAAATGGAAATAAAAAGCCTATTAAATCTTCAAATAATTCAAATGATGAGGATGATGATTGTTGGAATAATCCAATGTTGATAATTGTTCAATTTATTTTTCAATTATTTTATTTAACTTTGTCGAATATTCAAAATGATGAGCAATTTATTTTTGAAAATCAAGGTTATGGATATATAAATATAAAAAGAATTGAATTTAATAATTATTTAAATAAAAATATTTTAAAAATAATTATCGAAATAACCAATTCTGTCAGAGCAATTTTTGTAGTTCCAAATAAAGGATATAAAACACCATATTTTAATAAAGGACAATCAAATAAAAAAATTTATTATGTTGGGAAATCAAATTTTAGGGATGGAAATGCAGAAATAAATATTGAAGAAGATTTTGATAATAATTATAGAAAGGGAATTGTTATTTGTGGAAGATTAATAAATAAAAGAATTTTTGTGGTAATTTGGAAATTTAAATAAATAAACGAATTAATATTTTCTGATAAATATGTAGAGCTTTAATGAAATAATAATAATAGATTGGGCACAATTCATACATAAATACCAGGGATCCTGCCGACAAAAAAACTAAATTCTCGATTTCGGGAAATCGGGATCCCTACTTAAAAAATCGCGGGAATTCCCGATTTTCGGGAATTGGGACGGCACATTCCTGATACATACAATCATAATTTTATTATATTATTTTTAATTAAATTTATTTCATAAAAATTAAATTTAAATTAATTTTTATAGACATTATTTATAATTAAACCGCTCCTTCACAATAAATTATATATCGAACCAAAGGAGGTTAAAGAAGATTTTGATGATTTTAAATTAATGAACTTTGAATGGTTTTTGGATTTTAAAAATCAAAAAAATAATTTAATTAAAATTTGTTTAAAATTTAAAAATAAAGGAGAATATTTAATTAATTTAGCATCTGGCATTTTAAATAAAAAATTATTAGAATTTAATTTTAAAATTGATAAAGAAATGTTAATTAATTGTAAAATATTTAATGAAAAAATTGAAGAAAAAGAATTAATTAAATTAAAAGAAAAAATATTTATTTATTATTATAAAATTAATAAAGAAATTGATTCTGAAGAATATAATGTTGAGGACGATAGTATTTTGTTATTAAATATTACAGAAATTGAGCCTTTAATTTCTGATGGAATTTATGAATTTTATTTTGACAATAATGGAAATATTAAACAAAAAAAGGAAAATATAATTAAATATTTAAATAAAAGAGAATTAAATAAAACAAATAAAAATAAAATATCTCCTTTATTTAAGGAAGAATTAGATGTTCTTATTGATGGAAATTATTTTAAAATGAATAAAAATGGAAAAGTTGAAAAATTAAAAACAAATTTAGAAGATGAAGAAAATTAATTATAAAAATAAAATTATTAAATAAATAAATATATTTTTTGGGGGTAGATATAGACATGAAAATAAAGTATTTTACACGCCCGAGGATTTTTTTCTGTTAACCTAAACACAATTATAACTCTTAGAAATTTCCTCGTACTTTTGATAAATAACCAATTCTTTAATATTATAAAGATAAATAACTATATGTGAGAATTATAGTTTTATAAAAAAATAAATAAATTCAGTAATTGTAGTATAAATTCCTTAGTAATAAATTAATAATTGTTTTGTAAAATTAAGAAAAATATATTTTTCTTTATTTATTATATGTTAATGTCAAATTAACAAAAAAAATTCAAAAAATCAATTTGCATTTTATTTCCTTATTTGTTTAGCTGTACAAGGAAATACTGGATGATTGGAAGTTATTTTAAAATATAAATTATTTTTTAAAATAAATTTAAAAAATGTTTTTAAATATATTTATTAGGCTTATTTAATATTTACTTTTATTTAATATTATTTTTTATTAATGACCCCCCCCCCTCCCTCCTCATCATTTCCATAACCCAATACCGAGACTTGACCTGTGCGAGAGTGCGCATATTTTTTATTACTTATGTATATATGCAAAATTTTTGATTGGTGTCTTTTATTTTTAAATTTTTAAAAATCATGTGAATTCTCTAAAAAGACCAAAAATCGTTAAAAATAAAATTTAAAATTTCTATAATTGTAGCAAAAAATTTTATTGAGGGATTATCCTTTCAAATTGTGTAATAATAGAAGTAGTTGTGACTAAAATGTTATATATCGGATTTATTTTAAATTGGCAAAATTATTTTACCGTTACCAAACATTTTATTGAAATTTTTGCTCTTAATTCCAAAATTACGAAAAAATTTCGATATAAAATAATTACGACATTCCTATTAAATACATACATTCAAACAATAATTTGTGTACATAATTTAAAAGATCGTATCTTTTTTTATCACTCAAATATGCAAAAGAATTTAAGAGGAGTAGATAAAAATAACACAATTTCCTATTTTTAACACAGTAACTTGTAGATATATTTAAGTGTTCTATTGACCGGATACAGCTATAATTCTAGTGAGATAATTTTAAATAAGAATTAACATTTATTAGAATAAAAATATTAGAAAAATAATTTTGTCGAAGGCTAATAAATTAAATGATTTTTAAGGATAAAAATAAAAGCAACTTTATTTTAAGTAAATCTTTTAGATTTTATTATAAAATATATAAATTTTTTCTTAGTTTAATTTTTATTTAATATAAGTAAATTATAACTCAATATTTAGAGAAAGGATTAATTTTAAAAAATAGAAGGAGAGAAATGATTTTTAAACTTAAATATACATATTACCTATTTAATTAGTTGATTATAAATTTATTGGCAAACAATTAATTAGTTAATAGCTTTTAAAAAATTTTGTCATAAAAGAGAAAATTTTAGAAAGAAAAGTTTCAATCATGTTGGAAGAGTTATTTTAATATATTTAATTTTCTAAATTAAATATTTATTAATTAAGAAAAACGAAGAAGATAAAGAAATTTATTTATCATACCTTCATCTTTTTTAATCCTTCCCCAAACATCAATTCCTTTTTAGCTTGAGTGTTTTTCTCCAAATCCATTTTTTAAATAATTAAATACACCACCTTGACCACCTTCCTCCCTCTGCCCCCTCTAATCATTAAATAATTGGCTCTTCCATTCATCAATAAATATTTTTTAATTTATCAATTCTCGCGCAATTCTCTGCCTTTACGTCAACACATTTTTACTTTATTTTATGTTCATCGGCCAGTTTCCCCTAACAACATTTTTATTTATTTATGTACTAATATAATAAATATTTATTTATTTTTTTATTTGTTAGCTATTTACATTTAAATATTTTTTAATTAAGTAAAGTTTGGGAAAATAATTTTAATTTTTAACAAAATATATTTTAATTATATATTATTTAATTTTATTATTTTATTTTTTGAATTACAAATTTTTGTGTTTTCGTTTTTATTTATTTTTTTAAATATAACAGTAAAAAATACAATCAAACCTCCTTTCAATTTAAGGTAAACAAACAAATTTTATAAAGAGAATCAATCTAATTTTTAACAAAAATTTTCAAAAATTTATTTAAATCCAAACTTCTATAAAATATTTATTTTTAATTAAAATGTCATTTAAAAAGCCAAAAGGTAAATTTTTCGATTCTGTCAGCGACAGCACAATTGACTTGCAACAATTAAATATTTCTGACAATAATATTACATCAGAAGATACTAACAGTGAACAAACAAAAATAGTAATAATTTTTATTTAAATTATTTTTTGAATTAAAATAAAAATTATTTCCTCCTCATTTAACAATAAAATTAAATTTAAAAATATTTTTTTTAATTTTAATTAATTTTCAAACAAATATTAAAAGGCTGAAACAGACAGAACAATATTAGAAACAAATGGAGGAGTATTATCTCCAACACCTTCTCAATTTAAAATTTTAACAATAGAGGGAAATGGAAATAAAAAGCCTATTAAATCTTCAAATAATTCAAATGATGAGGATGATGATTGTTGGAATAATCCAATGTTGATAATAGAAACATTCCAAATAATTTGTAAAGAATTTATTATTAAATATAAACAAGTTTTGAATGGAATTGTTAAACTTGGAATTTTGTTGGGTTATCATTTATTTTTAGGTAATTAATTATAGATAAATAAATAGAAATTAAATTAGTTAATAATTAATTTATAAAATCTTTAAAAATGCTCTTTTTGTAATTCTTAATTTTTCATTAATTTTTCAACACCAATTAATATAAATTAATTAGAGTTATTATACTTAAAGATCTCGATTATATTCAAATATTTATTCTAAATTCAAGTGTTCCTATGTACATGTTAAAGCTAGTAAATAGATCCTAAAACTTTTGGATTATAGGAAAACCTCTCTCAAAAATTCCCCTTTCTTTCGAAGGTGTCAGAAAAAAATTATTTTTTAAATAAAAATTTTTAAATTAAAGTTTTGGCACTTTTACATGATTCAAATAAATCATTTAATCTTGCTATCTTTACTTCAATATGTTGGCTTTATATTTTTTATAGAAAATTTCTGTTGCCTTTTTTGAAAGCAAGAACTAAAATAATAACTAGAAGAAGACAATATGCTCAATTTTATTCTTTTACTGAAGCTATTAAAAATAATAAATCTTTAATAAGGCATTAAATATATTTTTTTTATTTTTTAATTTAAAATATTTCTATGTAGATTGTGCAATTTATTTGGTTTTCTTATTCCACTTTCTTATATGATTTGGGATTGCAGAAAGTAAAAAATATATGAATAATTAATTAATAAATTAATTAATTTCTAGTAGTGTTCACCGTTTATCTGGATTGTTTGGTCTCACTTTTTTCTTCCTTTTAATGTGTCTTTGTTCTTATAAACCAACTAAAGTATTCTTTAAATAATCATTTTTAATTTAATCAAACAATAGATTAATTGGCGTCCTGTCCTTTGGGGATTTCTGCTTCAATTTATTTTTGGAATTATTGTATTACGTTGGGTTAGTTAAATAAAAACAATTTAAATCCAAATCCCTCTTATTTAAAATCTAGGAATGGGGTGCCAGTCGTTTTATTGAATTATCAGATATGGCTATGATAATGCTAGATTTCACTTATAATGGAACGGATTTTACTTATGGTTTTCTTTCATCACCTCCAAATATTTGTGGAATGGAGGCAGTTGTTGCTTTTAGGGTTAGGGAATCTTTTCCTATTTTTAGAAAAAGAATATTTTTATAGTTTCTCCAAGTAATTATTTATGTTGGTGCTCTTGTCTCTGTTCTTTATTTCTATGGAATTATTCAAGCAGTCCTAAAAAGATTAGCCTGGTTAATGCAATTTACTATGGGGACTACGGCTACAGAATCTTTAAATGCTTGTGGTTGTGTTCTTTTAGGAAATGTATTTTTCTTAATTAAAAATATTTTTAAAAAATATATTTTTAAGGCAGAATCTCCAATGCTTATTCGTCCTTATATAGAAAA